TCTAGCAGGCTTGGAAAACCGAGTTGTTTTTTTGCGGGAAATTTGAATGTTTGGCTATTTGAATTTTTATTTAAAACAAGGAAATATAACCGAAAATTGTTTAAATTTTATATTTTTTTGATTTTAAAAGGATTATATACGTAATATTGTCCATTAAAAATCAAAAAATATAAAATTTCGACAATTTTCGGTTATTTTCCACTAATTAAGTGGAAAAACACACATTTTTGTTTTTTTTTAATAAATATATTTAACAAAATATACACTTAATTCAATTTTAAATTAAAGTATAACTAACAAATAATATTTAAATGAGGAGAAATTCAAAGTTAATTATTCTATAAATTAGTGAAATTTAAAAAAAGGTTTATCAAACATGTATAATAATTTATAATTATCTAGGTATAATTTATCAAAAAGTATGACATTAAATTGATAATTACTCTCTTATATATGCCTACAAGACAATTATCGCTTGATTACAGCGATAATTTTCAGAAATTTTAATTTTGTGTCACATAATAACAATTTTTGTAGGTTTTTTAAGATTTCCTAATAAAAATGCAAAGGTTTATTAAACAAATTAACTCTAAAACATATTACAAACCATCAAAATATTTGATAAATTCTTGATAAGCAATAGTTCAATACTTATTGGTCCTTATTAGAAAACAACCTTTTAAAAAACAGTTCAAGTATAATTAAAATTAGTTTAAATTTGAATATGTAATTCATAAAAATAAATAATTTTCTAATACATACTGACTTATTGTATACCCTATAGTTATTTTCAGATTTCTTAATGTGGTATTAAATTTTTTTATTGGAAAAACCAAAAGGCTAATGCCTAAAATGTTTAATGCAATAATTAGACTTATTACAAACCATGCTCTTATAATTTTTAGGAATTATGATTATAATTTGTTTTTTAAATAAGCACAATACTGTAGTTTTGTAAAATATAGAATTTTTGGCAAAAAGGAATTCCTACTTATCCAAAAATTAAATTACATTCTTTGGAATATTTAATTTTTAGTAAAATTGGTTTAATTTAAATTAATAATCAATAGAACCACTTAAATCTCAATGTTAAAAATATTGTTATTATGTATTAGGCAAAATTAAAATCTTTATGTATGATTTAACTTTCTGGTCAATATTAAGTATTAATTGTCTTTTTTCTTGTTCATAATTCATGGATTGAACCTGCGTCTTTTTCTTGATTCAATGAAGAATATTCAACTGCAATTAATATTTTCTATGTTCTTTTGCAAAGAAGTTTGATAAATTCAAGTCCTGTCTGCTTCTTCCATTAACACAAACCCAAACCTGAAATCAATATCAATTTTAAAATCAATTTAAATTGTAAAACAATTGATATTACCTAATAATGTTTAAAATTAAATAAAAATAATGCATCAATATTTATGCTACTTATTTATGCTAAAGGTAATTGTTTTACCAGCATAAAAATAATTGAATGGTTTATTGTAAAAACAAGCTAAGTAACTAACTAAATATGATTTTGTTTATTTTTTTATTTTAAAAATCTTATAAAAACTAATAACGGTGAACTTGTGCTGTTTTAACATGAAAATATCCTTTTTTAATATCATAATGTGTATCTTGCTAAATAAAATATGTCTGCCCCAAAATAATAATTTAAAGCAAAAGTGTATGTAATATAAAAATGTCAGATTGCTTGTTTTAACAATAAACAATTTAATTATATTTGGAGTAAATACTAAAAGTGTACTTTCTTTAATGGTCAGGCTTTTACTTTTTTTATATTTGGATTGTAACTATGGATGTGTGAATATTGAATTCAAGAATTATTTGAATAGTTTGAATGTTTCAAATTTTTAAATGGTTCAATTAGAAAATTAAAATTTTTCAATAGTAATTGAAGAAATGGAACATTGGAATTGTAATTTAAAATTTATTTTTAAATAAAAAGAATGTTATTTACTTGTCATTAACCCTTAATTAACTTATTTGAATAGATTATGATTAATTATTTAACTATTCAAATAATTTAAACTATTTATGTAGTTTAAATATTTAATTTTAAGTTTGAATTAAATATTACTACATAATTTATTTGGTAAAAATATTCACACACCACCAATTGTAACTAAAAATGTATTCTAAATAAAAAAAATATATATCTACCTATTATTAAAAAAATTTGGTCAAATATTTCTGTTTGGCATTGACAAGTAAAGCTTTCATTCTTTTTCTTCATGCAGGATAAATCTTGTCTAATTGTTCCATTATCGCAGAAGCTAAAATTAATTATATTAAATTAAAATCAATTTATATTGTAGCAAAAAATAATTGAATTAAAAACTTTAAAAATAATTCTTTAAAAGCTTTGCTTATGAATTGTCTAGTTATTTATGTACATTAAAAATGATAGAACAAATGAAGGGGTCAATGCAAGAATTCTTGCACTTAAGTGCCTAAGTCACATTTTCAATTAAATTTACATTGTGGCTTCATCTAAGAGTGTTTCACGTAAGGTTTCAGGTGGTATTTTCAAAGTGGCAGAAATATGTGCCCAAGCGCCTTAGTTTGCATTTACTTCAATGGGAGTTTGCCTGGTTTTCAACTTATGTGAAAACTCTTAGATGAAGCCAGAATAACAATTTAATTGAAAATGTGACTTAAGACACTTTTTGCATTGACCCCTTCAAATAAAATAACTATAAAAATACTGTAAAAGATTATCACCCTGTAGTTCAAAATGCTATATTAATGTAAAAAAAACATGAAAAGCACAAAACATTTGTAATATAATCAAGATTTGAACTGTATGCTTACAAGTGTTTAATATGACCTCTTCCAGCTGCAAACATCTTGTAGATACTCGGCAGTTCCAATTCGTGTATTCAGCTTTTACAAATCTTGGGCTCATACACGTTATCTTTTATAAAGCCCCAGAGAAAGAAGTCGCACACTGTGAGATCGGTTGAACATGTTGACCATACATGAAGTGCCAAATTGTTGGGCCCTTTACATCCGATCCACCGATGAGGGGGCTGTTCGTTCAATAACCTCCGCTCCACCAAATGCCAATGTAGTGGGGCCCTGGACCCAGGTCCAGTTTTCGCGTAGCTACATCAAATAATTTTAACAAAAACATACATTTTGACAAAGATTATAGGTACCTATATTTAACATTTTGTATAACAGCAACTAGTGTCGAGAAAAAAAACGTTAAAAACTGTTTTGATTGAAAGTTTTGAATCAAAACGCTTTAAAACTATTTAAATTCTATCAAAACTTGCATTAGTTAAACAACCCATAAGCAAAGAGTAAGAGTCTTTACTCTTTGCCATAGGTTTCATTACATAAAAAGAATTTTATTTGTTTTATCGTAACTACATTTCACATGTGTTTTCGGTAAACATAGAGAAAAAAACCGATACGGTTTATCACACGTATTTTCTTATTTTAAACGCGGTAATGATGCTACAACTAACTCAAACTTGACTAAAAACACCTAATAAAATGTTAAAGCCGAAATTAACAAGTTTACTTACCTAAAACAAAGAAAATTTGGATTATAAAACTTCGTACACAACACTTCAACAAGACTGTCGGCCATTTGTAATTTCTCAAACCGACCATCAACGAACAAGTTGGAAAAGACCAATCATAACAAAGTAAGAATCACGTGGTTAATAACTGGGGTCTGTCAAAAACAACTTGGGTTTCAACGCACGCTAGATTTATTTTACTGTTGCCTGTTGTCAAATTCCCCTTATACCCCCCTGCCTGATACTTACTAGAGTTTAATATTTTCGTGACACGCTGTGACGTCACTTCCGTCGCCAAAAGAAGTATACCTTCAAAAACTTTTAAATTATAAACTTTATTTTACACATCGTCCTTTTTCATTAATTTAAAAAATGTGAAAGAAGACATATCCTATTCTGATTCTTCTTCAGGAAATTTCCACAAAATTTGTGTGGCCAGATAACCAATCAAATTATCTTTTGCGCCAGGATAATTTAGGATACTTTTTACGCGTTCCTTTAACTCCAACGTTATAGGATTTGATTCAAAATTCTTCACGTTGGGAAAAATCTCATAGGAAATACACAAAAATATCGCCATTAATTCAAATTCCGAGATTTTAAATGATTCCATATCCCCTTTCTTCACATTTTCTTCCACTATCAAAAATATTTCCGATAAGCAACTTCCAACGAATAATGAGTATTTTTCTTTCTTCATTATTTTTATGATTATTTCTCTCATCGTGATAAACCGACATAGCTATAAAAGTGCATTTTTTATAGTATCCCGAAATTGGCCAAGTATCCGCGAAAACCCATTTCTTAAAAAATATTAAAATATCTACCTCTTCCACAATAGAAGGTATCAAAGAGTTACTAAGCAAATCCATAAGTTTACTAATTAAAACTTTAATAACATCTTCGAAAAAGTTACTTCCGTTAAAGAATTGATTATCCTCAAGCATTAACATGTATTCAACGAAATCATAGCTTTTCTTTTGCAAGGAGTTTTTGTTTTCTTCGTTAATATTGTGAATTTTATAAACCATATATTCAATTCCACATTTTATCATTTCTTGCATCACCAGATCAAATTTGGAAGCTACCAAAATTTCCTTAATAAGTGAAGATGCAATTGTATCACTGTGATGTGCAACTAGTCTATCCGGCATATTAAGATTGTTTAAAATAAATCTTATGTCCGCAATTCTTATATATTCAAGTTCCTGTATGGATTGCAGCAATAAATTACATTGCATCACAGAATCTACTATTTTAGTAAAGTAGGGATCATTAGAATCTTCGAAATTAACCAAATTTGATACATAATTTTGAATAATATTCATGTTTAGGTAGGTAGGTATAAAACTACTTAGCATAGAAAAAGGATAGCTGCTTAGCTACTTAGCTCTTATTCCCCTACTAACTTAACTCTGTATTTAACTTTTCTATTAAAAAACTCATTTGAAATAGTGCGCGCCATTGTTTTTGAAAATAAATTCCCCCAAATGACATTCCCAGTGACATTCTTGATCTAACCTATTTAACCTATAAATTTTAATCTTCGTTAAAATTCAAATAAAATCATGGATAGTGTTTCAAATTTAACCGGAGCTCAAAAAGACGAGCTAATGGATACAGTTAAACAACAAATAGCTGTAGCAAATGCCCAGGAACTTCTAACTGTGAGTTTGTAGTTTATATAACAGAATTGTTTATTTTTTTCCCCTTGTGGTTTTAGAAAATGACTGAAAAGTGTTTTAAAAAATGCATATCAAAGCCTGGAACCTCTTTGGACAGTTCAGAGCAAGTAAGTAACAAATGATACAATGATTATAGGTTATGTAAAATTGATTTTTCAGAAATGTATAGCAATGTGTATGGACAGGTATATGGACTCGTGGAATCTTATTTCTAGAGCATACAGTATGCGAATTCAAAGGGAAAGAAGCCTAAACTAGTAAATATTTCTTTGTACATAAATTTACCAATATAGTGTGGCATAGTTGTTTAATACAGTGTATTTTTACTGTTTGATTGTATGGCTAACGTGTGCATTTATGGTTGTGTACAGTATGGACACATGGGCATTTTTGTTATTTTACCCCACTTAAGCCATTGTTATTAAATGTTTTTTTGTGAGCATTGCTTTTTATTTATTGAGTTCTTAAATAAAACTTAGTTTAAGATACAATGTTTATTTAATGAAGATAAAATCACAAATCTAAGGCACATGTTTTTTAAATAAATTAAGTAAAAGTAAGTATTAAACTAAGTAAGGAATGTAAGAAGGTTTATGGCAAATTTACAAAAACTATAATATAAAAAAAATAAAATACAATTGTGCATTTTGACTTTTTCCTTCATAAGTTTGAGCTGATTTAAAATTTCTATCAAAGGCACCATTGTAATATTCATTTTGCTGCTTTTTGAGGAACTTATGTAATACATATAAATACACAACATAAATATTATGGACACTACCTATATAATTAACTTAATCATTTAAAAGGAATATTTACTTTTAAAACAGTAAATAACAAAAGGATTATGATAAAACTACATAACTAAAATACTAATAGTCCAGCCTAATAATTATTGTCCATTACAATTTTTTATTATGAATTTATGGTTTTTACAATATTTCTAAAAATTTTGCCACATGTTATCATATTTAAATATTAATTGTAAAAAAATTTAATATTCGAAATATGTTGATTAATAACTTTTAACAATGGGTAACATCAGGAGTCTAATATTAAACCCAGCCAACTCCATTTGAGTAACATTTTCAGAAATTAAAAAATATGCTATTTTAATATATAAAGTATTTATTTTATCTTATTTTTTAGAGATCCAAACATACTTGTTTATATGTACATTAGGGTGATGCAAAAAAAAATTTTTTTTGAATTCTATGCAAGACCACTCGGGTTTTCAAAGAGTATCAAGAAAATAAAAATCTGTAAAAATTTGAGAGAAATCAATTAAAATTTAGAGGTCGCTCAACGCAATTGTTTAATTTAGAAAAATCACGCATCTCAAATGCATTGCTATAAACAAGTAGGCATATTTCATACAAATTTGAATGAAAATGGTTGAATTTTTTTTTGGTGGACTCTTAATGATTATTCTAATAAATAATGTTGTCCCGATTTCAAAAATTTTTTCATAATATTTAAAAAATATATATTAATTAGCAAATATAGCTTAGTTAACAAATAATTCATTCAATTTTTTTTTTGTTTCAAAATCTGTAAAAACATTGTTAATAGGTCTACATGCAATTATTCATTCACAAAAACACTCGCCCCCACCGTTAAATATGAGAAAAAAAATATTATTTTAATTAACTACACTTCGCGTCAAATTTAACGCACCACTAAAAGTTTGTCACATTTTCAAACGCGAACCGTCAAACCGAATTTAGTGATTTTTATAATAAATTGTAGGTTTATTCTTCGGTAATAATGCGTTTATTAAAATATTTTTTTAAATTAACATTTTGAGTATATACAGGGTGCAAGAGTGATAATAAGTTTTTTCCCGGAAATTTAAAACGCCCTGTGGATTGTACCAGCTATAACAGGATATGTATCTTATAATCAAACTATAGCCACATCTTCTCTTAACCTTTTTTTTTTTTGATTCACCGCGTTATCTTTATTTTTAAATGAAATATACAGTTAAAGATTAAAGAACTCCAGTTTAATACAAAAATGTAAAAAGAACGATTGTAACAATAACAACAAAAATATTAACAAAATCAATAAAACCAACATTAAAGAATATCAATATAGTGTATTTCTGCCTCTACTTCTAATTACGGCTTCACATCGACGGCTCACACTCGAAACCAGATGTCTAATCTCGTCTTGATCAATGACATTTCATATTTCTCGTAGCATATTTGCTACGTCATCAAGGGAGGCAGGCAAGGAATCATAATTTCTTAGTCGTCTACCCATATTATCCCACAAATGCTCGATGGGTTGAGATCCGGACTATTTGCAGGCCAGTCTAAAGTTTTAACACCCACCTCATGTAAGTACTCTTGCACTATATAGCATTATCCTGCATCAGTAAAAAATTATTACCGGGCGAAATGGACAACATGCTCAAATAAAATGTCCTTGATATATCGTTCACTATTCCTGGTACCTTAATCTTTAAATGTATATTTCATTTAAAAATAAAGATAACCCGGTGAATAAAAATACAAAATGTTAAGAGAACATGGGGCTATAGTTTGATTTTAAGAGACAGCATATGCTGTTATAGCTGGTACAACCAACAGGGCGTTTCAAATTTCTGGAAAAAAACTAATTATTACACTTGCACCCTATATATACTCAAAATGTTAATTTAAACAAATATTTTAATAAACACATTATTACCAAAAATAAACCTACAATTTATTATAAAAATCACTAAATTCGGTTTGACGGTTATATATATATATATATATATATATATATATATATATATATATATATATATATGTATATACTCAAAACTTAAATTTAAAAGAATTTTTTAATAAAGGCATCATAACCAAAGAATAAACCTCAATTTTAAAACAAAAATTACCAAATTCGGTTTGACGGTTCGCGAGAAAATCAACTTTGAAAATGTGACAAACTTTTAGTGGTGCGTTAAATTTGACGCGAATGTAGTTAATTAAAATATTATTTTTTTTCTCATATTTAACGATGGGGGCGAGTGTTTTTGTGAATGAATAATTGCTTCTAGACCTATTAACAATGTTTTTACAGATTTTGAAACAAAAAAAAAATTGAATGAATTATTTGTTAACTAAGCTATATTTGCTAATTAATAAATATTTTTTAAATATTATGAACAATTTTTTGAAATCGGGACATTATTATTTATTAGAATAATCATTAAGAGTACAACAAAAAAAAAATTCAACCATTTTCATTCAAATTTGTATGAAATATGCCTACTTGTTTATAGCAATGCATTTGAGATGCGTGATTTTTCTAAATTAAACAATTGCGTTGAGCGACCTCTAAATTTTAATTGATTTCTCTCAAATTTTTACAGATTTTTATTTTCTTGAAACTCTTTGAAAACCCGAGTGGTCTCGCATAGAATTCAAAAAAAAATTTTTTTTGCATCACCCTAATGTACATATATCGTATTATAATTTTATTCAAATCCCAATGTATTGTTTTGTATTGTAGGTATATTTCCCATTAAAATTTAGAGATTTTTAAAATTGTTAAATTTGTTAGCATGATTTATACCTATATAGTAGTTTGCTATGTTTGATATTATACCCTCGACATACCTCAGGGGTATAATATCAAACACACATAGGCTATAGGTATGTATATAACTTACATAATATGTATATTTACAAAGATGGGGGTTTCTTAAAATTTACGACTTAACTTTCAATAGAAAAAGATCTCTATAGAAAGCAATAAACCAATCAGTACATAGGATTCTCAACAGCACCTATTAGACTGAACTATTAACCATACACTTATAAATATATATATACAGGGTGTTTCCAGACCTACGTTTATATAAACTGTTTTCATATTTTTGGATAACGAATCTCAAGTCGTGCATTGGCGCATGTTTTTTAAACACCCTGTATATAAATAATCCTAAATAAACACTAAATTATGGGTTTCGTTTAAAAATTATTTAAATGGCTTTAAAATGCATACAACTAAAATAAATATTAAATTGAGCATACAAAATTTTTTCTTACTATATATTAGTAATCCTAAAAATTCATTTCATTTTTTTGTTATTTGACAAGATATAAATTTAAGTGAAAGGCCACATTCTGAGGTAATATTGCAAAAAATGCGTTGTATCCAATATTGTTACTGTAGGCACTTAATCGGACATAGTGTTAAATTCCAAGTTTTCACTTATAGATTTACTTGTACTATTCCCTGGATCTGAATTAACTTCACCATCTTCTTTACTACTTCTCAAAGATTTACTTTTACTTTTTTCCTCGTTTAAATTAATTTTTAACGCGGCAGATTTTAAATTTTGCTCAGTTAAACTTAAATCTCCCCCACACATAAAATCTTCTTCGTACTCAGTTTGCATGTCAAAAAGTTTGTCAAGCTCCCTTAGATTCGATTTTTCCTTGAGTTCCTTGCTGTATGGAGTGGGGAGAATATCCCCTGCAACTCTACTTTTGCTCATTGGCAAAGGAGGTAAATCTGTTAAAGAACTCAGGCCACCCTTGGATTTTTGTGGAGGCATTTTAATTTCCTTCAAAATTGGTTGAGATATTTCGTTGTTTTCACTATTTCCATTGGTTATATTTGATTCCCCCTTACTGCCTGTTTTAATACTGTCTTCGGCTATTGAACTGGTATCTTCGAATGTATCATCATTCTCAGTAATAAGGCTTGATTGTTTTTCAGTAATCTCCTTAATTTCTTCTGGTTGAGCATTTTTCAAAGCTACTGAGGGGCTTCTTATTTCAAAGGTTTTGTTTTCTTCTTTGCTCTGATTAAACCGTGTTTCACTGGCATTCAGAGTGCTATTAACTTTGTGTTTTGTTTCATTTTCTCTTGAATATGAGTTTTCTTCTTCCAATGGCAAGGAGGTTGAGGATTCAGTCTTAATGTTGCTTGAGGTTTCCAATTCTGATTTATTGTGCCCATTTCCATTTAAATTCAAGTTGATTTCTATGCTTCTTGACTTTGCCTGAGCAATTTTTACTAGTTGTAGAAGAATAGGAAGTGTACTTTTTTCATCTAAGCCTAAATCTTTTAATACCTTTTGTCTACCATTGTATTTATATGCAGTCCCTAAATATGACTCCGGTTCATATACAGATAATGTGTAAAATAAATTAAAAAAATCTAAAAACTCTTTTACAATACAAAACATAACCTGCCCTTCAGATGATTCCAAATAATTTTTGACTTTGGTATTGAGCATAGGTTCCTTACTACTGAGCTATTTAAAAAAGAACAATAAAAATTATTACTACCAACATTCGTTTTTATAATTTCATTACCTTAATGTCTTCATCTAGGGCCAAAAATATACTTGCTCGTAATTGTGCCTAAAACAAGATTTATAAGAAATGTTTAAATTTTAACAACAAATCAAGTTTTTGTACTTTAATTTTTGCAATGCAGCCATTTTCTTCCAACGTTTGGGCCAACAAATCTCTTAATTCAATATCTTCCCCTACTGACATCGTTTTAAGGTTATTTTCTATATTTAAATGAGTGTTTCAGAAACACAATTTTATGTTTTTTTTAAGAATCCCTATATCAAATATGGCAACCATGTAAGAGTTTAAAAAATAAGTTTATAGATGGCGCCCCTAAAATTAAATTTTATTAATTTGTCGTGCTACTTAGAGGCCTATTCCCATGTTCGAAAGTACAGAGAAATCATAGAAAAAGGAGAAATCATGGTTAATTTTATCCTACACTTTATGCATTTACGTGGAATACTCTTGGAATAAAAAGACCCAGTCAAAAAAGGAGCTAGGCAATAAAAATACGTTATAAAAAACGGCAACACTGTACGATTTTGTAAGGTTGATTTTCTATGGGATTTAATTTGAACATTTGTAAGGGTAAGTAATTTTATTAGTTAAAATAAATATAAATTAAAATATAAATACTGATTAATGATTAATTAAGTACCTATTTCAAAATATGATAACTAAATTATTTTTCGCTTCGCCTTTGAGCGGAATGTTGCTTGTGTTTGTCGCTGTTTTTTTGAATTGTGGTTAATAATTTGGTAATTGTAGTTGGATCAACCCCCATGTTAAGTAATTCCACCAAAATTCTGTAAAATATTGATTTGTTTACATTGTCAAACAATCACTTCAAACATCAATACCTGAAAACTTTTGGATCGATGTAAACTCCTGCTAGTTCGGCCAAATGCAGTAATTCATCCTGATGCGGTCTTAATTTGTTATCCAAAACGGAACTGCTTTCAGAATGTTTTATTTTGGACGGCATTTTAAAGATATTTGACAGTTCTCACTTTAAATTTTGCGGTTTTTGTAGTGTCGCCATGTAATCCGAAACTAGCTGCAGTTGTTCTTTCTGTAATGACCTTGAACCCCTCGACTTTATTGTAAAATAGTGCTTAATATATCGCGAAAATTACTTAATACGAAGAAATGTCTTCCATGAACGATAGCTCCGACATCTACGCACAAAATTACGGTGGCAGTGCGACAGCTCCAGGTAAATACCAAAATTAATTTGACGTTTAACATGTTAGTACATAACCTCAAAGTGGTTATTACATAAAATATTGTTTCAGGAAACTTTCGACCGTTCGCGTCGCCTTACTTAAACTACGATCCCGGATATATACCCGCCACCCAACCGGAATTTATATTTTTGGAAGGTGCCAACAAACAGAGAGGTCGTTTTGAGCTTGCCTTTGGTCAAATCGGTGCATCATGCATGGTGGGAGCTGGCTTAGGGGGGGCTTCAGGGTTTTACAACGGCTTAAAAGCCACCACAATGGCGGGACAGACTGGAAAATTAAGAAGAACACAGTAAATTAAAAAAAAAAACTAATAACTTTGTTTTAAAATAAGGGGATATTACCATTTTTAAGCTACAATATTTAATTTGTTTTTAGTATCACTTATGGTTTGGGTTTTTTTTATCTAAATTCATGTGAAAAGTGTTAAAATTATTCAAGGTATACAGGTTATTTTTATTGTTTTCAATTTCTTATAAGAAAAAGTAAAAAAATAAACTAGTATTTTTTTGGGATAAAGGTAGAGATTTAAAATTGTTGGAAAAAGTTATTGCCTAAATTATTATTCACAAGGATAAGGTTTATGTCTTGAGTTGGCTGCATAATCTCAAGTGTAATACTATACTCTATTTACTCCAATAAGTAGATAATTAAATGATTTTCAAAAATAAAAAAAATCTGACATCAAATGGTTAACCTCACTTTTTACCAATTATAAATATAGTTGCCTTCTCTTCAATTTAAAACCTGATTGGTTGAAATTGGTCACTGATGCCTAGTGTGAGTTCATTATTCCCATTGTTAGGCAGGGAATTTATAATGTTTATAATTACCTATATACAAAAAATAATCCAATATTATGCAATAGGAGTTTTAAAAAGTTTTTTCCCAGGAAAATAATAAAAGAGTAAAAATTTTTAGGCATAAAATTAAATTTTAGTATTTTAAATATTATTTACAAATTACTTTGATGATAAAATGCATTTTACAACAATTTACGATTTGATAATAAAATGCATTTTACAACAACAAGTTTTTTAATGTTTGTGGATAAAAGTTATTAAAAAATTATAAATTACAAAATAACCTGAATATATTTTAACATAATGTTTTGCCCAAAGTTATATCTTTATTTTTTGAAATTTGATTTATTTACACCTCCGAGCATTTAAGTATCATTTTATCACCCTTATTTTGAAACATGGTGTAAAAGTCCAAATTAAATTGATTTTTTTTTAGAATGATCAATCACATTATGAAGAAGGGTAGCGCAACAGCCAACACATTTGGATCAGTTGCTGTGATATACAGTGGTTTTGGGGTTATTTTACAATTAGTTAGGGGAACCGATGATGATTTAAACACCGTTATTGCTGCCACTGCCACTGGTTTATTATATAAATCCTCAGGTACGGTTACACATTTTAAATTTTTTTTTTTTAATTGTACAATTTTTATTCAGCTGGTTTAAGAAAGTGTGGTATGGGTGGTGCAATAGGTTTTGGAGTTTCCGCGCTGTTTGCCTTATGGAATTCGAGAGACAAGTTGTCAGGTTTACAGCAGTTTAATCCAGCGTAAGACTTCATATAATTCTGAAGTTTTTAATTTAGAATAGCTAATTAATTATATTAAATTAATTAATGCAACTAATTTGGGTAAATTGCAAAAAATTTGACTCGTTAAATATCTAAAGTACAATTGTGTGCATGTATGCATAGCTTGTTGATAGACAGATTTTATTGAGTTTTGTGCTATAACTAGCAGTTTGGTTAAGACATTAAGTGAAATAAATTGTTTTTATGTTGTTTCATTAATCAACTTGCCCAAGTTTTGTATATGATTTGTGCTGTGATCATTTGTAAATATAATTTTTCTGATCTGTGACTGTCTTTTTCTTAATAAAATCATTTCTGTTAAAAATTTTATTTTATTTTTAAGTCACAAATTCCATTATTTTTATTGTACTTTTATTTTGACAGGCAAAGGTAGACCCCAATGAATATGGAGAACCTGTTCTATGGACGTTAGACCTTTCAAAATGTAAAATACCTACTATCAATTAATTTATAATTCTCCTACTATTGTACATACTTTATGTGAATTATACTTTATACAATTCCAGTTGTAAATTATTTAAATAAATTATTATTAAAACATCAACAAACAGTATTAAGAAGTATCCTTGGCAAATGAGATTTTACTAAATATTTTTTTAAAGTTCTGATCACAATGCGATCAATTTCTTTTCACACAGATCCACAGTAAACAGACCTGTTACATTTCACACAGAAATGTCACTTACATTCGAGTTTTGCCTTGCCAATAAAAATATTCATTTTCTATGTATGTAAATTGACATTTCTATGTGAAAAGTGACAGGTCTGTGTGAAAATAAATTGACAGCATCGTAATTTTAACAGCTGTCAAACACGTTTTTGAATTATTATTTTTTTTGAAAATAATAAAAAATAAAGGGGTCGTAGAAAAACATTGTATTTCACTTGCAAGGAAAGCTTTCTTCAAGCTCGTGTTAATGCACACTCGGCCTAACGGCCTCGTGAGCAACTTAAGCACTCTTATGAAAAAGTCGCTTTTCAACTCTTGTAAAACAAATAACTATAGACCTATCCCATAAAACGAACTTTTGGATAGCGCGTGCGTGAAAAGGCACGTCGTCTTTTTTTAATTATATAAAAGAGAAAGAGATACCACTCTTCTTCAGGCACGCGCTATCCAAAAGTCTGTTTTATGGGATAGGTCTATTGTAGAAAAAATACATTTGTCAGCCATGTCATCCTTGGCTGCCATTTTCGGTACACCCTTTGTAATTATCATCATTTTCTAAATAAAAAATCAGAAATTTGTGATTTTTTTAATTTACTGATTACACATGTGCAGTGCAACCCAAAATTTGCACACAATTGCCTTAAGTTAGGTAGACTAAAGAAAAATATATTAATATACATATGTATGTATATATAAATATTTTGAAAAACCTTTTTTCCAAAGAGTCGGAACGAGAAACGAAGCGAAATTTAACGTACCTATACCTATTTATTTACAATAAATTACCCAAAACTCAAAATTTCACAAAGCCATAATTAAAATTCGAGCTATATAAAGCTATATAGCTATAACTTTAACCAAACCCCGTGAGGGTTTTATTATTAAATAGGTACCTATAGGTATACCTACTTAAATAAAAAAATCAGTAAAATCCGTTTTAAAATTGGTCACCCCAAATTTGTCGCACAATGTTATTTATTCTTTCCCTATAGTTTTTATTGATTGTCCCCCGTATAAGCAGGTAGTACCATGGGACTGCAACTGCAGTTGCATACTCAGGTAAATAAGGAGTGTCCACAATTGTCTGTAATGACTCCTAATGAATTTTATTCTGCATGACTCAATAAAACGCCTTATATTAACTTTAGTTAAAATGGAGCGCTTAACAGAACATAAGCTTAACATGGTAGGTATTTCGAATAATTAAAAGAGCGATTTTTGTGTTATAAAAAATTTGGACACCCCTGTCTACCTGTAGACAACGCCAGCAAACAGGTGTGCTTGTGTTGACGGTAAGTTTTGTTTGTAAACATATTTAGGGCTTTTAATTGGTCAAAATAGCAATCCCATAGGATTATTTATATTGAAATAGTTTATTTTTTACATACTTAACCAAATTGCATTATTTAACTTACAATTATTTATCTTATCTCACCTGTTATCAGATAATAAAGTGAATCGAATTTTGTTTGGAGTTTCAAAAAATGGATCAACTAAAAGCCGAGCAGCGGCTAACAATAATATATGTTTTGACATCCATTTTTGGGGCTGTAGCCAGCATTACCTCTGGTATAGCATGGGGTCATTGGAAGCAAACTTTGGACCAGTGCATAGGAAGAAACTGCAGTTGCATTTTGTTTGGAGAACACACGCCTTCAAAATTTTTGGGTAAGTGCATGCAAAGACTCCACCTTTAATAAATTCTTAATTTGGTATTAAGTACAATAATTCTTATTTTAAGTTATTTTTGCTATGATTATAAAAACCATGTGTGTATAATGTTTTGTGAGTTAACTAAGTAATTTTATGAAACACCAAAATTAGTTAATTAAGAGATGCCTAGGCTATTTTTAAAATTTGTGACCTTACTATCTACAGAAAGTAATTAACCAATCAGAGCAGCGCGTTATCTGTCGCCATCTATTGTGCAGTGGAGAATGCCGTTCTCTGATTGGATAATAGCTTTATTTACTCCTACATTTACTGTTTATTACTTAGTAATATTACTTAATGCACTATAGTTCATTTAATTGGGAAAACGTGAGGTTAAACTCTTTTGACAAAGATTGGGAAAAAATTTGGTTAAACCCGTCTGACAGATGTCAGATTGAAAAAAAGAAAGGTTAAAACCCTTTAAATTCTAAAAAAAACATTACCTTTGTATGGTTGCAATTCGTTTTGTAAATTTCTCAAAAACTCGCGTCGTGCATAATTTAACTCGTTTTTATAAAAATATAATAACTTTTATAAAACTAGGCGCATAATATAATAATTTATAATAACCACATTCTAGAAAGTATCAAATTTTAGGAAACCCCTGGCAGTGGCGGACTAACCCAGCTAGCAAGGTTACGTCATTAGGACGACATTTTAAGGTCACCTTTCGTCGGCGACGTCACATGACCAATAAAAGACGGGTTTATGACGTCACATTTCCGACGTCATTTAGACGTTTTTATGTTGCGTCTTTCTGACGTTTTCAATAGGTGATTTTATATCACGTAATAAAATATAATAATACGTAGTAGGTATAGATCGTACTACCTAATTTTTGAAAACCCTGTAGATAAAATCCCAATTTTTTTGTAGATCAAAACTTATTTTTTTATCAGAAAAAATAAAAAAAAATCCCTATCATCGATGACACGCAAATCCGTCTATGAACAAATAATTATCCTACAGGACAATAACGAAATACTATTTTAAACAAAATATTTTTTAATTCTAAATTTAGTTTTGGGTCAGAATTTCTCAAACGGGCCACCTGAATTAGGTCAAAATTAGTTTTTGTTTGTAGATACATTTTTTTGATAGTATTTTACATCACTAACACAAATCCTAAAGGATTTTGTAAAAAAAAAATTTTCAATTGATATATTCATGATATTAAAAGTCAAAGTTTTTAATAATTAAAAAATAAAAAAATTCATTATGGCTGAACTAATTATCCGATTCCAACGATATAACTAGCGTTGGAATCTTGTTTTGACATAGATTCTTTGTTATTTTTTTCAATTGTCCTATTTTCATTTAGGTCGATTTTTTTTTGTTTTTTTTATACCAAATTCGGAAATAATTGCCTTCTGCGCCAGCTATCGACTCGAGAAAAAAAACACATATACTCCAATCATTTCTCGAAATTATGCTGCTGAGAAAAAAAATGGCCCGCAGGTTGACAAAAAGTTATTCGTCCTTTTGTGGCCGCGCGCGGTGTCAGCTCACGCTCCGAACCGTGTACGCTGTACGCGCTTGTGACGCGACGTCTTACGGTGGTCTGGAACCTGCGGGCCATTTTTTTTCTCAGCAGCATAATTTCGAAAAATGATTGGAGTATATGTGTTTTTTTTTTCGAGTCGATAGCTGGCGCAGAAGCCAATTATTTCCGAATTTGTTATAAAAAAAACAAAAAAAAATCGACCTAAATGAAAATTTTACAATTGAAAAAAATAACAAAGAATCTATGTCAAAACAAGATTCCAACGCTAGTTAAATCGTTGGAATCGGATAATTAGTTTAGCCATAATGATTTTTTTTTATTTTTTAATTACTAAAAACTTTTACTTTTAATATCATGAATATGTCAATTGAAAATTTTTTTTTTACAAAATCCTTTAGGATTTGTGTTAGTAATGTAAAATACTATCGAAAAAATGTATCTACAATCAAAAACTAATTTTGACCTAATTCAGGTGGCCCGTTTGAGAAATTCTGACCCTTTTACAATTTCATTGCTGTCAATACCTACCTATATAGGTATTTATATTATTCCGAACAAAAAAAACAGACAAAAATTCGTGGAACTTGTGAAGTGTCGATACATGGCGGGAAGTAAAGATTCTTTACTAAAGAACGCCGTGCTCGATACCACCAATCACAGACTGTGATTCAGTCAGCTGACTACTGTGAGATCAGCTGACTTTAGTGGCAGGCTGCGATTGCTTGATCATTTGTAACCGTCCATGTTTTGCAACGGTGCACTACGGCGGTGGCGTTCATTCTGTTATTCGGTTAAATTAAGTTACTTAATAACTGTTGTGCAAATCTACAATTAAGTGCAGTAACTGCGGATCAATAGGTAGGTTTTACATAATTATTAAATCATTCTTCATTTATTTACCTATACCTATACTAGGTGTTTAAAAGATGTACGCCGTAGTTGAGTTTGCACACGACGGTGACGGGGGAATTTCCGCTATCAATACAAAGTGGCTAACTCCTCGCAAAAAAGAAGTTTACTGGCCACCTTATAAACAACAGTGCAAATACGACAAGGCGCTTTATCACGCATGATAGCTCGAGCTATACATAATGTTCGATTTATGGGATAGGTCTACTCTATTAAGTTTTTTTATTTATTTATTTATATTTTATAATATATGACATTTATAATATATTTCCTTGTTTTATTTATTACAATAAATGACAAATCTTGTACGTCTTTAAGACGTCAGTACTTACGTCGTATAGACGTCTTCAAATGACGTTATTTGTACGTCCTAATATGACGTCAACGGTCTGTGACATTTGCCCGTTTCAAAGACGTGATTTTGACGTGATGTTAAGGGTGAATATGACGTAACTTGTGACCAAAAAATGCCGTGATTATGACGTCACCATGTTTGCTGGGAAGGGGGGCGGTCCGCCCCGGGGTCCCAGTCCAGAAGGCCCCCCAAATCTTAAGTAGTCTTTCTCAGTCCAACAAAAAACTATCTAAAATTTAGGGTTTTAAAATTTCCGGAAAAATTGAGCTGGCGAAAAAAAAAACAGTTTTTTTTCGGAAAAGACATTCTCAGAAAAATTGACTTGCATTTTTCTCATTTTATTCAAAGAGTAATACGAAAAAATGCAAGTCAATTTTTCTAAAAATTTGCAAATTTGTACAGATATGTAGGTACTATCCGTACACTGATATCGAGAAAAAAGTGTATTTCCAACGCTGAATATAATCATAATATCATTTTCTTAAATCAATTTAATTTAATTCAATGTTTAGTTTTATTTTTTTTTTAAATTAATTAATGTTAAGTTGTTGATTGCTACTTTTTTCAAATGTATATATTTTTCAAAAAAAAAATCAATTTTTCCCAAAAAATACATTTTTTAAGGCCTGTTTTTTTCCCAATTTTTTCGTTTTTTTTTCGACACTATAAAACCCTAGTATATGTATAAATATTTCAGGACCCAGCTTTACCATAAACTATAAACTGATTAAAAAAAAATACCCCGGAGATTTCAAGTTTCTAATGAATAAAATGATATGAAAAAAAAAACAAAATATAAAGTCAAAACTAAAAAAGATTTTGGTCTCGGGAGCCCCTAGCTGCAATCCATACGGAATTAGAAAAAAGGTTATATTTACATTAAATAATGGTTAATCTCTCTACTCCTATTACGGAATATGACCGTTCTTATATCACTTTTTAATGTGGAATTACATATATTCCTTAAAGTGTTACAGAATGAATTATTTTATCACCGGATGACGGAATAAACACTGGTAGCGACATCTCTTTTAACGAACCTTCCTCACTTTCTCCCAATTAAATTATTTTTTATGGTATTTTTTGGAAACGTAGAAAAAGTATAGTATAAAACAAATTTGAAATTGCATATATGTTGCTGTATATATACAGCTCTTGTGATACCGTCAAACTCGCCTTTGGCTCGTGTGACAAACAAAATATACTATTCATTAATAAACAAAAATTTAGAACATCCCTTAAATGTTTTGTTATAGGAGGTAGCAATGGTTACTGCATTTGGGTGACTTTTGGGCCACTTTTCCTCGTATTTTTCTGCGTTGGCTTAACCTGTTTCCATGGTTACAGGGTGTTATTTTCGTCAAGAGCGCCTCCGTCAAGGAAAACTAGATCTGTTGTGGCAAAATTGGAGTAAGTTTTGATTACAGGTCTTCGAATTTTTAAAACTGAAACTGTACTATTTTCCTAAGGTTTTTGATGCCGAATACAAATTCGACAGAATTGCTCCAACACATCAGGATTTAGAGTAGTTCTAACTCAAAAGTGGAAAAAATATAAAATAAATTATTTAATATTTCTGAGTTTGTATTGGGTAAAAATTTGATTCATTCTTTTGATCATAAAAAAGACATTAAAAAAATTTACAAGGATTTTGAAGAGGAATACTTTTGGATGTCGGTTTTTTAAATTTTGGGTTGGAGTTTCTTAACCTGAAGTAAAGGAGCAATTCTGAGGTGCGCATCAAAAACCTTCAAAAGAAATAACAATTGGAAGTGAGTTATATTTTTTATAAAAAATGTTCTTTTAGGCCTGGAGAAAATGTTTTGATAACCGCTGTATCCCAAGAATCCACGAGCCCTCTGCCAAGAGCTTATTGGATTATAGTGGCCGTATTTTCTGTGATTTCCACGATTTACGCGATAATCCATTTCTCTGTTTTCGTGCAGGGTTTTTATAAAACTTGCAATCAATATAGATTGGAACTGGAAAATAAATTTCCAGTAGGCGGGTCTGCCTTACCTGTCATACATGGGCGTTTGTCATGCCAGGGCATATTCGATTTCATGGATTATTTTGAGATGGACAGTGGGAATGCCTACAGAGGAGGTTTTATAAATACTGGTCTCGATTTAATTTTGGGTATAATTGGTGCTGCTTTCACATGGATGCTTTTCCTTCTAGCTTCTTACATTAATATTAAGATGGTACAAGCTAGTGGACATGAGGAATAATTTTGTGTATGTTTTTGCTTATTTTTATTATTTAAGACTGAATATATTCATTTAAGCACTTTAAAGTACAATTACATTTAAGTACTTATAAAAGCGAAGCTTTTAAACATTGTTTGCCATTGTAAATGCTCATACCTCATATTTTTTAGTTTTATATTTGTAACTATAGGATTTTTAAAAATAAAACTATGTATTATGCAACAAAAAATTTAATAATTTATATGTAGAATATGATGTGCAAATTCTAAGCTAGTAATAAATAAAAGGAATGTAACAGCATTTTTATATTCTTATAATAAGTAGATATAATAAATAAATATTGTAATACTATAGTATTATATAATAGCTATTATGCTAAGCATTATTTAACTTCAGTAAAAGAAGCTTCACAATAATTGACTTTCTATAATTAGGAAATTTTATGACTTTGGTTTGTTTGTTTTAATATTTGATAAAAATACTCTATGATTCAAAAAAATATTTTTTAATCAATTATTCAGTACTTGCATAACAATGTATCACAGTCATTTAAATTAAAATACATAGTTGTTAAATAATTTTGAAATATAATAATTTTGGAAATAAAATTGTGTAAATTGTTCTTTATATTAAACTGTTAAAAAAAAACAACTATTTTTATTCTTCAAAACTATATCGAAAATATTGTTCCGAATGTTGAATTAAACTGCCCTTAGCTTTCTTTTAAATCCGCAGCTTTTGCTGAAATGTATTTTCCTATTTTCCCCAATTGAAATTGAGGAAATAAAACGCCGATTAAAACCGATTGAAATCTTAGTTCAATAGTTTCAAAATTATTTTCCAATTGGAATTAATTTAGCCCAATTGAAATTGACAAAATGGTTCAGACTAATTGAAACAAAAAACTTAGATCCGGTTCAAATTATTGAAATATTAATATTTCTGATTCAACATAATTATAAACTATTAAAACTAATACCAAAACAAAATTCAAAACAATAAAAAACGATTGATATTTTAAACAGGATATAAAGTCTCTTATTTTATGAAAAAATCGGTCTTTCAAAAGTTATTCAAGGTCAAAGTTGAAATTTTTAGTAAATTTTCTACTTTTCCCGTGAAACTATCAAACTTATCGCAAAATTTCATTGGACCTGTTTTGTAGAGCATGTCATTTTCCTTATATTTTTTTACAAAGTTTTTAAAATTCCTAAAGGATTGTTAGATATTTTTGTAAATGTAAATCTAAATGCAAATTTGTTTTAATATCTGCTGTTTTGACTTCATAATTGATTATAAAATTAAATGCAAATAAATAACGATCCTCTGGAAATGTTAAAAATTTGTTAAAAAAATTTAAGTAAAATCAAACGCTCTACAAAAAAAAGTTTGATAATTTCAAGGGTAAATCTTGAAATTTACTTTATATTTAAGAACTTGAATAACTTTTTTAAAAGTAAATTTAACATAAAACGATAAAAGACCTTTTTTGTAGAACGTTTTCCTATAAAAATACGTCTTGGTTTTTCTGGTGTGCTAATCTATTGTTGAGTTATACAATTCCAAAGTTTAAAAAAATGTTTTTTTAATCGAAAATTCGCGATCTTAGTATTAAGAGCTCAAATTTTAACACGATCATTTTTTCGACATTCTGAACCATATTTTCGACATACTTTTGGAAAAAAGTCCATTTTTTAAACAGTCCAGTGTCCATGGTTTAATTAGTTTTTTAGTTATATGTTTCTAAAATTTTATTTAAAATTTTTAAAACTTAAATTCCCAATAACTTAAAATCTTAAGTGCGACATTTTTGGGACACCTGTGATTTTTAATTTGAATATTATACAGGATGTTCAAGTTCTAAAAAAACATCCAAATTAATAGACTTTATTTCACGATTTTTAATTTAAATATTATTTATACATAGTATTTAAATAATTGATTTAACATTGAAAAGTAATAAAAAGGCACAGTAATGGACTAATGCAATTGTATTACATTTGCATTTAGTTTCTATAGACGGGACCTATTTTTTTGTAATTTGAAATTACTATCGAAGCAAAACTACAAAAACAAAGTAGGTAGCCCCAACTATTTTCAGCCTTTAAATTAATAATTGTTAAAAATATTTGTATTCTATCAAGACAAAATAGACTATAAGCCACATAAGAGATTCGGAAATTTGTTTTTTTTCAACAATTACAATAAGACAACATTAATAAATTGCACAATTAATATTTAAGTAACAAATAACAGTCTTTTTCATGGAAATTCAAAGAAATAAAAGTTTTTTGAATGTCCATGGTATTAATATAAAACTTAACAAATTGAAACAACTTTAATAGACTGTAATAACAATATCTTTATACCGTATTTTCATTTTTGGTGTAAAAAGCTGACGCATTGAGTTTATTAGAGTGGGAGCACTTCTCTGTAATTGGGGGATATCGCTTTAACGCCAACGCGCAGATATTAAAAATGATACTTAAAATGTAACCTACTTTCGAGATCTCTTTTTAACAGTAAATTTTTAATTTAGTTGAATTTGTAAAATCATTATTTGTTTTGCATTTAACTAAACAGTGTTATCTTATAAACAACGTTTGAACATAAAATAGTTCTTCTAAAATCAACCTAAAAATTATTTTATCCGAAATCGGCAGTAAAGTAGTCAACAATCGGCAGTAAAGTAAAAGAAATCGGCAGTAAAGTAGAACTTAACTGCCGATTTAATACAAGTATTATATGCAACCCATTCTACATTTTAAGATGTGTCTACTGCTATTTAGAGCCGTTTCACATGCGACTGATAAAGTCCTGACGATCAGTCCTGCACTGCGTACCGTCAGGACTATTAAGGGCTGTTAATTATATGGAGTGTTGCACAATGAGTAGTTTACGCATTGATACTGAAATTGTAATAAATAGCATCGAACAGCGAAGATGCATCTGGTATGCAGATGATGAGAACTACAAAAATAGGGATGCAAAGAACAAAGCATTTGAAGAAGTAGCGTAAATAGTAGTTCCGGATTTTGAAAGTTTTGCGAAAGCACGCAAGAACTTTATTGCGTTGTATTATTCTCTTTATACAAAAAGCGGCAACAGCGCAGTTCCGTAGACATTTCCGTACTATACGTTGCTTGTGAAACAATGGTCATGACCGTCAGTCCGTGTCATCAGGACTGATCGTCAGGACTTTATCAGTCGCATGTGAAACGGCTCTTAGGAGGTCGATTGGACCCTTTCATAAAATGTTGTTTAATAAAAATAATAAGTAAATTTTATTAATTAGATTATAATCGTAACCGTCGCAACAAACGACTTTACTGCCTTGATACATAAATAACTATTATTTTATAAAGTTTTGCATTTTTAGTTTACCTTCAAAAAATTTGTTTTACGTTAAAACGTTTTTAAGGAAAAATACCTTTTGATTAAACGCAAAATATTGATTTTACACATTGGACTATATAATAATTTACTGTTAAAAGTAACTAGGTTACATTTGTGACCCCTTCATCTCAAAATACAACCATTTGTCTTCAACCTTCGATACAAAGTAACAGAAATTAATTTATTTTAAAAGGCTGCGAATTACAGCAAAACGCAAATGATGCTTGAAGCGTGTCGTCGCAGCTGCAAAATATCCCCACTCTATTTCAAGGCGTTCGTCTGTTTACTTTTAGCGTGAAAATACGGTAGGTTACACTAAAATCGCGTTTTTATAATGCATATCTAAAGAGTTAATACTGAATGTATGTATTGGATATAAAAATAATTGCAATTTTATGATCAATATAAATTATTTATATTGATCATAAAACTTTATGTAATTTTAAAATTAATAATATATGTAGGTAATATAAAGTGAAAAACTGGTGTAAATGTGATTTACAGTACTGAAAATAATTTACCTATATATTTTTTTATACCAATGTCAAAAAGACAACTTTTTTGTGGACATTAAAGCGTTAAAAGTACGTCATTTCTGAAGGGTGCACAATAGTATATTTTAGTTAAGAGTTTTATTGGGCATAAGCGAAGCTTGCGAGCGAGTGTTTAATAAAAATGAGTATCCAGAGAAGTTTATAAAACGAGTTGCATGCTATACTTAATCTAAGACGAACAGAAATAAGAATTTAAAGCCAATTTTAATTCATAAATATTTTAGTCACGAGCTGAAGTTAGCTTTATTATAAATTGCGAAAAAGTGAGGTTAAATTTGTCAAATGTCAAATATTTATGAATTAAAATTGGCTATAAATTCTTATTTCTGTTCGTCGTAGATAAAGTATAGTATGCAACTCGTTTTATAAACTTGTCTAGAAACTCGTTTTTATTTAACACTCGCTCGCTAATAAAACTCGTAACTAAAATGGCGATTAGAAAACTTGATACATGTGACTTTATGGCGTTTTAGTCACGGGCTGAAGTTAGTGGCTTTTGGGCATTTTAGTCAGGGGCTGAACTTAGCTTTATTATAAATTAGGGAAAAGTAAGGTTAAATCCGTTTAGTTGATATATGTCAAATGTTTAACAAATAAAATAGGCTTTAAATTCCTCTTTGTGTTACAGTACAGGTAGGAGATGTCTAATAGATGAATTAAAGTATGGGGACAGAAAAATAGTATACTTTATCTACGACGAATTCGTCGTAGATAAAGTATACTATTTTTTTGTCCCCATACTTTAATGAGATTTATCATTACAATACAGATTTTTAACTACAAATACAAATGCAATACACGACAATATTAACCAATAGAAATGCGGCAATATTCTGTCAATATCAACTAATCTCTTGGACATTTGACAGATCCAATATTTATCAATTTCACAAATTTTACTGTTTACATTTAAAGTGAAAAGTAGTGAATATAAAATTAAAAATTTAACCCCGACAGAAACTGCAACAAGCCGAAAAAGCTGCAAAACAACTTAAAATCACACAAAGGTACGAAACATTGCAGAATTAAAGTGTTAGCTTTCTACTTTAATATGATAGTCGTAGAAAAAATAGTGTATGCAACTTCCATTTAATAAGCTATTAAGGCACTTGCTGTATGTCATGCTCATGTTTTAATAGCCATCATTATGGTCGTTGCATATATGCTATAGCTATAGCTAGGTATGTAGCACTTTTTTAGTTTAAAAAATAGTTATTTACACAACTAGTGCGGCAAGTGCTAATTTTTCGCACGCGACTGCCGTTAAGTAGCGGGTGTTAGGCACAACAATTTTTCTTGCAATTTTCTTTATCAGTTTTGAATTTGTGGAAAAAAAATTCTACAAGCTACTTTCCGCACTGTCGACCGTGCCGAAAGTAAGCGTCCGAAAAAGTTTATTACTTTTTGACAATGGTATTGGAAAAAATAATGCATGCAACTCAAATATAAAACCACTTTTTTGGCACTATGAGGTCTCTCCATAATTCTTGCTGCATAAATTAATTACTATTATTACTATTATTTGGACTTTTAATTGACAAAACATTATTTTTATAGTAAACGGGGTGTCCCAAAAATGGCCCACTAACGCCATACAACGCGAAAGGGGGTTTATTTTGAGTATAAAAATTACAAAAAATTTGATGAGGAGTTTTTGAGTCCAAATAAAGAAAAAACAACCTAAGGAAATTTTGTTTTGTAAAAAATATTACATAGTAGTATTTGGTCTGGTTTTATTATGTTTTTAATTATTTCAGTACTGTAGGGTACTTACATATTATTATTAAAAAAATAGCTACCCATTAAGGAGTATTTTTAAATAACGGCGGCAGTAAATTATTAAGTTAATACTGCAACATATTCATAGATATAGGGTTTTAAAATTTCCGGGAAAATTGGGAAATATTCAGAAAAATTGACTTTTAATTTTTTAATTTCCAAATATTTGTACACTAGACTGGGCCAAAAAAATCAACTATTTTTTTTTTTTAAGTATATCGAAAATATGGTTTGAGGTGACAAAAAAAATTATTGTGAAAGTTTGAGTCCATAATATTATTATTAAGAGGCTCAGAACTCCCAAATCATTGAGTTTAACAAAATTGACTTGAAAATATTTTTTAAAGAAAATTAAATGCTCTACAAAAAAGGTTAAAGTGAAATTTTCCGTCAGATGAACCGTTTCCTTAAAATCATGCCTTAAAAATTGGTATAGTTTTACATTTTGATCTTTTAAATTGGAATTTTGTAACTCATGTAAAAATCAGTACCCATAAAAAACCGATAAATATTCGTATGGGAAATCAAATGCTTTACAAAAAAGCCTCTTAACATTTTTGGCTAAATTCACTGAATCAAAAGTTATTCAAGGTTAAAATTTCGTTTTGACTTCAAATTTAACCTTGAATAACTTTTGATGGGGTAAATTTAGCCAAAAATGATAAAAGACTTTTTTTGTAGAGCATTTGATTTCCCATAAGAATATTTATCGGTTTTTTTCAGGGTACTGATTTTTACTTCAATTACAAAATTCCAAAGTTAAAAGATCAAATTGTAAAACCAAACCAATTTTTAAGGCATGATTGTAAGAAAAGGGTTCATCTGACGGAAAATTCCAATCAAACCTTTTTTGTGGAGCATTTAATTTTCTTCAAAAAATATTCCTAAGTCAATTTTGTTAAACTCAATGATTTGGGAGTTCTGAGACAAAAACTCGCTCAGGAAAAAAAAATCTAAAATTGCGATGATAGACCTTTTAATATTAATATTATGGACTCAAACTTTCACTATAATTGTTTTTGTCACCCCAAACAATATTTTCGATATAGTTTCAAAAAAAAATAGTCGATTTTTTTGGCCCAGTCTACTGTACACTAAAATTATAATTCAGTAAGAATCTTCTACCGCAAAAAAATAAATTCTTTTTTTTCTAAAAGGATATTTTCAATGACCTCCCGTTTGCAAAAATATCCCAACCGAAAGTATATTTAACGTTTACGTTTATTTTCTTAAATCAATTCATTTCAATTTAATGTTTAGTTTTTTTTTTTTTTTTTCTGTAATAAATTTATTATCCTTGAGAATTTTTTTTTAAATTAAATTAATGTTAAGTTGTTGTTTGCTTTGTATATTTTCAGAAAAAAAATAATTTTTTCCCAAAAAGCCAATCTTTCCAAGGCCTGGGAAAAAACGGGAAAAACAGGTTATTTCCCCAATTCTTCCGGTTTTTTTCGAAACTTTAAAACCCTACATAGACACGATAAAAATTACTAAATGTGCTCGAATAATTTCTTTCAATCAGATGCTCTCGTACAAAATTTTGTTTTTGGCGTGCATACCTCAGGAGAACGGGTTGCCTATCCTCTTGGGTACGTATTTTTTCTCTTCTTGTTCGGGAGTTCGCACCACTTCGAACGGCATCACAGGCCTGTCGACGATATTTTGATCGTCGGAAGGGAAATCCTCGAAGCTCATGTTGCTGAAACCGCCCTCGGACTTGTGCTTGCTCGGTTTCTTGTACTTCCCCGGTTTTCCCGTTTTCTGCGAGCTGGCGATTTTTATTTTGTTCGAGTAACTCGGGCTGTCGTCCGAAATACTCTCGTCGATTAATTGGTACTTTGATTTTTCCTTCTTCTTGTCCTTTTTGTGTTTGTGCGCGATTTCCTGCGACTCGGAACGAACGATGTCGTTGGGCACGTAATTTTCCGCCAAATCGGCGGAAAATTCCTGATAAGTAACCTCGATGTGTTTTGGCGAACTGAAACTATCGTCAAAATGGTTTACTTCGGGGAGGTTAACGTTTTCGTATATAACTTCCTTTTTGTCGGATATGAACGCGACGGGGTCGAAATTCGACTCGAAAGTGGTCACTTTAAACTCGGAGGAGGGAGTCGATGGTAATTCTATGTTAATAAAGTTCGAAGTGACGATGACTTTTCCGAACGGGGTGGTTTCTTGAATGGGAAACTCCGGCGTCAAAAATGGGTTGTTGGACGTGCTTGTTACACTACTTTTTCTCGACGAGAAAACGGGGCTAAAGTCGTTTTTTACTTCCACTACAGTTTCCGCGGTGCTTGTTGTGGGGGAGAAAACTTGCTTCGCTTTTTTTGATTTAGCGAACGGCGCCATCGCGAATACATCGCTTTCATCTTCGAAACTACTGGACGGTTTAATCCACAACTCCTTGGCATCCTTTTTATCCCACTCGTTCTCAACGGTTTCCCCGCAATCGCTATCCAACTCATCGTCCATCAACAGCGGTTTTTCCCCGTACTGATGCCCAACAAATAGCAAATCTTCAGTTATAACCTCGGCGGTTTTCTTAGCTTCCTCCTTTCTAAGCGCCCTTATTTTCCTGCTAGTATAATCATCGTCCCTTGTCGCCAAACTTTCGCACTCCGCGTGATAAGCGGAAGAACCGCAAGTTTTTATGCTCTCGCTTATCGTTTCGCTTACAGCCTCGTTTTTCTTGGCAGGCTGTTCGACTTCGTCGTCATCCACGCGCAAGTCACTAGCGGAACCGATGGAATCGTCGGAATCCACCCCGCCTACGTTGTTTTCGTCCGTTTTAGCCTTCTTCTTCTTGGTTTTTTTCTCTTTGGTAAACGTTTTTACAATGGGTATTTCGACGGTTTTCAGAATTTTTTCCGGGAAGTGTATTTTGCGCTTTTTCTTACTCCTATCGAAGTTACGGTTGGGTTCCTGCTCATCACCACTGCTGTCCGTTGTGATGTAAGCAACAGGTATCAACTTTTCGTACTTGGATCTGTCCTCCAAAGGGGCCTTAACGTATGGAGGCGATATTGCGTTATTGGACTCGGCTTCTGTGTCCGTTATTAGAGGGACATCACCCTCTGAAAAAGTCAAGTTGGACGGTTCAGGCGAATAATTGAACGAAGTTGTGGTTTCCTCTTCTATCAGCGGTTCCGGTATGTTTGTTCTGTACACAGGAGTAGCTGCAAAGCAAATTGTTTGCTGTAAATGTTAGTAAATTAAAGCAGACACCAAAATACGTAAGGCTCATCATAGAGGTCAGATAAAATTCAAAAAATCACAGTGTGTTAGTTCAACAAAAAATTAGGTACACATGAGAATCATACTTACCTAAATAATATACATTGCTTTACTTTTTTACAGTGCAACTACTTGTCCACACAATACTTACCCAGGATGTTAAATTTATTTACAATATAGAGATTTTGTTATCTGCTGGAAATACCTATTTTATAAAACCTCCATTTTTAAATTCATAATTTTGGTCAACTACTTTTAAGTCTAGAATTCTAATTTAAAACTTATATTTGATTGTTTTGCGTAAAAATTAAAAAATATATTTTCGCAAATAAGGAGCTGTCCATTAAGAACGTCACATTTTTTTTGAATTTTAGAACCCTCTTGCCCTGTCTCATATTGTCACAAAGTCTCCCCTTCTCCCCAAGGTCACACGCCATACTAAGATTTTTTTATTTTATCAATAGTTTATTATTTATTAAGTTTGATAATGGTATATTATTTAATCTATTTTGCAAAATTTCTATAAACCTTAAATTTAATTTGGTCGAATTTTACTTTAGATAGTTGGTATCGCAGTCATTGGTTTGACAGTTAATGTCAAAATCGATTCGCCATGCCGTCCTTAATTTACTTATTTACAATAAGCGGCTGTTAATGTTAAAGAAGAAAAAAGGGATTTTTTTTATTGCCAGAAAAGTCTCGTAAGTATGTACTAGAAAAATCATAAAAATATTATAACCAATATGTTTAAAGTCTAGCCAACTTATAAAATCAAAATTTTGGGTGGGATAAAGTATCTCATTAAAGCACCAAAAGCGGTGTTATAATGAAGTCATTATGAACGCAAAATAGATAAACGCCATTTTAGACACGAATTTAATTTAGTGCTTAATTAAATGAGTGCCTAGAAAAGGACAAATACTATTATTATCTAAAAATAATTTAAAATAAAAATTTGTATAGAGCGACATATATAAAACAATAAAGTAATTAACTTGGGAATCTGTATTATGTCAGATGTCAAATATTTGTGTAAATCGAAATGTATCCCTTAAAATTGGACCATTTAATCCGATGTAGAAGCAGTTTTTCACAGTGAAAGTAAAGAAAATGTTTTATGGGCACTCCTTACTGCCGGCGAAACTAAAAGGTCAGTAGAATGTTTATATAAACTTTTCAAATATTGGCGTTGAGAAACTATTTAATAATTTTGTATTTTTGTATTGAGATAATAAAATAATTTTTACATTTAGTATTATTTTAACGATTGTATAACATTTGACAACTATCAACTAACTTCAGCCCGTGACTAAAAACCTGTTGCTAACTTCAGACCGTAACTAAAACGCCCTAAAGCCACAACTTGTCAATGTGTATTTAAAAGGTTACTTAGTGTCATGGAAACATGTACGATAATGGGCGTTTTATAGGTTGGAGTAGAAAAATATATTTGTCTTCGAAAATTATATGTAGGTCACTAACGCTTTGACCGCAAGGAAGTATCTAGGTTGCTTATTTTTAATTTGATAAACTACTTATTGACGGAATAAATATGTACATTTGTACCTAGGGTTGCCAGAAATCAAAATTAACTTGAAAGAATAGAAGTTTAAAAAATATAATATATTTTTTAAATTATAGAAGATTCAAATACACCATTAGTAGGTGCCTTTAATTACAAATGTATTAAAAAGAAAAACATTTAGAAAAATTAAAATTATTAAATTATAAAATAATAAGAAATATTAACTATTTATATTACGCGCTGAAGGGGGGTTATTTTAAGTATAAAAACCTATACATTTTTTTCGACAAGTAGTTTTCAAGTAATTAAGCAGTAAGGTTTAAAAAACTCGGCAATTAAAATATTTTTATTTTTTATGGTGTGACGCTCGATCCACCACATTTCATACTTCACAAGCGGTGGACCCTCTCCCCCCTAAACATGTGACGTTCTTTATGAACGGCCCCTAAACATTAAATAATTCTATTTTCAAGAAATTCTGCGCTTTACTTTGAATAGGAAATGATATCTGTAAAAAGCAATAAACCAATCAGAAAACAGAATTATACATTGCACCTATAGTGTGCTGTGGAGAATGCCGTGCTTTGATTGGTTTAATATTGCTTTCTATAGAGATAATTTTCTGTAGACAGTAAAGTCGCAAATTTCAAAAAGCCCCCCAGGATACTTTGAAGTATTTTTGGTTATTTGTTATTTTATATTAAACAAAAGGTTTTAACTTTACAGAAAAAATATTTTTTGCAAACATATAGACCCAGACAAAAAAGTGTTAATTAAAAAATGCTGTTCAGTGGTTAAAAGGTCCAATTACATAAATATTAGTAACCATTTTTCCACCACCAGTCTGGAACAACGATTTTTAGATATACTTAAAAGGAAAGGTAAGAAAATGAGTAAAAGTAACGCTTTGTTAACTTTTGACTCATTTTAACATTAGAAATAAATAAAGAGAATGACGGTAACATAAGCAAATTTATTGCTGCATAAAATACAATAGCTGTACAAGACTTGTCTAGTTATTTTTTTTTATTAGTAAGAGACAATCACATCACCAAAACTGTAATTTTTTTAGTTTATACATTATATTATGACAAAAATAGGAAAACATTTTGGAGAAAAGAAAAATACAGCAACAAACATAAAAAAGGCGCTTAATGTAGATTCAAATATTTCTAAAAATGCTGTTCCAAAATCATTAAATGGCAATTAATCTAATTTGATATAGTTTCTATAATAATTACAACATATAAAATGATATGTGATGTAAAACTAAAACATAATCACAAAATTTCAATCACATTTTAATTATAATTAGCAGGGTAGGCAGGAAAAACCACCGTGATGAATTTGTAAGTGTAATGACATACAAGTATGGCAACGCTGTATGTCAAGCCAATAGATAAAGCATACAAAATTATTTTATGTACATAATTTCTGGCAAAAAATTCGACTCGATGCTTGCTGATTTTTGTTGGTCAATCTTCAAAGAGGCATAAAATTAAACATTTTTTACATTCTTTACAACTTGTTATTTAAGTAGTTTTTTTTATTTTTTTAAATATAAATTAATTTTAATATTTTATACTACCAACTGACAAAAAAGTTTATTATTGATAAATAATAATTTTTTGGAAATAAATAAATTTTAATAGATTTTAAAATTGGAATTGGCAAATAATGTTAATTATAAATAAATAAAATAAATAAAGATATTTTAAGAGGGATTATATAAGCTATATATATATATATATATATATATATATATATATATACATATATAGCAAAACAACAAATTAAAAAATTTTTAAACAAAAAATTTCAAATATCTTGAGAAAACGACCTAATTTTAAAAAACGGATTACACCACTGAATTCTACACCCAAAAATTAGGTTTACATGTCCCGGCGATTTTTTGTGTCTTTTTGATGTTACTACTGAGTAATTAATGCATAACAAGGTGAATAATAACTTTATTGTTCTTGGAGGTTATAAGGTTTATCATTATATTGATTTACCATAGTTTTTTTGTTGTAGGTATTTAATTTATATACATGTACTTGAATAACATAATAGCTTTTGAATTGACTTGTCTCATATCGTATGATCTTTAGACCAATAAATATTATTATTATTATCATATGAAAAAACAATATTATGCAATAGGAGTAGATAAATCTTTTTTCCTATTGTGTAAATATTATTATTATTATCATATGAAAAAACAATGTTATGCAATAGGAGTAGATAAATCTTTTTTCCTATTGTGTACTGCATCCGCGGACACACTGTATATAATATAACAAACTTCAAATGATTTTATAGTGACAGGACATACAGCATTGTCAAAAACTGAGTTTTCATATATAGTTATTAATATATATTATATTATTATATTATATTATATTATTAATATATATTATATAACCTAAAAGTAGAGATGGCAGATGCTTGGGTACTTTTAACAGTGTACATAAATGTTTGAACATTTTTAAAAGCGCCCTAGCAGTTATAAGCATTTTTAAAAGTGATAATCCTTCTCTACCTAAAAGTAAAGCTTTATTAAAAAAATCCAGTTTGTAAATTTTTGAAACAAAATAATCTTATTCGACTGGTGGTTTTTGCCAACTAAAATTAAAATACATACATATAACAAGATTAAAATATATACACTCTTTTTGAGCTATGACAATTAAATTAAGATTTATCACAAACAGCAACGCAAAATATGTCAATATTTATTTATTATAATGGTGCTATTTTTATAGTAAATACTAACTTTATGTCTTGATAAATCTTAACATATTTCGGTGCTGAAGATTGCGATTTATATTTCTATGAAGCTATTTTATCTAATAAATAATTACACATGCAAAACGATGTGTAACTATCTAGGCCAGACTATATCTGAACTCTATGATGGTCAATATAATCACAACATTGAAATCTGGTAAAAATTCAAAAATATATACAACTCGCTGACGATGCATGTAATTTTGCAAATAATTCACAAAAATATCTAGAAATCTTAGCCCTTTTATTACAAAACTACATTAATCGACGGCAATAAAAATAAATGTACTTTTTAATAGTAAGAGATGTCTTTTATCATAGATTTCTAATGGAATGGTAAAATAAAAAAAATACTTAATAATGTTTAATGTTTAAGTACTATTCAGACACCACACGTGTGTACACATAAAATGATTTTAATAAAGCCAAGTATAATGTAAAAAAGAAGACATAAAAATTACGAAAATATAGTCTGATTGAAAGGATTTTAATAAAGCTAAGGATAATGTAAAAAAGAAAACATCTTCCATTTAATATTATCTATTACTTACTTTATGTTTTGTTGTTTATGTTTAAAAAAAATGTAGGGTATTAGGAAATTTTAAACTTCCCTTTAATATAAGGGACATTTACTTATATGATAATGTGGAATACTTAGGTAGGAAATATAAAATAAAATATGTAGGTATATATAAAAAAGTAAATATCACAAAATTTCGGGAAATTTGGTTAATTTTTGACTAGAGAGACACATAGGAACATAAACATACCAAAATACTGATACAGTCCGCTTTTTTACATTATCTCAAACTAATACCAATAGTAAACACCTAATTTAAATCAAAAGCAGAAACATACGCTCACCCGTGAAAATTTTCGACCAATAATTTGCAAAACTTGCTTATTACATAAGAAAATGTTTTTATCAAAAAAATTAAAAAAATCTTTTATGGTTTTAAGTTCCTTAACTCTTTGAAAGATTTTTACAAATTATTTTGTGCAATTTAGGCAATTTCATACATACGATTTTTTTCTTTTTGATAATAATTATTGTTATTAAATTTTTTATAATAAATACATAATATCAATTATTAAAATTGGCATTATAATGATGTTAAAATTTAATTTACTCTGATAATTAAATAGCTCTTATTGTTATTACATTTTTTATGTTAATATTAATTATTAAGATTGTTTTAATGTTTTAATTTAATTTACTTTGATAATTAAATAGCTATTTCTATGATATTTAAAATAATTTCAGAGCTATCTATAGTTATTAAACATATTGCAAAAAATACATGTAATATTGTAATAAACATGGTGCACCAAGAAGGATACTTTGTGTATTATTATAACACATATATATATTATACACAAAGCATCCTTTTTGGTGCACCTTTTATATTACAATTGTATAATACTTTTATGGGTATTTTTTAAGAGACACAAGGTGGGTTAAATTAAGGAAAAATTGCGTAATTTCAAGCCTATTAAAATTAAATTTATAAATTTGGAAAAAATTCAGCGGTTCGAAAAATATTTGAAAAAGCTAAAAAACCTTTCAAAACCAAAAATCGTTCTTCTTTATTCCTGGGAATTTTGAAAAAAAGTAAGTTTTACATTTATTCTTACACATTAATCTACATTTTCATACAATTTCTTCGATTCTATATTTTAAGTTTCCATCACCATCTTTTGTTTTTATAATGGCCGCCTTAACTTATGTAGTTTGATAGGTACATTGTAGGGTCCCTTGATTTTTTTCTCATATAACCATGTAAAATTTTAATATGACGGCCATAGGATAAACAAAAGATTTTGGGTGTAAATATAGTAAATCTAGTAGGCAAAAGTCACAAATTGGATGAAAATATTCCCATCCCATCGAAATTCCCAGGGATAATGAAGTTATAACGATTTTAATAGACATTACGCAACTTTTCTCGACCTTGTAATAGTTCTTTAAATTAAAAAGATACCTATACATAGAAGTTGGAGCACTCTGATGTAACGTAATTTGTCACATGAATTTTTTTTATGTCAATAAGTGAGTTTTGCAAACCAAACCAAGTTATTTAAAGTCGAAAACATCCAAAAACCAATTTTTTCTTTACAGTAATTTTTTCATATTTTGACACTACTAAGATATATAAAGTTCGTTTTTTATATTTTAACTTCGAAAAATTGTTGTTAAATTGTGTTTATGTATTGTCACACCTAATTTGCTATTTTTTGCCTTAAAACACAGGCCTAAAAAACCCAAACCAGGCCATATTTTTCCCAACGTTCTAGAAGTGCTAAATCCGAATTTGACCTCAGGTTTCAGTATTCATACAGAGTTTTTGGTACTACAGTGGTAGTTTGAAACTAGTTCTATTATAGAAATTAGTCACTAAAAACAACCATAACCTTGAGAAAACGATTTATGCTATAAATTATTCTTAAAAATGACTGAAAATCGATGTTATAATATAAATGGTATATTGGTATTATACATATATTGGTAGATATAGGGTGTCAAGTTTTACGAATGAAGTACATTCTTTGACAGTAATAATATTTTTACTTGTTATTAAACCACTAACAGCGTATTTTGGTAGAAAGTTCATAAAATTATTTTTAAAATTATCTATGTACTCATCCTCGATTTTCAAAGAATTTACATACTTTAAAGAATATTGAACATAACCTAGAAAAAAAACATGCTGGTCATCTATGAAACAGATGTTAAACCAAACCAATAGATGCATCAGTCATGACTATCTTAAAGATTATATAGTTTGGAGCCAAATGAAGCGCCCTCTCTGAACTTGGTTAAAAATTAAATTACGTGTTTACAGGCAACTGTTGCCAACATAACTTTTAATTGGTGGAAAATCAACGTATTTGATTGGTTACTTCAATGGCGCTATATTTAAAATCTAACTTGTGTCTAGATTTTAAATATAATTAGTAACGAAAATAATAACTTTGTTAACTTCTGTGGTTATGCTGTTTAGTAATTATCAAGCAACTTTAATTAACTAAAGAAATTCGCAGATTTATGGAAAAGCAATGTGAAAACAAATGTATGTAAATGTAAAACAAGTGTACCTATTTAGTATTCATTTGTAAAATCTGTAACTTATTTAATTTGTAAAACTCGTTGAATCATTATCATACTTATTCCCAAAAGTACCATTCATATATGGTAAAAAACATTGTTTTTGTTATTTATGATAGTATACCAAAAGTAACTGTCTCATTGATCATTATTTGGAAATTGAAGAATGTGACGTCACAATCTCTCTTCAAGATAATCGAATCGTTTTGAATCTAGCCGTTTTCAAAAATTATTTGAGAAACGTAGCAATTAAAAAAAACTTGACCACAACGGGAACTACTTTTGGTACAATTTGCTACAATGGAGTATTTTTGAGGAAAAAAAAAATATTTCTGTTTTGGGAATCGGACCCTAGCCTCCCAGGTGAGAGCCAGGTATCCTACTAGACCATACGGGATATGTTTATTTTACAAAATTAATTATTGTATACAGGGTGTTTCATAATATATGCGCAGGACTTCAGGATGTGATAACTCATCCAAAAAGATGAAAAAAGTCGCAATTAACTTACGCTCTAAAATGCACAATTTTCGAGATACAGGGTGTTGAAATTTTAGAAAAAAAAACGAATTTTCTCCGGAACCGTTTATCGTACAAAAAACAGCTTTTGTTAGCATTTTCTACTCAAAATAAGCTATGTTTTGTGCCAGAAAAAATTTTTTTTTCCTCATAATTGGTGGAGATTTTGAAGGGGTAGCGGGTGTTTTTCTCCTCAACTTCTACGCCCCTGAAAAATGTACGGTTTTCAGAGGCCTATTCGAACCGCCAATCTTCTACACAAAAAAGGTACTCTTGGTCATAAGCTCTAAAGTTGACCGTTTTCGAGAAAAATCAACTTTTATGTTTAAAAACATGGTCAATTTAAAAAAAAATAGTTTTTTTTGCTAATTAAACAAAATTTATTTTTACGTTAGAACAAGTAACAAAACCAAACCATAATTGCAAAATAAAAAATGATTCAAAAGTTGTCTTTGCTAAATTCTCCAAACCGTAAAGGTAACGCATTTCGAACATTTCAGCATTTGTGTAAAAAATCATTTTTTTTTTTTTTAATTTTGCAATTATCGTTTGGTTTTGTTACTTTTTCTAAAGTTAAAATAAATTTTGTTTAATTAGTAATAAAATTTTTTTTTCAAAAAATTGACCATGTTTTTAATTTTTAAATTGACCATGTTTTTAAACATAAAAGTTGATTTTTCTTGAAAACGGTCTACTTTAGAGCTTATGACCAAGAGTACCTTTTTGTGTAGAAAACATTGGCGGTTCGAATGGGCCTCTCAAAACCGTACTTTTTTCAGGGGCGTTGAAGTTGAGGAGAAAAACACACGCTACCCCTTGAAAATCTCCACCAATTATGAGTAAAAAAAAATTTTTTCTGGCACAAAACATAGCTTATTATGAGTAGAAAATGCTTACAAAAGCTGTTTTTTGTACGATAAACGGTTCCAGAGATAATCGAAAAAAACGATTTTTTTTCTAAAATTTCAACACCCTGTATCTCGAAAATTGTGCATTTTAGAGGGTAAGTTAATAGCGACTTTTTTATCTTTTTGGATGAGCTATCACATCCTGAAGTCCTGCGCATATAATATGAAACACCCTGTATAGATAGCTTAGGAGAGCTTAAGCACATTTCCGCGGGCGCGGTATATAAGTGAAAAATGCCATATTAATCTTTTTTTCTAAATATATTCGAAACAAAGTTTTCTATTTACTAAAAAATTTTTGGTTTAGTTTCTAGAACTAAAAACGCGTAATTTAAAAAAGAAAAAAATATTTTACTAAGCAAAAGAAACTTTCTTCTATTTGAAAAAAAAAATGTTAAAATTTTAGTATGGTATAAAAAAAATTTGATTGATTTCAACTAAGGATTTCTTAAAGATTAGTATTAATGTAAAAAGCGTTTTTTTTACTTTTGGGTTGGCATTTCTCAACTCAAAAACCTGATGTAATGGAGCAACACTGAGGCCGAAGTCGAATTCAGTGCATCAAAAACCTTCGGAAAAGCATAGTCTAATAGGCCTGTATAATTAATAAATACTGACCATTTCGAAAAACTAAAAAACGAACTTTAGGTTACTTGACGTACTATCATATTTTTTTTGTATTGTTGAAGAAGCAGCAAATTTATTGTGATTTGTTAGGATTCGTTACCTGTGGACTGAAGGCCCGTCTTGGCGGAGTTGGCAGCCCTGTCGCCGCGCCTCACCGGAAGACTGAACGGGGCGCACCCGAACGGGTCTTCGGAAACGGACATCACCAGCGACTCGCGCGACTTTACGCCTTGAATACCTGAAAAAAATCATTGAAGTTGTGCTTATTTCCTTATTTCCAAAATTTTAGCTGGCAACGGAAGTTGCGTGCGCACAGCTAATATAAATTGAATAGTATGTTGGCCGCAAATGGTCGCATAGTTACTCACATAACACAATATGTTATAAAAATGTTGTCAGGCCGTTTGGAGAACAATATTTATTAATAAAAGGTTGATATGTTGTACGAATATTTAGGGAAAAATATTTCTGAAACATGTATAAATATTTTTCAACATTTATTTTGCAATTTTATGTAAATATTATTTCCTAAATATTGTTAAGTTATTTAACAATATTTATAAACTTTTTAAAAAGTTCATCAAAAGTTTTCTGATGTAAGCGCCCTCTTGATAAAAAGGTATCTGTTGTTTGAGGCTCGGCCGCTAAAGTCATCCACAAATCAGCGTCAGTTCGGCCATTTTTTCGTTGTTGAGTGTGTTTCAAGTGCGACGATAAGTTAAAATAATATTAATAAATTATCCAGATAATCCTTCCTGCCAGAGGTACCTATTATATTTATTTTGATTGTTTAGATTATTATTGCTATTTATGAATGGAAGTGTACTGAACCGCAACGGTACCTAAAATTTTATTGCCACCCTATTGAAATCGACATAACAATAACCAAACATAAACCTAATAAAATCGCTTAGAAAACCAAAAATATTATTGTTTTTTAATTTTTAAAAACAAAAAAGTAATTTCCTCGAGCGGAATTGAACCGAAGACTCTAATTTAAATTAAATTCTTTTTAGCCTCCATCCGGAAAAATTCAAAAACCGAAACTGAGACGGAAAATGACATTTAACCGGAGTTACGAAAATGGATGGCTCAAGCTAAATTTAGAAAAATTAAGTAAAAAAGAAAGTTAAAAAGAAAAACCAAGACTGTAGAAAGAAAAATATTCTTTTATTTCTGTAAATTTTTCCTAAGAATTTTTGTTTTACATATTTCACTTTTATTTATATCGTATATTTTTAAAATAAACTATTTTTAAATATAAATTTTATTAAGACGTGTACTAAATTTTCTTGTATTTTTAGCATGCAAAAAAATAGATCTACAGCTATGGTATTTCACTGTTTTAGTATATCTAATATGAGAATACCATACCACATCTAATTTTTGCACTACAAAACAAGAAAATTCTGTATATAAAAAGTATCGCACGGCTTTTATAAACATTTACAACATTTTTAAATTAAATATACAATGAACTGTAAATATTTTGAAAATATTTACAGATATTTCTGTGATGTTGAGGAAACATTAATAAAATATAAGGAAATGTATCTAAAACATTTATAAAAAGGTTTAAAAATGCTGTGAAAAAATATTGTATAAATATAAAAAGTGGGACATCTAAATTGAAATAAGAAAGAGAGAGAGATGGAAATAAAGAAATCAAATATGGCGGCCGCCCTCAGGTGGCGGATTGCCTATTTCTCACAACCTTCTTGACATGGGTATTAGGGTGAGCCAAAAAAACTAACCTATTGAATTTATGGGTTAAAATGAACCTATATTTTCAGCTCAATTTTAAAAGGTGTCGGTGAGCATTTAAAGTTTCCAATTTAAATAACACGTAAAAAAATTTTCTTTCATTAAAAATACCATAACTTTTGAACCGTTTACGATAAAAATTTTTACGTCGCGGATTCTTGTAGAGCATAAAATTTCCTAAAAAAATCTACCCCAGGATTATTTTTTTCAATTAAAAAATTCGTATATTTGAAAGCTTTGAAAAATGAAAAAAATTAAAATATTCAGTTTTAGTGATTTTTTACACTTTTCAAACATACGAATTTTTGAATTGAAAAAAATAATCCTGGGATAGATTCTTTGGGAAATTTTATGCTCTACAAGAATCCGCGACGTAAAAATTATTATCGTAAACGGTTTAAAGGTTATGGTATTTTTAATGAAAGAAGATTTTTTTACGTGTTATTTAAATGGGAAACTGCTCACCGACACCTTTTAAAATTGAGCTAAAAATACTGCCTTGCAGGGACATTTTTTTCTCGGTATATAGGTTCATTTTAACCCATAAATTCAATAGGTTAGTTTTTTTGGCTCACCTTAATGGGTATTAAATGAAATGGTTTGACTAGTTGAAAACGCAAAATTACCGAATCATTAAAATTATGTTTTTATTAATTTTATTTAATGCTTTGGTAAAAAATATTTTACTGAAATTTAAAGTAAAAATGTGGGAAAACTTACTACTTTGGCTGCCCCTGCGTATTTTGTCGAACTCGGCGCCGAAAATGTGATCCTCCGTCATCTGTCCGAAAGGCGGTTCCTCGAAGGGGTTCCAGTCGGCCACGTCGGCCGACAGAGAGCGGCCGTCGGAGCCGACGGCGTGGCTCACGTCGGTCGTGGAGACCGACGAGCCGATCGGCACTCGGGCGCGCACGACGTCGCCCGAACCTTGAAGGGTGGGCGAATCGGCGCTGCTGCGCGGCTTAGACGATTCGTAAGGCGCCAAGAATTGAGTTGTTTCGGTAGTATAAACCCTGAGTAAAGATAATGAGGAATAATAAAGTAAATAGTTATTTTACTACAAATTTGTTTTAAAACAAACTTAAAAAGCAAAATTAAAAAAAAATTTGTTTTAAACGATATCTTAACATATATTACTGTACTCAAATTAAAGAGAATTTCGTTACAAATTCAATGGTGCCACAATAAATATATCATACCATTTGAAAAACATAAATTATGGTTATTTAAAGTTTTTTTTTGTAACGTGTCCTTTTTGGGCAGGGTTGGCATATTTAAAACAAAATGTTTTAAACCAACATTATAAACAGTTTAAAACAAAGTGCTTAAAAACAAAGAATAAAACTTTTCCAAAGTTCAAACCACTACATTTACTAAAAATATTACATTTTTGGTTTTAAATGAGTTTTAAACTAACCATAAAAACATATTTAGTGTATAATGTTTGGGAATAGTTATTTTCCTAACAAGTGCGCAAAGTTACATTTTTCCGCACGCTACTGCAATTGCATAAACGACGCGAGTTCGGGCAAGCAGTAAGTGCGGAAAAATTACTTTGTGCTAGGAACAATGTTTTTTCTACTAGCCTGCGCAAAGTTAGATAACAATGATTATTAAATTAATTTTTTGTCCAATATTTTATTTGATAATTTTTTTTTTGGGTCATGGCTATGTACATAGCTCTCGGCTCTAGCCTCCAAGTCGCTTAACATTTTTTTTTATGTATTTATTAAACCCTAAAAGATTACAAGCATCTACAACAGGTATAAATTAAAGAATATATATTAATACATGTCAAGTTCTCAGCAGGGCCGGCTTAAGGCAATCCAGCGCCTTAGGCACTTAAAAATTTGGCGCCTATTACTAGATACTATACTTACTTACCTTATTATCCCTTATAAATTAAAATATTTTTTATTAAAAAAATACATATAAAACATAATTTAAAAATGTTTAAGACGAGTTATTGTTTTAGACATATTTTAATTTAGTCTTAAAATGAATAAGTGAAAAATGACTAATTATAAGTCATATTTGAATTATTGTCATAGCGACAAAGCAGTCACTAATAATTATTAGCAGTCACTAATTATAATTAGTCAAATTATACGGAAAGCAACAGTCAAATTAGTAGACGCACCTCTGCTACTTATTAAATTTATGATATCTGTCAATAAATATTGTTAATAAAATTGTTAAAGTTACTTATTACTCTCAGTAACAGTAAAATATGGCGACTTATCTTAAATTAGTCAAACTTTAACTAATTAAGTATACTATAGTAAAAAATAAATATTTAAAAGTAAAAACGACTATTTAATTAGTAAACAATGCTGATACTAATTCAAATAGTAGAATTTTTACTATTTCATTTCAAGAGAGTAAATAACCATATTTGGTAAATTATAATTATATATATATATATATATATATAATATAAGTAGTTTAAATAAACTTAAATTGACTTAAGAGTTAAAAAGAAGTTAAAAAAGGGTAAAATAAACCAAAAACTATCAAATATTAACTTCTTTTTAACCAAAGTTAACCAAGAAGTTAAGTTTAACTATCATAACGTTAATTTTACCATAATTAAATTTCCCACTTATTACAAAATAACGTTAATTTAACCAGTGGTGCTACTTGGGTAGTAAATATTTAAAAATTGTAAAACAGCTTTAATTCCCTGTAGTTTTATGTAAGGCATTACACCGCGTTATTACAAAGGAAGCCGATGTTTTATAAAATAATAAAAACAGTAAAGAATATTCGGTGCTCTACCGTTCCCATAATTGTATATAGTTTATTTGCTTTATTTTTTGGAAAAATAAACCATTTGGTAACAATTTTTTTAAGTTGGTTGGGGACAATGCGCCTATTTTTTTGTGGCGCCTAAGGCAATTGCCTTGCCTGCCTAATGGGTAATATGGCCCTGGTTGAGAACAAATAATTTTTTAAATTAAGAATAAATAGGTTTAAGGATGTAAGCGTTTTAATATTTTCTGGTAGTTGGTTAATCAATATCACAGCCTGAGAGGAGATCTTCTTTTTTCCAACATTTGGAAATTCCTTCCCCAGAATCAGCTAACATGGTAGCGGAGGATCTACGAAAACTATGACCTGTGTAAAGTTTTAGATATGCAGCTATTTGTGCAGGCATTTTACCGAATGTATTAATTCCTACACATTGGGTAGTGCATGCTCTTCTTTTATAATTGATAAAAACCGCTTGTGTGGGGTATTTGGTTTTCGCAAATTTGAATATTTTCGAAACAGTTGTAAGTAATATGACCATTATTGATTTCATCAGATATCACAAAGATTCTTGATGTGTAATTTTTACTATCCGAAATTTTCACGTCTACCAAATTTTCTTTATCTTCTATATAATCAATCATTATCATTGAGAGCTCTTCTCGCCTGCAAGCACCAGCCAACCCAAAAATAGTGGCAACTTTTATTAAAAGGTAAATTTCATCTGGTGCTTCTTTAATGAATCTTGAAATGTCATCTTTCTCAAAAATTTTGGACTTTTACAATTCTTGTGCTTTGGATTTCTACAAATTAATAAATGTTTTAAACGTTGTGTTTCTTACAGAGAGACTTGCAAGCCTTAAAAGAGACCTCAAAGTGGTAAGACCAATCATTTTACTGCTCTTTTGTAAAAAATAAACCTTGTTCTATCAGGGCTGTCAAATGTCAATTTGAAGGTTAATTTAAGGTTATTTTATAACCCATAAATTAAATTTCAAATTGACATTTAATAGAATAAGGTTTATTTTTTACAAAAGAGGAGTAAAATGATTGTTCTTACCACTTTGAGGTCTCTTTTAAGGTTTGCAAGTCTCTCTGCAAGAAACACAAAGTTTAAAACGATTATTAATCTGTACAAACCCAAAGCACAAGAATTGTAAACAAGAAAAATGGCCGCCATCGTTTTATGTGCAGTGTTGCAGTGATTTTTAGTATTTTTACTACGAGATCGAACAGACCTTGTTGTGTGGATTGTGGTTATAGGTAATTAAATTTGATTTTTTTAAAATCAACATACATACGTACATTTTAAATGCAAATGCGTGCGGAAAAGTGCAACTTTGCGCACGCAAATGGGTGCGGATAAGTGTTACTTTGCGCACGCTAGTAGAAAAAATAATTAAATATTTTTTTTCAGGTTGAGTAAAAAAAAGAAAAAAATTTAGAAAAGTACTATAACATAAAAATTTCATCCAAATTAAAAAGATTGTTGGATAACACAATTTTTCGGCATATAAAGGATGCACCACCAACCATCCTTCTATGTGTTTTTTTATTTGAAGAGCTACAAGGTCGGTTAAATTAGACAAAAGTTGCGTAATAAGTTTATAAAAATGGGAAAAAACAGCCCTTGTCAAATAATTTGAAATGAACTGAAAACCTGTCAAAACCAAAAATCGTTGAATAGTATATTCTGTAACAAGTTTACACGAGCCGAAGGCGAGTTTGACGGTTTCACGAGATGCAATTTCAAACTTGTTTCAGACTATACTTTTTCTACGTTTACGAAAATATTTCTCATTACATTTTTTTTAATGATTATTGTATTCAAACTAAATCGTTGAAACTTCGTTAAAACTAGATTTTGAGTTACCACCACCATCTAATGTTTTTTCTATGGCCGCCATATTGAAATTTTACACGGTCAGATAAAAATATAATCAAGGAATTCAACGATATATTCAACTACACACATAAGTTATGGCGGCCATTATAAAAACAAAATATGGTGATAGTAACTCAAAATATAGTAGCAAAGAATATTGCGTATGTTTACATGTAAAACTTAGGGGACACCATTAATTACGTGAGGTATTTTTCTGATAAATTGGACCCCCTGAGGTGAGATATGGTGAGATGTGATAGACCCCCCTATTCCTCACGTGAGATTCTAGCCAAGAAACTTTCTTTGTGGACAACATAATAAACCCCAAAATTGAATTATATTACATGTTCCTTAAACTCGTCAGATTTTCAATGATCCCCCTCCCTTAAAATGAGATTTGGTAAGGTTATGCTAGACCCCTCCCCCATTTTTATCTTACGTTATTTCAAAATTCTCAGGGCTAACGAAGTTATAACGATTTTTGGGTTTTGGAAGGTTTTTAGTTTTTTAAATATTTTGGGAACCACTGACTTTTTTTCATTTTATAAGTTTCCTTTTAATAGGTTGATAATTACCCAACTTTTATCCAATTTAACCGACCTTTTAGTTCTTCAAATAAAAAATACACTGCGCGTCAAAATTAACGCATAATAGGTAAAAAAATTCTAACTCTAAAACGCCTTTACTAATGAAATTTACTTTATGAAATTTTGTATAAAATACTTCAACTTATATTTCAGTTTACGTGTTCGAGAAAATATTTTTAAAGCCCATTTATTTAATAATAAAAAAAAACATTTGAAAAATAACTTTTAGGGAAAAATTTTTTAAGTTCATTTTTGACGACTGTATTTTCGTTACTGTTCGTTTGATTTCTACATATAAAAGTTTTTTTAACGTTTTTTTTATTATTTTTTAAGGATATTTTCTCGAAAAACCCTTGAACACGTAAACTGAGATATATAATAAAAGTATATTTATCCAAAATTTTATAAAGATTGGTAAAGGCGTTTTAGAGTTAAAATTTTTTTACTTATTATGTGTTAATTTTGTGCAGAAGTATACTTGGGGCAACCTGTGTAAAAATAAAAATATATATATGTATTATATATACAGGGTGTTATGTAATTAATGTTATATATTAAAATACTGAATACCTTTTGACATAAGGAGTAAAGGAAAAATATTTAAAAAAATATTTTTCCAAAGATAAAGAAAAAATATGCATTAGAAGTTTTTTATATTTTTTGTGATACGCTACTGGTTACACACTTGGTTTATCTCTGCTCACTTGTGTTCTGTGAGTACATAGATACCAACCAACAAAGTAGCTGCGCGTTGCCAGATGTAAAAAATTGTTACTAAAAATTTTTCTTGCAAAAAATAAAGAAAAACTCAATAAATACAAAAGTTTTATGCCCTTAAAACTCTAATACCCTTCTGTATTTATTTACTCATCCAGCTATTAGCTTAAGCAATAATTAAAATATTTAGTACCTATCCATAACCACAAAATTAATTATTTAATCGGTTTTTTTCTTTCTGAAATTGGGACCAGTTCACAGGTTAAATTTTAAACATTCAATTTGTGTAAATAAATCCAAACACCCAAAAGCACTTGCATTAGTTAAGATATTTACAATTTGAGCACATAACCTAAAATTTGAAAGAAATGCACTAGATTCTGTCATAAAAGCTGGCAGATTTTGTTTGAATTTACCTTCAGTACAAAAATGACATAACCAACAATTAATAAAAACGCCAAATTGACAATTTGCATTGTTAATTTTGTCATTTTTGTAATTAAGCTGAATTTAAACAATGTTTGTCAACTTTTTTGACAGAATTTGGAAACGCTGTTATTACCAACCATAACATAATAAATTAAATTAGGCAACCAGATTAGCCTAAAGTTCCTAGTCGATCAGTGGCGTACTTTTTGGTAGGATAAAGGTTATTATAAATTATTTTTAGTCTTTGGAATTTAGATAAAAAAGTTTCAGGTGCTTCTTTATGGACCCTAAGGAACAACCCATTTTAATATATAACATTAATTACATAACACCCTGTATAATAAAACTCATACTTACTTGTTAAAAGCACTGGTGTCGCTCATGTTTCTCCTGTGGCCCTTCGGGACGGCCAGCGTAGGCGTGGAGGGGGGAGAGCCCCCTGCGGAAACCCCGCTCCTCGCTACGTTACCCGAACCGAACAAAACCGGGCTTTCTGCCGCCTCGGGAGAAACGAGGCCGACCGAAGCGGGTCCTTGCGGCGGCTCCTCCGATTCCGCGCCGGGAGACGCCCCCTCGTCCCTGAAAGGGTCCGGATACACGGAAGACTGAAACAGGGAATCGAGGCGTTTTTCAGCGGGAGGCGGCGGGAAAAGCGGCGGCGGCGGGAACGCGGGGGCGGTACCTTGGAAATTTTGCGCGGCGGAGGTGACGGGCGATTGGGATTTTTTGGCGGCGAGGGTGGGACTCGGGCAGATTGTCAGGGGGATGCTCTGGATGGTGAGGGGGGTGGTGGAACTGGCTTTCGGCCGTTGGCGCGGCATCACGCTCGTTCCTTCTACGATGGGGATGGTTGGCGTTTTGCTCACTACTTTTACTTGAGTTTTCTTTAGCTCGGATTCTAAAGGTGGGACGATGAGATCTTCTAGCACAGGCACCGGCGTTTTCTGTACACAATAATTATTAGTATGATGGTTTTAGGGGTGGTGGCAATTTTTTACCATTAAATTTTTGACGGGATTTTCTTTTCTCGCTACTTGGAAAGCTACACAGCTCACTTGGAAAATATCTGGTCTCATGTCAGGATCAGGCTCTAACATATATCCTAGATAAAATAAATTATGTTTACAAGATTGTATTCAGTATTTGCTACTTATAGGTCACCGTATAACCTTTTAACCACAAACTTCTTGAGGAACTTTAGAATAATTTTGTTATAACCAATTTTTAAAATTAAGCAAGATATAGCGTCTTTACCTAATCAGAGTGCATCAATTCCATGCCAAGATATTTAATACTTAAAACTCTGTTCAAAATTAAATTGTCAATTCGATATTTAAAGTTAATATAATTAGTGGCTCTAAAGACATAACTTGGCACTACAACTGAACTCTATCAATGTTTTTTCGAAATCTAAAACATTTTGAAAGTTTTTTAACAATATGATAAAATTCGAGATCATCTGCAAAAAGCAAATGAGGAACATCAATTACATTAACCAGGCTATCAATAAACAGTAAAAACATAAGTGGACCTAAATTTGTTCTTGAATGGAGATATGACATATTACTTTAAAAAATTCACCATGTTGCTGCACATCGGCCATTTCAAGCATACAGACGGGACAAATCACAAAAAATCATAAAAAAAATTGTAGGTAATTTATTATATTATTTTTGCATCAAAATTGTCAAATATATTCTTCTTTTATTGGGCTATACAATAAATTTAAAAAAACGCAAAAAATATTTTATAGAAGTAGAGATAATTTTAATAACTGACAGGTGTGGACGGGACAAGTTAAATCTTTTTTTTTTGTCCCGTCCACACCTTTTAATTATTAAAATTATCTCTACTTTCATAAAATATTTCTTGCGTTTTTTTTTATTTAATGTTTAGCATAATAAAAGAAAAATATTTTTGATAATTTTCATGCCAAAATATTAAATAATAAATTGTCTACATTTTTTTTTATAAACACAGTTTTGTAATTCGTGCGTTTCGCGCGCTTGAAATGGCCGACATACCAAAAGATGCCAATTTGTTTAAAATAATTGAATGATCTAATTTATCGAAAGCTTTTAAGAAGTCTGTAAAAACCGCATATCTTATCCAATGACTTTTATAAATATAAAACATGTAAAGTTTAGCGACCATACATAAATCCATGCTGATTAAAAGATAGGAAATTTTTAACTCTAAAATATAAAAATTCATTTATTAGAATCTCAACTACCTTTGAGAATTTACAAATCATAGAGACCAGTCTATAATAAGATACATTAGCTCTATTACCACTTTTAAAAATTGGACATACTTTCGATATTTTCCAGCATGAAGGAAACTCAGCCTGTTGCAATGACAAATTAAAAATCTTACATGGAGGAGCTGTCAACACATTAATACAGTCTTTAACAAAAAATAAGGAATTCCATTTGGGCCACAGGATGATTTAGGCTTTAACTTTTTAGTTATTTTAATAATATCACTCACAACCGTCAACAATTTCTTGTGGACTCGACATGTTTTTGTCTTCATCAAACATAATACCTGGTACATTGGATCTGTTTTTCTTGTTGTTTAAAAACTTCCAAAAACTCTTAGGCTGGGATTTTAAATTGTACTGAATGTCATTTAAATATTTAGAATATGCCGCTTTAATATTTACCTTTACAGATGATCTCAATCTTTTAAATTCAGCCAAATAGTAATGTCATTTGTTTTATTTAATCTTTTGAATATTTTATCCTTATTTTTTAATTGCATGATAGTGTACCATATTGGATATTTACTACCTTTACATTGAAATAATGAAATATGTGTATGTTGCAAGAAGATTTTACATAAAATAATATATAAAGAAGTTATTTTTGACAAATCTGGGTAAAATTAACTTACAAATGCAAAAATATTACGAAATACTCACCTCGACAGGTAAGTTAATGGTAGCTATCAAAATACCGCGCTCTGATTATTTTACTATATTTTGCTTAATTTTAAAACCATTTGATAATTACAAAATCTTAAAATGTCTTTATAGTTGAGTCCAGAAATATAGTTCCAAACTCAACTGTTTAAAAGTTTACCACAGTACTAGTTTTGTCTAGTACCACAGTATAAAAAAGCAGTACAAACACTTGCGCTATTTATGAATGAAATCGACCTCGATTAATCCCAAATGATCCGAGGTTCTGTAAGAAACTCGTACGCGTTGCAACAGACAATAAAAATAACGTTAACTTACTTATTAACTGATGAACTCCCTTAGAATACTTGGAACCATCTGGAATGCTAAAATTGCCACTTTGAATAGCCAGAGTGCTTTCCCCAAAGGGAAGAGCGAAAAAACATAACTTGTATAAAAGGCATCCCAAAGCCTAAAACAAAAAACAAACAAAACAAAATACAAAAACACAACTTGGTGTATTTTTTTACCCAAATGTCCGCTTTCGTAGATATCACTTTTCCCGAATACATATCGACCATTTCAGGCGCCCTGTAGCTTAACGTCGTGTATCTCTTGATTTCTTCCTCGACAGTCGCCACACCTTTTTCGGCGGGATTCAAAATTCTCGCGGTGGCCGAACCGAAATCACAAATTACGTAATTGCCATTTTCTCCTACCAAAATATTTTCTACCTGCAGATAAAACATTCTAATGTATCAAATGGCCCATAACATAAAGAAATAAACCGGTTTTCACTGCCATATTTTTTTCTAAACACCCTGTATAACTGTAGTTGTCAACTCTATTATTTTATATTTATAGGTTTATATTTCAGCCATCAAAATTGTTAGTTAAACGTTCTTCTAATAATGTTAACATTAAAAATGCCAAACGAAGCAATAAGAAATTATATTTCTCCCAAATTCAAGGAAACCAACCAAGAAAAAGGTAAATGTAAATAAAATATAATTCATCTATAAAAACATTCCACTTTAAGAAAGTGTATCAATGGTTGAAAAGGAGTTGGGAATGGCTGAAAAACAACTAAACACAAAAATCCATGATTCACTGAACAACAAGGACTTATTCGAAAAACAAGTAATAAGAATGCTGGAAGACATACACGAAAAAATTGTGCTCAAAGACCCGCACGAAGAAATATTAACTCAACTTACATCGATTAGTCAAACGTTGAAAATAGTCCTGAAAGTGCAGAAGCACATGTTGCGAAGATTTAACGAAAAAGAAAACTTCGGCGACGAGCTACTGAGAGAATGTGCGTCTGAAGAGGCGACAGAGCAAACAGTTAAAGAAATGGTAGCTCAAAATTTGCAAGAAACTTCTAGGAGGTTGAATAGATCAGCTAGTTGTATAGCGAAATCGCCGTTTCAGATGAACACGAGGCAGATTTTGCAGATGTATTCGCTTACGAGCAAAAAAAGATCTTCATCTTTAACGGAAGCCATGGCCTATAGGGTGAATTGTAGATCTTCTGAAATTGAATAATGATTGTAATATTTGCTAATAAAAGATAAAACCTTGTATGGCTAGACTTTTAATTTTGTTTTCGAGAAAGGGCATCAACATTTTTAACAAAATATTTGGTAATGGTAAATATTTGTTCATAAATAATATAAATAAACCTAATATTTGGTTATAAAAAATAATTTGGTAACCTTGAATGTCTAGATTGTTATTTTTGTGAAAGGGTATTACTCCCCTGGACCAAACCATCTTAAATGTTTGATATTTTAAAACATAAAATTTAATGTATTCACTAGGGTTTTAAAATTTTTGGAAAAATTGAGCCGGCGAAAATAACCGGTTTTTTTCCGGAACCAACGTAAAAATTGGTAAATTTTCATAAAAAAATTCCTTTGCATTTTTTTCATTTTATTCATATTTTTACGTATAATATCCGTACTACACTGATATCGAGAAAAAAGTCAATTTTCGACGCTGATTATAATTGAATCGGTGAGTTCAAGAACAGTACAAGTCCAAAATTTAAAATTTTGACAAATCATTTTAAAATGTTTCAACTATTAAATAGGTATCATTATTATATTTTATAAAATAGTTAAAATATTCTCAAGAAAATGCATTTTAAACTAAAAAAAAGATTTTATAAAATATCTTAAATTTTGGACTTACTGTTATGGATCTCACCGATTCAATTATGTAATATTTTGATGAATATAATAATTATTTCTTTTAGTAAAATTCTATTTTTTTACCGGGCCACAAAAGGAAAATATTTGGTGCTGAATTAAATTAACTTTCGTTTTATTTTATACTTCAATTCATAATAGTATATTATGTATCAAGTTTGATAAACGCCATTTTATACACGAATTTAATTTAGGCACGAGCGAGCTTGCGAGCGAGTTCTTAAATTAATGAGTGTATAGAAAAGTTTATAAACGAGGTGCATACTATACTTTTTCTACGACAAATACTTATTATTATCTTAAAATGATTTAAATCAAAAATTTGTATAGAGCGCCATCTATGAAACAACAGGGGAAACTGTCAAATGTCACATTTTTACATTTTATAAACACAATTATAAAAGTTATAAATCGAAATGTATATTGAAAATTGACAGTTTTTCACAGTGAAAGTAAAGGAAATGTTTTATGAGTACTTTACAGTAGAGTCCGTGCCCGAATTTAAGTTATAGTTTACTGCCGGCGAAATTAAAAGGTCAGTACAATGTTCATATAAACTTTTCAAATATTGGCGTTGAGAAACTATTTAATATTTTTGTATTTTTGTATTGAGATAATAAAATAATTTTCACATTTAGTATTATTTTACAAGAAAGGCACTTTATTTTAACGATTGTATGACATTTGACAACTGTCAACTAACTTAAAACTAACTTCAGCCCGTGACTAAAAACCTGTTGCTAACTTCAGCCCGTGACTAAAGCGCGGTAAAGCCACAACTTGTCAATGTGTATTTAAAAGGTCACTTAGTGTCATGGAAACATGTACGATAAAGGGCGTTTTAAAGGTGGGAGTAGAAAAAATTATAATTTTGTAATTTAACTTTAATTCATTATTTTGTAATTAGGTATTAACAATAGACTTCTTTAAAAAAAAAAAGACCCAACCGACAATACAGTGTGACCCATTTGTTTGCCACTTACCCTTGCGACTTACCCCTGTAAAATCTTTATCGATTTTAACCGGATTTGTTTTAAAGTGTAGATCTTGATAAACTATTTTTGGACACTAAAACGCTCTAAATGCCTTTACCAATCTTTATAAAATTTCGTATAAAAATACTTCAACTTATATCTCAGTTTACGTGTTCGAGGGTTTTTCGAGAAAATATTTTTAAAGCTCTTTTATTTAATAATTAAAAAAACGTTCGAAAAATATCTTTGGGATTTTTTTTAAGTAAATAAAAAATATGCTGTTAAAGACCGTATTTTCGTTAGTATACCCTGAAAATTTTTTACAAATCAAACGAAAGTAACGAAGCGCTTCAAAGTCGGTAAAAATGACCCCTTTTTTATTATTTTGCTGAAAATTGGTCATTTTTGACGACTTTGAAGCGCTGTATTTTCGTTACTGTTCGTTTGATTTGTACAAAATTTTCAGGGTATACTAACAAAAATATGGTCTTTCACAACATATTTTTTATTTACTTAAAAATAAATTTCCCTATAAAAGTTTTTTTTCGAGCATTTTTTATTATTAAATAAAAGGGCTTTAAGGATATAACTGAGATATAAGTTGAAGTATTTTTATACAAAATTTTATAAAGATTGGTAAAGGCGTTTTAGAGTTTTTTTACTTGTTATGCGTTTTATTTTATTTCAAAACACTTAATAATTCTTTCACGTACGTTATTAGTTACCTTTCGTATTGGTTCTGGAGTAATGACTGCGCAGGTTCGTATTACCATAGCCTGTAGTTCCTGTGCAGTTTTTGACCTTGATTTGTCAACCTTTTGTTTCAGTAAACCCCAAAGAAAAAAATCGAGTGGCGTCAAATCTGAGGATCTCGGCGGCCACTCAATCTGTTTCGCCCTATCCAGCTTACCCTCAAAGAAGAAAGGGCCAATAATTTTGTCATTTATTAGTGTGAATACTACCTCTTTGCATTTATGACAAATTCCGGATTCTCAGTCAAATTTTTAGAATTCTTTATTTTTTGTTTTATTGATGTTTTAAGTTTATATTGCGTTTCTTATTTTTTTAAACTAAGCGTAAAAATGTTTTTACCATGTTGCTATTTCAATGTTTTTTCATGGACAACTTGACAGAATAAATTTTTGTAAATAAAGTAATAGTAATAGTAATTATTGTGCATTTTTAATTTGGCTACAAAATCGTTCCTACTTAAAATTTTTAAATAACATTTAGTAAAGGCTTGTTTTAAGGGGAGGTGAATCCAGTGCCGTATAGATTTAAAAAAAATCGCTAATATGAATTCTTAAAAAATTGTGACATAGTAGGCCTTGTATTTTGTAAACATATGTTTTTTGGCTCCAAAAAAACAGTTTTTCAAAATCTACACTTTCAAACAAATCCGGTTAAAATCGCATAATATATAAACATTTTACAGGGGTGAGTCGCAAAAAAATAAAGTTTACTTTTATTTTCTTAAATTAATTTAACTTAATTCAATTCAATTTAGATTTTTTTTCTATAATAATAACAGTTTGCTACTTTTTTTAAAATGTGAATATTTTCCAAAAAAAAACTGATTTTTTTAAGGCTTGGGAAAAAACTAAAAAAAAAGTTTTTTCCCAATTTTTCCGTTTTTTTTCGACACCTATAACCCTAGTTTGCACACGTTTTTTGATATGGAAAAATCACAATTTATGTCGAATTTAAATTTCCCTTATAAAGTGTACCTTAAGATCACGGTGTATGATGGGCGTCTTGCAGTGGTGCAACCGTGAGACGGCCTCACACGTATCACAGAATATCGACATCACTTCGTGCTCGGTGAAGTTCGCCTTGACCCGCGCGCGCATCATCCCCAGCACGTTCTCCTGACAATACGGCATCAGAAGGAGCACCTCGTGCACCCCACCGCCAGTAGCTGTCAAACTCGAGTCCACATAGCCTATGATGTTCTTGTGCCCGCTCAGGCTGCTCTGTAAACAAAAAAGGGATCTGTTTGTTTCTACTTTGTTGTGTGGCGCATTATCTAGAGTGTAAAGCTATACTTTTTCTACTGCAATTAAGTCATTTTTATTACTAACAAAATTTATTTCCACCTCATTATAGTCGCCCCTCGTACATATAAAAAATCTGACATCTGTTCCAATCACCAGTGATGTAACATTGGGGGTAAGCCCTATATTGTGCAAACATTATATACAGTGTGTCCATGGATGGGCTTAACTATACTTGTAAAAATATTTATTATTTACAATTTTTCGAAGAAAAGTCACTCCTCATAATTTCTTCTGCTTGTTATATAAATACCATTCACGATGAGAAACTTCCATTTTGTTATACAGGGTGCGCAAAAAAATACAATTGTAGATTTTGCAAAATTAAAAATTGTTAAATTTTTTTTTGAAGGTCTAATATGAAGAGCTTGTAAGTAGAAACCAAAAAGCCAAATAAAGTTTTTTCATGTGAGTTGTTACTAAAAATTTGTTATTAAAAATAAAATCAATTCAGGTTTTAACTTGAGTGGTCCTATTATTTTGTAGAAATTGACTGCTATCTAATTTTGAGATTATGAATCAAGGTTGTTGCTTTTAACTCATATGTCTACAACGTCTACAATTGAGGCGTTTCTCGGAAAAACATCATTAGTCCAATATCGTCGAAATTTAGATATTAGCACCAACTGTTTCCTAACCTCCATATATACGTATACAAATAAGTGTTTCTCGTAAAAATGTCATAGGTTCCATAATAATTAAATATGAATGAAATGAAATTTAGCTTGTTCTTCTAAAAACATCACAAGTCCACTCCGTTTCGTCTAAGAAAGTCACATGTGCATAACATGTGACGTTTTTGGACACTCTAGAAAAGCTTCTACCTCTTTTACATGACCACAGCAATAGAAAATTGTATGATAACTTGATAAAAGACCAGAAGACCATAGCACCTGACAGTCCTGATAACACGGTCGACAACGATGATAACAGCAGTAGATGCGAAGACTGAGTGTGGCAGTAATACAGTTTTTAGTTTTTTCATTTATTTTGTTACTCAAAGTTATTATTTAGTTTGTAGTAAGGAGAATTGTTCGTTTTTTTCTTCTAAAAACCTCACATGTTCATGTATTTTTTGTGTTTTTTCATATTCGTTTGAAAAAAAAAACATGAGGAATTCTGGACAAAGTATCTTACATTTTTTTACATGTAGTAAATAGGTCAATAAAGTACTTTGGTCAAAAATGAGAATGTCGAAGAGTTTTTATCATTTTCCCAAATATGTTAATTTTGGACTAATGATGTTTTTCCGAGAAACGCGTCAATTATTTGTTAAAATAATAATATAAATAAACTAATATCTTAAATTTTCAATATCAAATATCTTAGTATCAAAAACTCATATGAAAAAACTTCATTTGACTTTTTGATTTCTCCTTACCAGCTCTTTATATTAGCGCTTAAAAAAAAATATATTTAAAAGTTTTTAATTTTGCTCACCCTGTACAACAAAATGGATGTTTCTCAACGCGAATCGAATTTATATAACAAGCAGAAGAAATTATGAAGAGTGACTTTTTTTTCGAAAAATTGAAAATAAATATTTTTACAAGTATAGTTAAGTCTATCCGTGGATACACTGTATATTACAATTTATTTCCTAATATATTATATTGTTTGCAATCACGAAATTAATTGTATTATGTGACAATTAACATTACCTTTACCATTAAAAAAGCAAACTGAAAAAGTATTAAATATAAAAAAACAAGTAGTGCATGTCGTTGGAGGGTGGGGGGTGAAGACCAAATTGGGGGGGTACAAATTTAAAATGCATTTTCTTAAAAACTATGATTTTTCGTGTCATTGTTGTTTGAACTGAGCAATATATTATAATTTATAAAATTAAAAACAACAACTTTTACAATGAATTGCTTAAAAGCATCCTAACTGTCTAAAATAACCCAAAATTAGAATTGTTAACTACCTATAAGTAGAGATGCGACTTTAAAAAAACAGTCCGTTTTTTTTCATTGTTTTTTTCAAATGGTTTTTTTTTTCATATTTTTGTTTTTTTTCAAGATTAGTCCCATTTGCCTAATTTTTTATGTTTCCAGTCCAGTTCGTGGACTAAAATTAGCCACTAAATGACATTTAGTAAATGTAAATACAGTCTCGCGCTTTTGCACTCACCACCACCACCGAATTGACCAATAAGGGCCGCGCTTGTTTTGATTTGGTCCTAAAAAAAGTAAGTACCTATAATATTTACGATTCAGCGCTTGATTTTTCAAAAAGCTACCAAAAGCACTTTTTTTATGATTTTCCAAATTCATGTAGTTTATGGAAATTTAAAAAAAAAACAATAGCAAATTCTTTTAGAACATTTATTCATTGGTGGTTAAGTCGGAACATTCCCTGGACCAAAAACGAAAGCCAAAAAAATTTCGAATTTTTTTATTACGGTATTCGTTAGGATTGAGCGTTGCACGTTTTTCATCTAAAAATCTCAAAACTAGAAACTTCAAGCTTCAAAATGCTTTTTTACGGCTCCGATAAGACAATTTTTAACAAAGGTACATCTATCCGAAAAATCGCACAAAATTTGGATTATTTTTATCCTTTATTTTTTTCTATTAGTGTAGAAGTTTTAAATTGCTATTGGTTTCTTATGTGGAAACTATTTTTTAGTCTCAGTCAAAATTTTCAATAGTGAAAAATGTAATATATTCTACATTTCACAGTGAAATTTTCACTTTATTATTAATATAGGTACCTACATTTTACTCAAAATTTCATTTTGAAAAATTACTCCATTTTTTAAGATTGATGTTATTTATTGACAGAATATGCTTTATTGCAGCGGATTTGAAAAAAAACCGTTTTTTTACTCAAAATTTTACTCAAAATTTCATTTTGAAAAATTACTCCATTTTTTAAGATTGATGTTATTTATTGACAGAATATGCTTTATTGCAGCGGATTTGAAAAAAAACCGTTTTTTTCTAGGTTTTTTTAATGTTTTTTTCACATCTGAAAAAAAAAAACGTTTTTTACATCTCTACCTATAAGCCTCAACAATAAAAAATAATGATTGAACTGTGTAAAATCATTTTACTAAAACGACAAACAATGTCCTTAAATATTTAAATGACCCAAATTGTATTAAATTACCCAAAACCATCTAAATTATGTTTATAAAATTAAAAAGTGCAAAACTTAAAACATCTTTTTCTAAAAATGTCCTTAAAACTGTCTAAAATAAGCAACACTATCAAAAATGTCCTAAAACTATCTAAAATAACGCAAACAGTATTAGAACTGTCTAAATTGATCAAAATCTAAAAAATGAAAAAGTAATACACTTCAGCCATTTTTGTTAAGCCTGTACCTCAAAATGTGATGAATGAATTTTGGATATATTATTATTTATAAAATTCAACTCAACTACTTACAACTTCTACAATGAGCTGCTTAAAAGCATCCTAAAACTGTCTAAAATAACCCTAAATTAGAATTGTTAACTACCTATATGCCACAACAATAAAAAATGATGATTTAACTGTGTAAAATCATTTTACTAAAATGACAAAAAATGTCCTTAAATATTCAAATGACCCGAATTGTATTAAATTACACAAAACCATCTAAATTATGTTTATAAAATTAAAAAGTGCAAAACTTAAAACAAAAATGTCCTTAAAATTGTGTAAAATAACCCACAGTATTAGAACTGTCTAAATTTATCAAAATCTAAAAAATCAAAAAGTGCACAGTATTCCTTGCATGCTGATTTCTTAGTTATATTATAAAGTAGGTACCTATACACATACAGATACAAAAAATAAATAATAATAATAAGTTGATTTTGGATTTTGAAAAAACTATTGAACAAGAAGTTCTTAAAAGGATGCTTTTAAAAAAAACTTTAAAACTAAATAAATCATTTTTTAAATAGTACCTAACTACCTATACAAAATTATAAATAAATAATAAAACAGTGTTTCCATAGGATTGTGAGTGTTTCATAGGATTGTAATTTTAAAAATATTTAATGTAATTCCTGGTTAGTAGGAAATTCCAAAAATTTGTTAATTAATACCATATATTATGTATTTATGTTTTTACAAACCAACTAAAAAATCAATATGGAATATTTTACAGCACATCCTTATTGAAAAACGCATTTTATATAAAAACAAATAATATTAAAGAAAAGTATTTTATTACACAAGCCAGCAATTTTTCTTTATCTCAAAAGAGCAAACAAAATTCCACCTTTAATAAATATAAACAAATAATTGAAAAGTAAAACAAATAAGCAAGAGATCTAGACAACAAATTCTTAGCGTTCCAATTACTATGAATAGATTACAAGGCCTAATTGCTGATAAAACGCGTTTACTATTCAATAAAACTTATCAATTAAAAGTAATTGTAACAAAATAACTCAATTAATTTTACTTACAGCTATTTGAATTTCTCGTTTGCAGACATTGAGGTCTGGCTCATTATTGACATACATCCGTTTGAGTGCATATCTGGTGCCACTATTGGACTTGACTAAATAGACTATTGCAAACCCACCTGTTAGAAAAAAGACATGTTAAAATGTTGACCTAAAACCTAAATGCATGCAGAATACACCCCTTTTTGGGGTACACCTACCTTCAGCTAATACATCTTCTACAGTGACTGTATGTCTTCCTACAGTAAATACCTTGCCTATAAAATTATTTGCTTCCCTAGAAGTATTGTCGATTTTTGTCTCAATTTTTGAAAACAGTTTTTTCATGTTGATTGCTAACTAATAAAAACTTTGCAGCACATTTAGTTAATTCGACTTTAATTATATTAAAATACAATGAATGTTTACATAAACATAATTAAATTAATACTTGCACATTTATTTTTGTAAACTATGATTTATTAATTAATTTAATATTTTTCATCCTACAGTAGTGACGTTTAACGAGAACTTGACAGCAACTTGACACTTGACAGATAAGTAGGACACAAGTGAAGTTAGGCGTAATGTCAACTAAACAGTTATCTGCAATGTTAGATCAATAAAAATTTTATTTATTTATTTTAACAACATTTAAGTCATATCATAGTGATATATTTTGAAAATTATAAATACGATGTGTTAATAACAACAATACAATCCGATTTTAAAGTCAATAAAAACTTTTGTGTGCTTTCTATAAAAAGATCTGAGCCTGTGCGCCAATTATTTTTTTTGGTTGTTTTTTAGTTTAATATGCCCTTTCAGTTCAATAATCAACCATTAGGTATTTGCCCCATACTAACACAATCCATAAATATTTTATTAAACTTATTTTAGCATCAGGCTTTATGGGTAGTGGGGATCCAAACGATTTTACATTATTTGCAGCAGGAATGAACGATTCGCCTTTGGAATTTACGATGGGCAGGAATAAAACTTCCTCAGGAAGATCTGTGGAGGATAAGGACGAGTCTAGTCAGAGCCCAACAGAGAAAAGGGATAGGCGAAGATCTGAACGAAGAGATAGAGACAGAAGGGAAACTGAAAAGTCGAGGGATGATTCAGATTCCAATATGTCCAGTACACAGGATGTTATTTCTGTTAATAATTCTGGAATGGGGCCCAATATGTGGGGAGGCATGATGGGTGAGTGTTATCACAAAGTAAATCCATTTTTTATGGTTTTGGTTTTTAATTGAGCATAACCTTAGAGCATACTTGGGTTAATTAAAAACCCTTTTTTGTTTTTGATCATTTCATTGCTTAAAATAATGTTCAATGTCAACTTGACAACTAATTGGCAATTTTCATAACCTAGTAATAACTAAATGTCAAAAATGGATTACAATTTAATTTTTTTGGAAGGTATGAGCTACCCAATGGTAGGAATGAACATGATAATGGATCCCAACATGATGTCCATGAACAATTACGGGATGATGCCTCCGATAATGCCTGATCCGAATATGCTAGCCCCAGATCCCTCCATGATAATGAACCCGGTTAAAGAAATAATCCATTGCAAATCGTGCACGTTATTCCCCCCCAACCCAAATGCGCCGCCTCCGACGACGAGGGAGAGACCCCCTGGGTGCAGGACCGTATTTGTGGGGGGGCTACCGGAAAATATGACAGAGGAGATTATAACAGAGGTTTTCGAAAGATGCGGGGAGATTACCACGTTGAGGTTGAGCAAGAAGAATTTCTGCCACATTCGTTTTGTTTACGAAAATTCCGTGGATGCAGCTATTTTTTTGTCTGGATATCGCGTGAGAATTGGTTCGAATTCTGATACGCCTAATACTGGTAGACTTCATGTTGATTATGCACAGGTAATATAAAATACAAATAAAAAGTAATTAAAATACAATTTATGATAAAAAAATATTTGTTCCACTTGCCTGCGCAAAGTAATACTCATCCGCCCGCTTACTTTGCGCACGCAAAAGCGTTAATATAGGAATAGAAGATAATTAAATTATGAAGCCTTTAATAGTATTTTTTTTAATTTAAAACAAAAAATATTGCCAAAATAATTTAAAATAAAAATATACTTTGCAACGTTCCGCACGCTTGTAGAAAAAATGTTGTCGTGCGGAAACTCTTTGTAAATTAAATTTATATGACTGTTAAATTTATCTGACTGAAAAAATATTTTTTTTTCAAGCGGCCATGATATACAACCTTATATGCCTGTATAGAGATAGTTGAATTGCGTCTTTTTCATTAGCGGCAGACAAAAAACTCAAAAAAGCCTAGGGATAGAAGTAAATTCATAGGTGTCTCAATAGACGTCAAATAATAAAATTAATTTAGCATTTCATACAAAGCAATCACGATGTATTAATTATATTAATTATAATCACGGAATATTTAGTGATTATTTATTAAATTTTAATTGAACGAAATAAAGAACAACTAGTTTATTAGTAAAATATTATGATGATAGACGAGTCGCCAATGTCGGAACTACAAACAAATGTCAGTACGTCAAAATTAATTCAAGCGCAGCATTTTGACAGCAGTGTTTATTTTTAGTTTGGGATATTTATCGGCATTGTAAGTAAGGGTTATAAGTTTTTTTTAGTTTTTATCAATAATTTCTAATGCTTTTAGCCAAAATTTTATACCACATGAGTTATGAGTAAATAAAATAATTCTATTGCTTATCCTATTTATATTACCCCCTTGAAAAAAAAAATTGTATATGTTATTTGGAGTAGAAGCTCTTTTTGTGCTTCGTACAGTTGACTGCCTCAGCTAGGCTTCGGCCGTCAATCTCTGTACTCACCACAAAAAGAGTCACTTCTACTCCTTATGACATAATCTACTATTTTTTAACGACATTTTTCGTTTAATTTATAAAATACCTAATCAATCAAGAAATAGACTATACAGGATGTTAAAAAAAGAGTGTAAAATATTTCTAGAACATAAATTTATTCTTTTAAGAGACAAAAAGCGTTTTTGATCTGACGCACCCTTAATTAGTTGTTAAATACAGGCGTGCTTTCGCAGAATGGAATGAGTAGAGGTGCGGCAAACTAAACAATTTCAGAAAACTTAACCTAAACCCAAAAACACTAACAATGACAGTGACAACTCTACAATTAAGGACAATTCATCCTACGATAGTTCAAAGCTACAACAAAAATGTGTTTTTATAATTTTTATTTATTTTTTAATTATAGTATTTAAAAATGCAATGTGTTGTTAATTAACAACAATGCCTCAACATAAAAAAAAATGTGTGGGGAGCTCATAATATGATCAAATTAGGTGCTGAACATATTTTCAGCACCTAATTTGAATAAATTTGTAGATTTTTGAATACTAAAATTGAAAATTAAATAAAAATTATAAAAACAAATTTTGTAGAAATTCGATAGTAGTGTAAATTTAACTTAATTGTATAGTTGTCACCAAAGTTGTCACTATCAGTCTTTTAGTTAAGTTTTTTCACATTCTTTTTAGTTTGTCGCACCTTTACTTATTATTATTGACAAAATTCTTTAATTGAATTGGTGAGATTAAGAACAGTACAAGTCCAAAATTTTATCCTGCCAATTCATTTTTGTGAGAAGATCATCATTTTACAAAATGATTATTATATTTTATAAAATAGTTAAATATTCTCACAAAAATGCATTTTGATCTATAAAACTGAATAAATTATCAAAATGTTAACTTTTGGACTTGTACTGTTCTTAATCTCACCAATTCAATTAAATTTAATTTAATTTAAACCTTTAAGGTGAGTCAGAATTAAAACGCCAAAAGACTTTTAGTCTTCTTCTTGGTTCTAATACATATATGCCCTAGAAATATTTTACCATTTTTTTATAGTGTTCTACCAAAAAAGTTTCGCTCGTTTTTAGTAAAATTAGGTATTGAGCCATTCCACGCGTAACTTATACGACAGTTGCCGTGTTTTTATTTACAAAATAATATTGTTCTATTGTATTACCAATGTCAAATTTTTATAAATAGTTCTAAACTAAAGCTGTTTAACAAGGTTTTTATTTGGCAAAATTAGGTATCGTGATTGACTGTTTAATTCCTTAAAAATTAATAATTTAAAGCGTAACGGACGGGACTATTACGAAGTCCCGTCCGTTACGCTTTAAATTATTAGTTTTTAAGGAATCAAAGAGTCAACCACGATACCTAATTTTGCCAAATAAAAACCTTGTTAAACAGCTTTAGTTTAGAACTATTTATAAAAATTTGACATTGGTAATATAATAGAACAATATTATTTTGTAAATAAAAACACGGCAACTGTCGTATCCGTTACGCGTGGAATGGCTCTATTTCCTTCTTAAACTTGAATTTTTCCTGCGTTTAAAATGCTTTTTAGGATGATAAAACACATCTTTCCTATAAAATTAAAATTATGGTAAAAGAATTATTTAAATTACTTTAATTATGTTATAAGATTATTATTTTTTACAAAAACGACTTTTTGAGGTTGGTCTCGTTTTTCGTTTTCGAGATATCGTAAAAACATGAATTTGTAAATTTTATTTCGATTTTAAAAACGGTTTTATTTAAAAAACGCTTGGAGGTTTTCTAATTTATCAAGGGGAATTCAAATCTGCCAAAATATTTTTGCTAGCTTTTAGAACTCCCAAAAAACGAGCACCCTGTATATCTACCTATATCTATCTAAAGTTTTATTGCAAAAATAAGTTTTAAAGTCCAAAAAATCTATTTATATCAATTTTATGCCATAATAACTATCCCTTTTTTAATTTCAATTTTGTCGTAAAATTTGCTTTAGCCTTCCAAAAGATTGATTTTATTCGTAAAATCACTTTTGTTTTTCAAAAATGCATTTTGATAGAAGATTTTAAAATTCCCAAAATTAAAAAAAAAGTGAAACTAGGAATTGTATAGTTTTACCCATATAATTCTTTACTTTTACTAATCAAGTAAAACTTTATTTCAAATATTTTTTTCGCCCATTCATTTAATTTAATGACTTGTTAAATTTTGTTACTAGGCCAGAGATGATCAATATGAATGGGAATGCAGACAAAGACAACTGCAAAGAGAACAAAGGCACAGAGAAAGAATGGAAGAGGAGAGGCTGAGACCGCCGTCACCGCCACCTGTTGTGCACTACACGGACCACGAATGTTCCGCTGTTTCGGAAAAAATCAAGCAGGACGACTCGTTCACCAAAGCAGTACAAGTAAGAAACACATAATATATAATATTTTCCAATACCATTTTTTTTCTTAAAAAAAAATCAACGTCACTTTGAATAATGATGCCTTAATTATAGCGCAGCTTACTACCTCAAAACTAGCGGCGCGTAAATATTAAACATTTTTGCAGTTATATTATATTATAGTTATAGTTATATGGTTTAGTAAAGATTAGGATAAAAAAGTTTGAATAAATCAGCGAAAAAATAGTCGTGTTAATAATTTTTTTATATTAATTTATATTTATAAAAGGTCTCCCTGAAATAACCAAGATAAAGGATGTCAAAGTTGAAAGTTCGTTTTCGATTTTATTAAATAACTTTGGAAAAAACAAAGGTTTTTGCACAAAACTTGATATTCAGGTATGCCTGCGACACTTTGCATACGTTTAAACATATGCAAGTGTCACAGACAGCGCCCTCAAGATGTTTAATTTTTCCGGCCTCAAAACCCCCAAAAATCAAATTATTTAATAAAATCGAAAACCAATTTTCAACTTTGACACCCTGTATCTTGTTTATTATTAACTACATATGAGTAAATTTAGTTATATCGCATTATATCGGTCTCAGGAATACGTGGAATCATTTTGTACAGTTATTTCAGGAACACCTTGTGTATTTTCCAAGTTGGCCTTTTTTACTTTGGTATCATCTAAATTATTTTTTTACACGAAAAATTTATAACTTAAATATACAGTGTAATCCATTTGTTTGCTACTCACCCCTGTAAAATATTTATTAATTGTGCGATTTTAACCAGATTTGTTTTAAAGTGTATATCTTGGTGAACTGTATTTTTGAAGCAAAAAACGCCATATTTTTACAAAATACAAGGCCTACTATGTCAGTTTTTAAGAGTAAATTTTTAAGAATTCATATTAGTGATTTTTTAAAACAAAATCTAAGCACGGCCTGGATTCACCACACCTCCAAACTACCCTTTACTAAATTTTATTAAAAAAATTTAATAAGAAAAATGCACAATAATAACTACAAAAATTTATTTTGTCAAGTTATCCATGAAAAAAACATTGAAATAAAATTAAACTAATAGTAACATGGAACTATTTTTGTAGTTATTATTGTGCATTTTTTTTCTTAAAATTTTTCAATAAAATTTAGTATAGGGTCGTTTTGAGGGGTGGTGAATCCAGTGCCGTGCTTGGAATTTGTTTTAAAAAATCACTAATATGAATTTTTAAAAATTTACTCTTAAAAACTGGGTCACACTGTAGATCATTTGGGGGAAAGCGCTTTGACAATCTAGCACTGATTCTTTTGACAAACAAATAAGCCAAACTACTTGTAACATTTTAAGCAGCTAAAAGTACACAATTCTTTAAAAATATTAGCACAATACTTACACAAAACTTATCTTATAGTTGACAATAGTAAATAAAATCCACATGTTAGTTAGTTATAAAGTAAGTGTTACAACTGACATATTTTGCGAGAAAAATCTCCAATTAACAACAAAAAAACGCTTAATAAAAGCCAAAATCATAACACAATATTTTTTGTACACTTAGGGCCGGATTTTCAATCGTTGGTTAAGTTTATCTTACGGTAAATTTCCTTAGATACTATTGTTAACACAATAGTATCTAAGAAAGTTAACCGTAAGATAAACTTAACCAACGATTGAAAAACCGGCCCTTAGTTTCTTTATAAATTTGGTTTATTCTTTAAACATTTTCTAATTTTCCTATTTCTATCATCTAAAATTATTTTTTAATTGCTTAGAACCATTAATGAATTAGTTTAATTACCCAAACATTTTGATACACTATAATTTTTCCAATCAATCAGATAATTCTTATACATTTTTTTTTAATTTTTGTATATTTTGATTGATTTCTTCAGAGATTCATGTTGTAGTTCCATTTTTACCATGCACCACATGGCTGTGGGCACAGACTAATTTTAACCATCCATCAATCTATTGTAGATTATGTAAATTTAGTAAGGACCAGCTTATTTTTATGCTGTAAATTCTCTATATTTTCCTCCTTAATAATTTACATTTTCGAATTGTTTCATCAGCAACCTGTCGCTTTAGCGGACAACATAAAACTTGGGGCGTGCAGTATGCTGCAATAATGAATTTGTAATTAGGAAAATATGATAATTCCGTTATTTTTAGATCGTAATAACATGGTTGGAAAGGGGTGACTGCAACAAACGCAACGCGAACAATTTCTATTCGATGATACAGTCGACGAATTCTCACGTGCGCCGTTTGCTCAACGAAAAAGCTCAATACGAGGACGAGCTGAAAAAAGCCAAGGAAATCATGAAGGGACGCATGCAAGGAATTTTGTTGCAATGTAAGTAGAACGCTTGATTTGCACGTTTATCCCTTCATTTCCGTAGTAAGTACCTAATTTGTTTTACTTTATTTATTATTATTTTTTTGGTCAGGTGACATGACGTAATATAAATATGCCTACTGGTTTTTAGTACTGCGGTATGGTAAAAGTGCTCACAAGAAAGCGTAGGTTTTGGTTTAATAAAGAAGGATTGTAGTTTGCAAAATTGTAGTTTAGAACAAATTAAAGATTATGTCAATTTTTTAAAGAAGCATTTTTCTTGAGTTTTCTGGACGTAAGAACGGTTTTTTGACTAAAAACTTTAAATTGAAGTAATTCTGAAATAAAACTTAAATTATAAGCTAAAGAAGTATCGGGTTTTCGCAACGCGCGCGCCATCTGGTGGACTTCAAAAGCATTGTGTGAATTTAAGAATTGTCAACAATACATTTAGAGCATACGAACTGTACATCATTTTTAAATAAATAGGTAGTTTTTTCAGAAAAGAGAGGATGGCAGAAGTCTTACTCGAGAATTTTTCTTCAATTGCACAGCTAAATCGCGCACGTTATTTGTGTTTTACGTTGCAAGGAAAAAACTGGTTTGGTACTCGATTTCGATTGATTATTCTTTATATCATTGATTAAGAAACGCAACGCTTAAATGCTTATATAGTTACGTTAATGTGTGTATTTTATCTAAGGGATAATGGTGAATTATTGTGTTTTTAATTGTAAATAAAATGCAAGAACTAAATCGTTGCATTTTCATGTTTTGCCAAAGGATCCAATCCGGTAAGTACATTTGTTGGTGCAGAATTAACTAATGATAACTTTACCTAATATAATTTATATTTAAGTTTGGACATTTTTAAGAAATTAGTAAAAAATTATTTTTGCACAAACATAATCTTAAAATCAACCATTTTTATATTTAAGTTCTCTAAAAAACGCCGACAACTGCATTTTAAACAACAAAATATACCTACGAATTCATGGCAACATAATATTATATATAATATAATGGTATTTTACTGTTGAGTGGAGACTTTAAAGAATTCTTAATCAACGCTATTATTTATTTATTTATTTATTTATTTATTTATCATCATCATAATTACATTTTTTTTTACATTTTTTATTGTACATTCTTATTTTATAAAGTTAAATTATATTTTAAGTTTGATTCTGCCTAAATCCAAAAGGATTTGTGCTGCAGATTATAATAAATGGAAAAAATTATAAATACATTTTTGTGTGATGAACTAAAATTATGTTTTTACTATACAGTGCTACATTTATTTCAATTAAATTTTAAATATTTGTAATACAATAATATTTATATATAAAAAAGGTAAACAAAACAAGCAAAACACTACGTTCGATGACATTGGCGTGGAGAAAGTGACAGTCACGTATTAAATAAAATTAAAGGATTATAAAATATGTACCTATATACATATACAAAACTATTTATTATTTATTACCTCAGAAACTTGTAGAATATATTCAGATCAGATTTTTGTATAAACGTTTTTAAATCGGCTTTACGTAGATTTTTTGATAAATTTTTAATTTTTTTTGGTATAATATTATACCATTTGGGACCATAACAACCTTTTTGTAAGGCTGAAAAATAAAATATAGGTAAATTGACAACATCTTTTTCCAAAATCCTGGTGGAATAATTATGCTTTGAGTTACTTCAAGCCCTTTTAAAGTAGTATCTAACGCATTCCCCCAAGCTATTATGCAGTATCTTATTAAGGACTCCACCATTGCATAGTAACAAAGAATTAGATTTTTATGATTTAAAAAAGACCTCAGTGTGTAAAATTGGGAAAACAGCCTCCTTAGTCTTAGTATGAGGTTTTCAATGTGTGCTTTCCATTTTAGATTTTGATCTATAATGAGGCCTAAATATTTAATTTTGTTTACTTTAAGAATGTAAGGGCATTTACATTTATCTAAACAATTGTTGGAGTGAATTTGAAAATTTTCTTTCTTAGGTTGTCCTGCATTTGTCAAGCTAAACGTTATAAATTTTGTTTTATCAATATTAAGGCTAAGAAGGCTGCTGTCTAACCATTTTTTTATTTTTCTCATGCCTTCCTTAGCAAAGTTAAATGTTTCATCCCACGTGTGACCACAAAATACTGCCGCTGTATCATCCGCATAAGATATAAGATTATCTTTTAGATTGTCAATGTCATACAGGAAATTTATATAAATGGAAAATAGAATAGGACCAAGGACTGTCCCTTGTGGTACGCCTCTATTTATTATTATTGTATCACTGTATGTTTCATTAATTTTTACCTTTTGTTGTCTATCCATTAGGTAATTTTTTAATAGTTTATTTGTTTCACCTCTTATCCCTATGTTAGACAATCTACGAAACAATATTTCATGGTCGACAGTGTCAAATGCTTTGGCTAAGTCTAAAAACACCACTAGGCACTTATGGCCCAAATTAAGTTCACCAGTTATCTTTTTTACTAATTCCACCACAGCATTCTCAGTGCTTAAATTATTTCGAAATCCAAATTGTTTTGAAGTTAAAATCTTAAATTTTTCCAAAAAATTCTCTATTCTTGATTTTATGCATTTTTCCATAATTTTAGAAAAGTTATTGATTAAAGATATCGGTCGATAATTTGTGGCAAGAGATTTATCACTTGATTTAAAAATAGGAACAACTGTGGAGCTTTTTAGGGCTTCTGGAATTTTACTTGTTTTAAAAATCAGATTTAAAATAAATACCAAGGGTTTGAGTATGTTTAAGTGAATGGATTTAATAATTTTTGCGGTTAAGCCGTCCGGTCCTGGTGTTGAATTATTTTTTAATGATGAAATGTAAACAATTACTTCATTTTCTGTTATTTCCTTAAATTAATAATGCTAAATGCTGTTTAAATTTAGACGACTTATTTGTTTGACGATGTCTACACTTTTCACGTTAATCATTACTAAGATGTGTATTTATTGTATCTAATATATTATTATTATTAATTATTAATATCTATAGATACAATTTATATTTACAGGGACTGTATGAAATTTATTTCTTCATTCGGATTAACACCGATAAAAACTCAACCCAGGATTTCCTCTCGAAATACACCCAACAACACAACAAATCGTGCCACGGTTTTTTTTCGATATTTTTTTACATTTTCCGGCTTTATTCTCAAAAACACTTGTTACGATGATAACAGCGCTACTAGCGATACTTCTTTAGCGTATAAATAAAGTCGTTTAAAAATGTTGATAAAAATGTAAATTGACATGTATCTCAACAAATACAAATATGGTTAAGGTAAACATTTTAAAAATTAATCAGGATGAACAAAACAACAAAAACGGAGAATATTACCACATTAAAAGTATCACTTTTGTTTTTTGATGATTTTTTGATTTTTAAAAACAAAAGTTGTTCTTTTTTAATTATTAAGGTGAGTTTTAAGACATAGAAGGGAAAATTGGTAGGCATATTTATATTTTTATAATAAATTATAATATTCCTGATAATGTTTTTAAATAATTAAATATTAAATAAGGCGTTTAAAAAATATTTTGTAATAAGATCTTTAAACCATAATTAATATTTAATTAATTATAAATAAAGTTAAAATAAACTTTTGGTCAAGTGTAACAACACTGTACTGTAAGCAACAAGGATCAGACCATGGGAGACACGAAGTGTTTATACTATATTATAGTGTATACAATTTTAATGTGTATACCAGGTGAAGTTTTTTGATAAGTTTCAAGAGCAAATTCAATCATTAAAATGCTAAAAAAGAGCCTACAAATATGTTTATTAAATTTAACTTGAAGATGCCTAATGCCTCCGAAATTCATCACAATACTAATCATCCTGTATCATACAATGTACACTAAACGTTGAATTGTTCAAATGGTTTAATGATATATTTGCGTGTGCTGTTAGTCAGTCAAATTGAGCGGTTGTTCACTTCTGCCTGTCACAAGAAAGTCTGGGACCATTTCACCAAAGCTCAAAGAAAAAACATCGAGGCTTGGAAAAAGCAGTCGTTGGTATGTACCACCTAGACTGTCAAAATAGAGACTATACTATCTTCTTGTTTTTTTTTGCCGTTTAACATTTGTACTAACACTAAATAGTCCAGTAAAATAAGACTTCTACTTGCACAAAGTTTTAATCCAGCTGGAACATTTCTGGATTGAAATTTTTGGGTGTGTTTTTGTATTGTGTTACTGGACTAACATACAGGTAGCAGATTACTAATATGTCAAAGATATCTATTTTGAATGTCTAAGGTCTTTGCATGTTTAGTTTAAGTTACATAAAAAATAATTTCCAAAATTCTTACATTTTCCAAAAATCAATTGCATAAGTTTTTCTTTAATTGAGGTAAGCATGAAGGTAAGTTTGAGACCAGAGTCAGGCTGCCAATGGAACTTATAAATTAGGATTATTTGGAAATAATTTAAATTTGTTTGACACGTGTTAATTATTATTTATCGCATACCTACTTAATTTTGTAATTGATAATACTTGTGCGGTACATTTAATAGTAATTGGTATTGCGCAAAAGTAAGTAGGACAGGCAATTCCCTAAATGACAACACTGTCCAACATCAAAATTGCCTTTTTATGCCAAAAAAGTTCAATTTTGCATTCCAGGGTAATTATTAATCAGGTGGTATAGTTTCTACTAAAACATTTTCAGACAAAAAAATTGGAATATTAAGTATGCAGGTATTCTTACCTAAGATTATAGGTAAAAGGACATATTATTTATATTTGTATCGGTACAGTATTCACGGAAAACCACAGGATAACAAATTTGTGTATTTGTAAGTTTAACCCTGATAGCACACTTTATTCTAAGAATGTTTTTTAAACCTTCCAGTAAGAATATTCTTAGGATTTATTTCTTCTAAAGAACATGCTTAAAAGACATATAGCATGATCCTAAGAATATTCTTACTGGCCTATAGGCAGGTTCTTAGAAGGTGCAAAGTTTTAGTGGTAAAAATTAGTCTACTCTAAACATATGCTTAGAATGTTAAGAAAGTAATTGCTATAGAAAGTTCATTTAGGAATATTCCTGAAGCATATTTAGTTCAGTTACCCAAATAATAGTAAAACATACCATAAACTACGTATAAAGGTATATACCTATACTTAAGTACCTAATTAGTAATTAGTATTAAATACTAAGTAAAAACACAATCCAAAATATTTTTTTATAGTTATTTGTCAAATTAAAACAATATTCGATAACAAAAATACTTTTACTATAGGTATTTTATTTTATGTTAAAAATGAATATTTATTAATTTGTATACCGATTTTTTTATTTCTGAATTAACATTTTTATGTATTATTATCTTATCTTCAACTTCAATCTAATCTGACTTATTCCACAAAATTTTCCAATTTTACTTTTTATGAAATAATGTCATAAAACTTATGGTTTAGAGGTCAAATTGTTTATTTAATATTTTTAAATAAATATATATTAATATGTCGTAAAATTTAAGGGGACGACAAATACATTTCACTGTCATATTATGATAGTGAGGCGTATTTGTCTTCTGAAGAATTTTACGAATGTAGAATACAACATATTTGAACGTGGGTATCTGACATAAGAAACCTTCTAAGAACATTCCAAAAACGTATTCTTAAAATGTTCTTAGGATGCTTTTTAGGAAGGTTTTAAGAAGCTTTTAAGAATCTAATTGCATCATTAAAAGGGTATTATTGAATGTTTTAAAAGTCCCTGAGAACATTCTTAGCAATAAGGGAAGGTTCTAAGAATATTCCATTATTCCATATCTTCTTAGAAGATTCTTAAAATCAAATTTTACTATCAGGGAAATAATGTTTAATTTATGGAATGGTAGGTATACAATATTTGGTGGAAACCAGAATATACCTTTTCCTTTTTCTGTTTTCTTCTATTTTAACAATAAAAAATAAGTACATTTCCTTGGAAAGGTAAGCAACCATGAACACAAGCTAGGAAAATTTATTTTGTGAAAATTTAAATGATAAAAGGTGGGTTGATTTTATACAATTTACTATTATCTCAAGTCAAATCAATCTCATACCATCCCAGGATGGAACCCTACCGTATCCAAAATTGGTAAAAATCCTGCCAATTATTATTAAATGTACTGTAATTAATTGATTTGTAATTGTAAACTTGTATCTCCCGCAACTTTTTAATTCGAGAATATTTATAGGAAATAAAAAATGTGCAAATTGATGATTCCGGAAATGAAAGAGGTGATGATGAAATGGACGTTTCTGATGAAGATGAACCTTTAAAGAAGAAGCATAGAAATAATGAAGCAAATGAAGAAAGAAATAATCTGAGAGAGGAAAATGATAATTTGAGGTGTCAGATGGAAGCATATAAAAATGAAGTAAGAATTTTAAAATTCATCATATTTTTAACAATAACACTATGATAGTTTTACAAACTTTTTTTCCTAACATTAAGTACTTCAGCTTAGTTTAACTAATTTTGGGCCGCTGATTTCAAAAATGTCATTAGTTTTTCTCTAGGACATCTAAGATTTCAAATAATTTCGTAATAAAATGCTCTGCTCAATCACCTCAAAATGTAAGTTTTTTGTTGGTATTTTAATTATTTATTAAATTATTTTGGGTTAAATTTATCTTGAATGTAATAAAGTAATTGGTATACGGCAAATAGATCATATTTATCTTAACAATATGATATTTTAAATACTAAAACTAATATAACTTAATATATTTTATGTAAAAAAAAACTTTATTTGACATTTTTTGTCGGCTATTTTAATTATTAAATTGAAAGGGCAACAAAGTAAACAAGTTTCAGTATTTTTTATCCAAATTAAGCCCTCAAAATTTAATGCATTGCGTTTTTTCTAAATTAAATTTATTGAATCGTATCAAATATCAAATTGGATTATAGTATTATTGTGCTTAATCCTCATCATCGTCGTACATCTTTTGCTGCAAATTCCAGAAAATGTCTCCAAGCAATGAATCCAACTTCTTTCCGCTATACCCATAGATATCTACCAATGCTCTAGATTAGCAGTTACTTGGTGAAATCGTTCTCCATGTTCATCAGTTCGGCAAATTTATCAGGATGAAAAAAAAAGAAAATGTATTTTAAATGACATATTAACGCCAATTCTTTGCAAAACGGAAAGCATTTTTTCAATGAATTGGCGCCAATTTTAGGCCCGATATGAACCAAGAACATTTTCAATGACAGCTTTAACACTGCCATATGCGACAAGCTCGTCAACTTTGAGAGCATTTTTGAATGCTTGATCTTTCATTAAACGTCGTATATCAGGTCCATTTAATATTCCTGCAAAATTAAAGTGGTAGGTATATCTCATAAAATTTTGTAATGAAATATTGCGTTGGGTTTTCTTGGGCGTAAAGGTACCGCAACAAAAACAAAACAAATTTACAACGACGACATAAATGTTCGTCTCCTTTCTCTTTCTCTGCCACTTCCATTACCACTTCCAATTCCTGCTCTTTTTTCATTTTTGATTCAAATAAAAATACAATTTAAAGTTTAAATTTTAAATGTCAATAATTAATAGATGCACTTTAGTGTGCTTGAACGATAAAGTAGATAAAGGCGCCTTTATATTTTGATAAGACGAATAAGATTCGAGATTAAATTTTAGGGTACTTTAGGCATGATGTGAATAAAAACATATCCAATAATAGTCGAAGAGTAATGCTTATACCGAAACCCATTTACTTTGTTGCTTTTTCAGTTTAATTAGTAATTAAAAAAACGACACAAAAACTTCAAAAAATGATACTTTTACCAAAAAAACATTATTATTTTAGTTTTGGTATTTAATAAAGCAGTTCTCTGCAGAAAAATGCTTTATTAAATATTCCTTATAAAATACTACAATGGAACAAAAAAATTTCTATGTGACATTTATCTACCAATGACTTTGTATGGAGTCCCTGTATATTTTTGACAAAAAACGTCAAAAATTTACTGAACATCCAAAATAGATTTAAGGCAAAATAATTTAATAAATAATCAAAATATTAACAAAAAACTTACATTTTGAGATAATTGGGCAGAGCATTTTATTACGCAATTATTTCGAATCCTAGACGTCCTGGAGCAAAACGAGTGGCATTTTTGAAATCAGAGTACTCAATGTTAGTAAATCAAACTATCATAGTGTAATTTATTGTTTTTTGTTAGGTTGAAGTCTTGAAAAGCGACTACAAAAAAGATATGGAAGACAAAGAGAAGCAGTTCAAAATGATTCAACAAACATTACAAGGAATGCAGCAGCAATTGATCGAAGCAAAGAAAAGGCAAACTGAAGAAGAAATGAGGGTTAAAGATCTTCAGTCGCAACTCAAGCAAAAAGAAAAACCCAAACCAATTGTTGACAAAGAAATTATAACGCTGGACGATAGCGAAAACGAGCAAAATGACACCCAAAGCGTAACTGAAAGTACCACAGAGTCGGTGGCGCCCTCTCTGAACGATAACGATGCCAAGTTGGTAGGAATTATTTCCGCCTTTCTGAATGTGCATCCTTTCGGCGCGGGATTGGATTATATTTGGTCCTACGTTAGCAAAATCGAGTCGAATTTGAGACCCCAAGAAATCGAATCTGTAATGAGCAGATTCCCTACGGTTTTTAAGCAGGAATTAGTCGGGATTGGTGCAAATATCGAGCGAAGATGGATGTTTATAGCCTTTACTTCGAATAGAAGTACCTAGTTAGATTTTGTGACTCCATTTAGAAGTTTATTTATTGTGATTTAAATAATTAGAGATAAAATTATAAAGCAATTAAAATACTTTTATTTAAAACATACTTATAAATCAACGCCTTAACTTTATTTCTTCTTTTTGCCATTTTTTCCTTTTTTTCTTTTTTCTCACAGTCTAGGATTAAAGTGTGTCGGTTCTGATAAGTTTCTAGTGTCCCACCTAGAGATGTAAAAAACCTTTTTTTAGATTGAAGATTTTTTTTTTCTGTATATAATGTTACGGTATAAGCGCCATAATTATTTTAAGTTTTAAACTCTAAAGGTATTTAATTTTGCCTACGGCCATCTGGGTTGCCTAACATTCGCCATTTCGTAAAGGGGGGCACTCTGTAGATAATTTTTTTTACGAATTTGACAGAGTGATTTTCTTGCGCCTTCTGCTTGTGACTTAACTTCGATAAAACTTTATAAATCTTGGGCATATTCTGGATTTTTCGTGAAATTTCTAAAATTTCATAATCCGGTGCTTTAGGTAGATTAAATATTTTGAGAATGGCATTATTTTTGAATAACTGATTAATAGGTACTTTATATTTTGATTTACAACTAAGTCAAGTTTGATATATCGATTTATATCGGTCATTCCATATCAAATCAACAAATTTTGATATATTTTGGTACGTATCAAAAGACGCCTAACCCTAAATTTTGAGGTCTTAATTTTCAAAAGCCCCGAAGATATGAATTTTTGAAAACCGCAAAAAAAATAACGATACGGTAATTTTCAGAAATTCAAAAAACTCCTGCTTAAATTATCATAACCTCATTTGACCGGTGGCTATTTTTTTCGTTTTGAAATGTAGTTTTTGAAAAAAATATATAAAAACCACTGTTTTTTCTTAACTTTTAACTTAAATTTTGACTTTTTTTGAAGAGCGACATTTTTTATTTTTTTTGAAAAAAGTATATGTTTTGTAGAACAAATTTTTTAGGCCCATAATGAAAGTGGGATTCAAATATCTTTTTAAGCCACTTTTTAGTATTTTTTAACAATAAATTCAAGTTCTTTGAAAATTTTCAAATTTTTTATGTTTCATTAAAGTGTTCTATCAAAATATCATAAACTCACGTTTAATATTGGAAAAAATAATTTTGCAATGCTTGATAAATAATTCTGCGCTTATTCTTTTAATTTTTATAATCATAAAATTTTAATTTTTTTCTGGCGCTTTGTCAAACATTTTTGTATTATTTTTAGTTTTTGAATTTTTTCTGTACTTACAATGTTTCTCATTATCGATTGTGATTGTGAAAAGATACTCGCAATCAACCGATTTTAAAACGCAGGCTATTCTAAAACCAACAAGAAATCAAAGATAATAAAATAATTCAACTAAATTTTTTTGTACAATATAAAATGCAGTAGATTAAAACAATAAAAAAATCTTTTATGGTCATAAAATAGAAAAACTTTCTCTTATTCCCTCAATTATAATTGATTATGATTGATTGAATAATAATTATTATAATAATTATTTATATTTCACAGTATAGGTACTAGTAATATTTTTATTTCAATGTAAGTACCAAAAAAGGTAATCAATTTACATAGTTGGCACAGTAGGAAAATATATTAGTTGTTCATATTTAAATTTAAATTTTCGTAAAAAATAGAAAATATAAACTCGAATTTATGGTTAAAAAAATACTAAAAAGTGGCTTAAAAAATTGAAGATATTTGAATCCCACTTTCATTATGGGCCTAAAAAATTTGTTTTACAGCTGTAAACTAGTCTAGTATAACATATATTTTTTTCAAAAAATCAAAAATGTCGCTCTTCAAAAAAAGTCAAAATTTAAGTTAAAGTGAAAAAAAGTGAAAAAAAATTATGGTTTTTATATATTTTTTTTCAAAAACTACATTTCAAAATGAAGAAAAAAGCCACCGGTCAAATGGGGTTAAGATAATTTAAGCCGTATCGTAATTTTTTTGCGATTTTCAAAAATTCATATCTTGAAAATTAGGGGTCAAAATTTAGAGTTGTGCGTCTTTTGATACGTACAAAAACATATCAAAAATTTAACTGAATCAAAAAATACAAATTTTAAAATTTGGTGATTTGATATGGAATGACCCATATATAACTATAGTTAGATTTTGCGACTCCATTTAGAAGTTTATTTATTGTGATTTAAATAATTAGAGATAAAATTATAAAGCAATTAAAATCCTTTTATTTAACACATACATATAAATCAAAGCTTTAATTTTATTTCTTCTTTTTGCCTTTCTTCCCTTTTTTATCTTTTTTCTCCTTTTTCTCCTCGGATTCCGGTGGTGGCGGCGGCGGCGGCGGCGGCTCTGGTTCATCTTCGAATTCATCTTCTTCCTCCTCCTCCTCCTCCTCTTCTTCTTCCGGCGGTTTCGTTTCTCTGTCGATAATCATTTTGAATTCCGCTTCGGCTTGCGTGACGTACTTGTCGACGAATTCCGAAGGATCTTCGGCCAGTTGCGCTTCCGATGCGTCCATGCGCATCTCGCTCTTCTTTTGTTTCAGACGGAGCTCGCGGAACCTGGCCTCCAGGATCTTCTCTCTGCGGTTTTCACGCTCAAACATCTAAAATACATAAATCATGGAAAATTATATATATACACTCACAGGCAAAATAATCGATCCACACAAATTTTCGATGAATTTCAATCGCAAATAACTTTTTTATTTGTTTTCGGATTTAAACAAATATTAAAGAATATTGTAGATACATTAAAGGAGAATCGCTCAAATTTTAAAAATTACTAAAAAATACACGTACAGGTTTCAACAAAAAGATGTTTTTTACCATAAGTTTAAGACACTCTGTAGAGTGGCAAAACCGTATATTGTTCTAAATTAAGTTATAATTATTAAGTCACATCTATTTTTAACAGTTTTGGAAAATATGGATTTTTTAAAAAAACATTGCAATTTCCAATATTTTTCCAGTATGAAGATGATAGTGATCACTATCAAAACTGTCGACAGTTTTGTTGAATCATCCCATACTTGGACATGTCATATACAGCTTTCAAAAGCTATCAAATTGTTTTTTGTAAATTAATGTGTTAATTTTGAGGAGTCTTCTTACTTACTCCGACTGATGTTGCCCTTTGTACTTTACTTCTTGTGACGTTTAAAATACTTGCCACGTAATACTGTGACCGTCCCGGATTAAATTAATGGCTCTGGCAACATCGTTCGGAGACATATCCATTTTTTAAAGTAAGAAGACACCTCAAAATTTAAACATTAATTTCCAAAAAACAATTTGATAGCTTTTGAAAGCCGTGTATGACATGTCCAAGTATGGGATGATTCAACAAAACTGTCACTGTCATTCTCCATAGCCTATGGATGGACCATAGCAACCTTAGTTCTTCATACAGAAAAATATTGGAAATTGCAAAGTTTTTTTAAAAAATCCATATTTTTCACAAAAATAAATATATCGAGGTGAACCAAAAACAAAACTGTTAAGAATAGATGTGACTTGATAAATAAAACTTAATTTAGAACAATATACGGTTTTGCCACTCTACAGAGTGTATTAAACTTATGGTAAAAAACATCTTTTTGTTTAAACATGTATGTTATAAACGTACGTCTACTTTTTAGTATTTTTTTTAAATGTGAGCGATTGTCCATTAATTTATCTACAATATTCTTTAATATTCGTTTAAATCCGACATCAAATAAAAAAGTTATTTGCGATTGAAATTCATCGAAAATTTGTGTGGATCGTTTATTTTGCCTGTGAGTGTATATATATTAGGGTGCTTCAAAAAATAATTTTTAATTTTTTTTTCGCTCTTACCCTCTCAAATGTTTCTATTTAATATAAAAGAAATACTCACCAAATATGGGCAATCCAGCTCAACTCTAAGAGGTCGCTGTTTTTATTTTAGTTTCCCATTTCGTTAACATGGGAAAAAATAATTTTAATTTTATACCTCTGTATAATTTTAATTTTATACCTTTGTATCAAACTAACTTATGGCAATGATCATTGCAGTTTATTAAATTAAATGTAACGCTCTACAAAAAAGGTTTCCTATTATTTTTCGATAATTGATTTCTTTTAGAGTTTTAGAGAGGTCAAAGTTTGATTAACATCAAATTTTCTGTTTTTTTTTTATGGTACAATTAGCAGACGGGAGGTAAAAGGGGGCAAAACAAGGCAGCGGGGGGGGGGGGGCAAAATGGGTTATCCAAAAAATGAGCATATGAAAAGTTTTCCAAATTTGTAAAAACCAGAACATTTGATGTTAATCAAACTTTGACCTCGAATAACTCTAGAAGAAATCAATTTATCGAAAAATAATAAGAGACCTTTTTTGTAGAGCGATACATTTTATATAAAAAACTGCAATGAGCATTGTCATAAGTTACTTTCATACAGAGGTATAAAATTCCAAACATAAAATTATTTTTTCCCATGTTAATTAAATGGGAAACTAAAATAAAAACAGCGACCTCTTAGAGTTGAGCTGGAACGCCCATATTTGGTGAGGATTTTTTTATATTAAATAGAAACATTTGAGAAGGTAAGAGCCAAAAATTTTTTTTTGAAGCACCGTAATATACAGGGTGTTTCTTTTAACTTGAGACAGCTCAATATCTCGAGAAATACGCATTTCACGGAAAAATGTTTTAAATAAAAGGTTAATGTGACCAAAGGGGACATTATTTGGTGCTACCGCTAGCCACCCCCTACCCCTCCTTAAGGGTGAAATGGGGGGTAACTTTGGAAAGTCAAATGGAATGACCCGATTTTTTTCACAGAGTTTGGTAGTACATAAAAAAATGAATAACTTTTATTTGAAAGTTTTTTTCAATTTATCAACAGATGGCGCTGTAATTCAAAATTTAAGAAAAAGGGGTTTCCTTGTAAAATGTATTATTTGAAACGTTTGAAAAACAAAAATTAACATTAAATCAACAATAGTCGGCTCTGAAAACAATTTATAACAAATGTTCAAAATGTCGTCCTTCCATTTCGACACCAAGTGGAGCACCAGCGTCCCTGGTCGGTAAACGTTTTGTGCGGTACCTTAAGCGAACGATTAATAATAATAATAATAATAATAATAATAATTTATTTCCAACAGGAATACACCCAATTACAGGAAATGTTATTAACAGTACAGTAAAATAAACAATGAACAACATTTCAGATAAATTAAAATCTGCTAAAAAAAACATTCAATAATATATGATAGGGGACTATTGTGAATATCACGTATATCACTTATGCTATTAAACAAAGTACATATTCTAAATATAGGTGAGCATTGCATTACATTAGTTCTTGGTGCTAGAAGATAAAAAGTATCAGAGTTTCTTGAGTTAAATCTTGGCACTAAGAATTTTAAAGAACTTAATAAAAATGGACAGTCTATTTTATTGTTACATAGATTATAAATAAAATTTAACGCAATTCTATTTCTGCGATCCTGCAAAGAATCCAGAGAGAATCTATTTAATAAGTAATTATTGTCTATGCCTCTTTCAGGGTAAATTCGATCCTCCTTATAAGCGAGATACTTCAAGAACTTTCTCTGGACAGCCTCGATACGCTGGACATGACATGCATAAAAAGGAAACCAAATTAAAACACCATACTCGAGCCTAGACCTAATTAGGCAGTTAAACAAAAGCTTCAAAGCATCAATATTATTAAAATCTTTACAATTTCGAACTATAAATCCTAAGGTTTTAGACGTTTGAACAACTATGTTATTTATATGGTTGTTAAAAGATAGTTCATTATCAAAGGTTATGCCCAGGTCTTTTTCTTTAGTCTTTCGCTCAAGTAAAGTGTCATTAATGGAATAATTAAACTGAATAAAGTTTTTTTTCTTAGTATATGTTACTACTAAACATTTTGATAAATTTAACATAAGTTTAGATTGGATGCACCAGGAATAAATCAAATCAAGGGTTTTTTGTATCGTTAAACAATCATTCGAATCGTATACTGTTCGATATATTTTAAGATCATCCGCGAAAAGCAACTTATTATCGGGCAGGGTAAATATAAGGTCGTTAATAAAGAGGAGAAATAATAATGGGCCAAGATTGGACCCCTGAGGAACACCGGAAGATACTAAATAACAGTCTGATTCAAAACCTTCATACTCGACAAACTGATATCTACCCTGAAGGTAGGATCTAAATAAGTTGAGAAGATTATTGGAAAAGCCGACATTATTTAATTTTTGAAGTAGGACTCCATGATCGATTTGATCGAATGCCTTTTGAAAATCAAGATATATGACATCTACCTGACCTCGAGAATCCAGAGCAGTACTAACATACTGAGTAAGGCAAGCCAAGTTAGTTATACAAGATTTTTTGGACATGAAGCCATGTTGCTCGTCTGCTATCAAACATTTTGTGGCGGCATATACATGATTATATATAATAATCTCAAACAATTTAGAAAAGTTGCATAATATGGAAATAGCTCTGTAATTTTGAATAATACCTGGGTCACCTTTTTTTAAAACTGGGCATACTCTCGCAACCTTCCATAGTTCAGGAAAAGATCCAGTTGACAAGCAGAGATTAAAGATATGTTTAAGTGGACCAACTAGAGCTCCAATGCAATCTTTAACTTTAATCGGACCCTTCTTTATTGACGGTGCATTAAATGGCGAAAAGTACCGGAATTTTCTAGAAAACGATCTGACGGACCTTTTGGAGGATGTACCACTAGCACGGCTCCAGATCGGTAGACGTGGTCCAGTAATTTGGCCTGCTCGATCACCTGATCTTACGCCACCAGACTTCTTCCAGTGGGGTTACTTGAAAGAAAAAGTTTACGCTGCAATTCCTACAACTTGGGAGGACATGCATGGTGGAGCGGATTAGGAACGCCTGTGCGGCGATACCGCCCGATATGTTGGCGCGTTGTGTGCCAGTGTTGAAATGGAATGACGACATTTCGAACATTTGTTATAAATTGTTTTCATAGCCGACTATTGTTGTTAATGTTAATTTTTGTTTTTCAAACGTTTCAAATAATACATTTTACAAGGAAACTCATTTTTCTTAAATTTTGAATTACAGCGCAATCTGTTGATAAATTGAAAAAAGTTTTAAATAAAAGTTATTTATTTTTTTATGTACTACCAAACTCTGTGAAAAAAATCGGGTCATTCCATTTGACTTTCCAAAGTTACCCTCCGTTTCACCCTTAAGGAGGGGTAGGGGGTGGCTAGCGGTACCACCAAATAATGTCCCCTTTAGTCACATTAACCTTTTATTTAAGACATTTTTCCGTGAAATGCGTATTTCTCGAGATATTGAGCTGTCTCAAGTTAAAAGAAACACCCTGTATATATAATATTAAAATAAAAACTTACCGCAGTGAGTAAAGCCTTGTCGTTCTTATTGTTCATGGATATATTCTCGCTAAACTGCACCAAATAAGTGGTTCCTTTTTGATTGCCGACCGCCACCATTCTGCCGCTATCATGAGGTCGAAGTGTTTTTAATTCTTCATCGCATATTTTCACACTTAACACGGCCTCGTCTTGCTGCTGCAAAAGATCCCAAACATCCAAAACTCCATCGCTTCTCGTGGTGAAAAAAACAGAAAACCTAAGGAAAAATGTACAGTCCATATTCTTGTGCTTGGGATCCACATATCACAATATGTTTTTAAAATGTTGTCAGGCCGTTTGAAGAACTGTTTCGCGTAAATATTTCTTATACATTCATAAATATCACGTAAATATTTTTCAACATTTATTAAGCTTATTAAAAGTTTTCTGATGTAAGCGCCCTTTTGATAAAAAGGTGTCTGTTGTCTGAGGCTCGGTCACGGTCTTATATACAGGTCTTGCAACTTTAAGCTTCGAGGTGGCTTCCTTAACGTGCCAAGCCCCTAGGTGGCGCTAAGATCGAAGGGTGAAGTCAATTAAATGAACTACTTAGTTAAATGTGGAACTACTGCATAACCATAACCTAACTTTTTAAATTCTTTTTCTATGTTTTGTTTACTTTTTCAAAAATTTAATATTTGTGAGTTTGTTTCGGATAATTTACGTTAACAAAATAGGACAACAAAGTCTATACTCTATGCACAAAGTCCTCGGCCGTCGCATGCCCAGACCAAACATGTAAGTAAAACATGTTAATGTATAAAATACATACGTATATCATATATATCTTACGGCTAATGTGTAAACATGGATAGTTTATAAAGTAGCTGGGTAGTTTATAAACTAGCCAAACTGTCAGCTATTTTAATCCACCTTTAATCTAATTAATAAGTAAAAACTCACTGTAACAAAATACACAAGCTTGTTTATAAAAATGTAGGTTATGTTTCTTAACACAGAACATAAGTAGGTAGTTCATTTGACCTTTTATCCCATAGACTTTAAGGACTTAGAGCCGGTTTTACAATCGTTAGATTAAGTTAGCTTATTTGGCGGATAACTTTCATAGAAACCTTCTATCTAAGAAAATTATCCACCAGAGAGCTTATCTAACGATTGTAAAACCCAAAGATAAAGAAAACGACCTTTAAACATCTATGGTTCACCCACAACTCGATGCGCCATCTGGTGGGTGTCTCATTAGAGAGGTCAATTTTCCTATTGAAATTGGGCGAAGTTGCAAGACCTGTATACAGTGTGTATTAAAACGAATAGATACACTTAAATAAAACATGTGCCCACTGTGGTAGGGATTGAATTCGTTTGCTTGCCGTATCATTGTCGTTACGACAATGTCGTATGATCTGTGCGTCAGTTTAAGAAGTGCACTGAGACTTTGCGTACGTCTTTGTAAGAATAAAAAAGTATTTTTCCAAATAAAATGGTTTTTACCCGTGAGGAAAAATACCAAATTATGGTATGGCATCACACTGGTAGATCGTATCGCCAAATACAAACTTTATTTCAAAATATGTTTCAAAATAGGCCTTTACCCAGTGTAGCTACAATCCGGCTGCATGCCGCGCTGTTGCCATATGCTATTATTGTTTCCTTAAAGGGTTGTTTTTCTTATTTTTTAATATTAAAAGAAAGAAAATTAACTAAATCAAATTATTTTTGGCATATTATTATTTTTTTGTTATTTTTAAAGTTTCAAACAATTAAAATTGAACTATTTATTAAATAATTATAATCATTCTTTTCTGATTTAAAACAACCTGGCAACTATGGTTCGTAATTACGAATGGCTTGGTTTAAACCACGCCCAATTAAAGTTTGTTTCTTTTTCTCTGATCAGAATATAATTTGTCATCCTTGTCTCCAGCCTTACTTACTTGATTCTATACAGTCTGTATAAGACCGTGGGCTCGGTCGCTAAAGTCATCCACAAATCAGCGTCAGTTCGGCCATTTTTACTTTGTTGAGTATATTTCAAGTGTGACGCTAAGTTAAAATAATAAATTATCCAGATAATCCTTCCTGCTAGAAATTTGTATTGATACAAATTTCACAGTACGACAAAATTTGATTTTTTCCCTCCCATGAAAAATTAATTAAAATAAATTTTGAAAATTTTAAAAATTTTGAAAATGATACTCGTATCTCGGCGATTTTTCAATAAAATGTTATCCACGGAATTCCTCACATGATAATAATAATAGAGTTTATTGCCCAACAGTTTACACCATAGTAGGACATTCATATTATATAACAAAGAGGTTTACAAAAAAAATATTTAAAAAAAAAATGTGAACAATCATATCTCATGATTATAGGGATAGTAAGTTCCAAGCATTAAATAATTTTACTGAGCTATGATAATGATAACAGTTAGACTGTATCTTTTTATATAAAAAATGTAGGTATTCAATGAATAAATGTACAACCATTAATAGTATATTATGTATCAAGTTTGATAAACGCCATTTTATACACGAATTTAATTTAGGCACGAGCGAGGTTGCTTGCGAGTTCTTAAATTAATGAGTGTATAGAAAAGTTTATAAACGGGGTGCATACTATACTTTTCCTACGACAAATACTTATTATTATCTTAAAATGATTTAAATCAAATATTTTTATAGAGCGCCATCTATGAAACAATAAGGTAATCTGTGTCACCGTCAAATGTCAAATTTTTATATTTTATAAAGGTTATAAATCAAAATGTATTTCTTGAAAATGGACAGTTTTTTACAGTGAAAGTAAAGAAAATGTTTTATGAGCACTTTACAGTGGAGTCCGTGCCCGAATTTAAGTTAGTTTATTAACGGCGAAATTAAAAGGCGAGTACAAAAAGGTCAGTACAATGTTCATATAAACTTTTCAAATATTGGCGTTGAGAAACTATTTATTACTTTTGTATTTTTGTATTGAGATAATAAAATAATTTTCACATTTAGTATTATTTTACAAGAAAGGTACTTTATTTTAAAGATTGTATGACATTTGACAACTGTCAACTAACTTAAAACTAACTTCAGCCCGTGACTAAAAACCTGTTGCTAACTTCAGCCCGTGACTAAAACACCGTAAAGCCACAACTTGTCAATGTGTATTTTAAATACACATGTTTCCATGACACTAAGTGACCTTTTAAATACAGTATTTAAAAGGTCACTTAGTGTCATGGAAACATGTACGATAATGGTCGTTTTAAAGGTGGGAGTAGACAAATTTATTTATTTATTTAAAAATTATTTGAATTATATACAGGGTGTTGCACATTTACGAAATACCGGTGTTTCACGTTCGTGGTCCATTGAAAGTTTCTGAGGAACGTCAAAAGATAAAGATTTGAAATTTTAAAAGCGTTTATAATCCAATTAAGCCCATTTTTCCAAAATATTTTAAACAAAATGCCACTTCCAGTTTGACATAAACTTTGTTATTTTAAATAGAACACTCCATATATTTTTCCATTTTTAAATTCTACATAAAATTCTGAGTAAAATTACTGTATCATGTCGTTTACCTAAAGTAAATAGTTTTCGAGTTATTCATGTTTTTCGTTAATATTTGACAAATGCGCATGGGTGAACATTGTTTAAAATATTCAATGTCAATTCTTTAACATTTCAAATAACAAAGATTATGTTAAACTGGAAGTGGCATTTTGTACAAAATATTTTTTTTTAATAGACTTAAATGGATTTTAAATTTCAAATCGATATCTTTTTTCGTTCCCCTAAAACTTCCAATGGACCACGAATGTGAAATACCCTGTATATCAAGTGTTTTTTAGGTTGTGATACCATCATCAATTTAATATAAGATAAATACAAATCTGTTGTTTCATTAAAAAGAATCAAAAATTAAAACCGGAAATAATTTTTTTTCACTAGAAATTATTTTCTTTAAGTATAATTTTTGTACATGCAAAAAATACAATATTAAAAAAAAATGATTTATACCAAAATAGAAAATTAATAATCTGTATAAGAATGGCTGTATACAAAATTTAAATGACGTGATTTCGTGAAACGGTGAGACCTTTATTTTTAAATTCTGTTAATATTTTTCATGGGAGGAAAATCGTGTTGAACTGTTAGATAGGTATATCTATTTTTATTGTTAAGATTATTATTGCTATTTAGGAATGGCAGTGTACTGAACCGCGGCGCTACCTAAAAATGTTATTGCCACCCTATTGAAGACGATTATTCTATCGGTAAATTTATTATTAACAATAAACAAACATAAACCTAATAAAATCGCTTAGAAAACAAAAAATATTGTTTTTTAATTATTAAAAACAAAAAAAGTAATTTTCCCGAGCGGGATTGAACCGAAAATTTTAATTTAAATTGAATCCTTTTTAGCCTCACAGCAAACGGAAAATTATAGAGGTGTATAGGATGACGCCACGTTTGAATATCGATTTCTAAATCTCCCTACGGTATAGAGTTGTATTCGTCAGTCGAGCGTTTCAATACTCTCCACAGTATAGAGGTCGTAATTTCACTTTTGAACTAGTATTAATATAAAAATTATTTTATGCTTAAAAAAAACTATATACGACATGATTGTGATTTTTTTCATTTTATTAATTAATTAAGCTGTGTTGAATATTTTTCCAATGGGCCATTAATTCATTTGTTCGTAGATGCTACAATAACCTGCACTGTACTTTTTCATCAACCAGATTTAAATATTACAAAACTAACATATACCAGTGGAGATAGTGCAGGGTCTACCAACAGACCTAATTACTAAATTATTAAAGTTTAATAGCATATCGATCATTTTTCAACATAACCTCTTAAATTTTTAATACAAATATAGGTACTTTATATAATACATAAATATACTTAACATCATATCCTCTGTGCTTTACATACCTGAGTTGTTACGGTAAATAAAAATCAGACAAAGGAACCAAAGAAAGGAACTATTTTCAACAATATCATATGTAGAAATGAGAAAATTCATCCATCAAAAGATCAAAACTTCTTGCAATATTACACCCTCTTTTTATACTCTCAGAAATATTGACTAGAACAGTATTAGAGAGACTCCAGTTTCTATAACTTGGTAGAGTAAAGAGAAGTCGAAACCGTTGCGATATTGCATTGCGCTGTTTTTGTATAATTCTCGGGGACATTAACGAAAATCATTGCCAGTAAAATTCGAAAAGCTTGAGTTTCTATGTCTCTGAGGAGAATAGGAATCCGAAGTTGCTGCACCATTGGACTGAACCCTTTTTTAATAATTTCTAGAGACATATATGACTGCACCATTCGACAGGGTCGAGTTTCTACTCCTCTGTTGAATATAGAAAATCAAAATAATGTATCTTGTAAGACACCATTGAGTTTGACTTTAAATATAGTCGTGCATAGGTATAGAGCCGAAAAATATAAAAACAAAGCACGATTCAATACAGTTATGATAAAACTTTAAGATTTGATATTCAAACGCGGAGTCATCCTATACACTTCTATAATTTTTCGTTTGCTGTGCTCCATCCGGAAAAAAATCGAAACTGCGACGGGAAATGACATTTTACCGGAGTTACGACAATGGCTGGGTCAAGCTAAATTTAGAAAAAAGAAGTAAAAAATAAACTTAAAAAGAAAAACCAAGCCTGTAGAAAGAAAAATATTCTTTTATTTATGTAACTTTTTCCAAAGAATTTTTGTTTTACATATTACACTTTTATTTATATCGATTGTTTTTAAAATAAACTATTTTTTAATGCATTTACTAAATTTTCTTGTATTTTTAGCGTCCAAAAAATAGATCTCCAAGATCTTACTCAATAGTTTTAGCATCTTACTCAATGGTTTTAGTATATCTAATATGAGTATATCTAATATGAGAATACCATACCACATCTAATTTTTGCACTTCAAAACAAGAAAATTCAGTACACACAAAGTATCACAGGGCTTATATATTTACAGCAAAATTTTTAAAATAAATATGGAATGAACTGTAAATATTTTGAAAATACATCCAGATATTTTTGTGATGTTGAGGAAACATTAATAAAATATAAGGTAATGTATCTAAACCATTTACAAAGATGTTTTAAAAATGTTGTGAAAAAATATTGTATACATTTAAAAAGTAAGACATCTAGATGCTTTTAAATGATAATGACTAATATTTCTAAAATATTTAGGTTATTTGGCAAAAATATTCATTTAATATTTTAAATATATTTTTGTGTTATGTGGGGAATGTCGAACATATATGGGTGAATCTCACGAAATGTCCCCCCGATGGTGTTATCCCGTGATATTTAATAAAACTAAATGAGTTTGACCTACACTTTTATTGTGTTTTGATCTTTCATAATTAAGTAGATATTACAGCTCAGATTTCAGATTTTTAACCACAATTAATTATTTTTTACAATGTTTTAAAAGTCTAAAACCTATCCTCCGTGACTGTTACTCTTTCTAGGTTAAACTATGTTTTCAAATATCTGAGTTAGTAAAAGCATACTAAAAATATCAGTTTCAAAGCAATCGAATCAAATATAAAATATTATTAAAAATTAAAAGAAATAATTTTTATAACCATTTTTGTTGGAAAAATTGATTCTATCCTCCGTAAATCTGTTTTTGCTTTAAATTGTATGCAACGGATGGCGCTTTAATCATTTTAAATAAGCAAAAACCTCTGTTTTCGACATTATAGATGCATGTGGTTCCTGAAGCTCAGTTAGAATTTATATGCAGATGAAAGTGTTGCTGTTTTATAATTCAAAAGTTTAAGTTCATTAATTTGATATTTAAAATTCTATCCACCGTGAAGTGTAGTATCTCAGTAGGTAAGTAGATATTTTTATAAATATTTTATATACCTATGTACAATTGTATTTTTAAAAAATATTAAGGTGTCAAAATATACAAAGGGATGTTTAAAAAAAAACATACAAAATCCTAACCTCCGTGAAGCTATCGTCCGTGAAGCTCTAATATTCAAAATGTATGATTTCTTAAAATTCTTGCATTAGTGCAGAATCACTTATGTTATGTTCCCAAAAACCCCATTCTAGACTAACAGTGAAACAACCAAAAATAAACAATAATCATTTTCACTTGGGGGATATCTCAATTTATTCACCCATATTTAATCAAATAAAAACACAACACAAATAATTTCTGAAACTCACCTTGTGGGACTCCAAGCGCCATCAGTGAGCCTGGCCATGTGGTAGTTCGTCCAGATGATGGCGCTCTCCTTGCAATCCTCCGACCAAACTTTGGCCGTCCAGTCGCCGATGGTGAGGAAGTTCTTGACGAAACCCGGGTTCCTTTGCATGGTCCACACGGGACCCAGATGCGCCTGGAAGCGCGCCGACATCTTTTCCACGGCCGATTTGCCTTTGCGATTGCACGATATCGTGACGCCTTGCTCCGTGCCGACGCTGAACCGCGTCGGGATCGTGGGCTCGTATTCCAGGCAAGAACATCCGTAAGCTTTCGCCAAGTCTTGATCTTCTTCTCTGGCGTAGTCTAGGATTAAAGTGTCTGTGGGTTCTGATAAGTTTCTAGTGTCCCACCTAGACATGTAAAAAACCGTTATTTAGATTTAAAAATAACACTGTAGATAAATTTTCAACTCTTGAAATATCAAAGCTAAATGCTCGGACACGTAAACATAATTTTTGGTCGTATATTTTAAATCCGTGCTCGGTTTAGCTGTATCAGGTCTAAAAAAGTTTCCGGGGACACACTGTATAGTGGTATATTATAATTTGTAAAATAATATATTTCACCTCTTGTGCCAACATTTCTATGCTTTTTATTTCAATTAATATAATATCCTCAATTATAATCAATAAAAAAATTATCAAAAAAACATTTTGAATTTCCTAAATTATCTATAAAAAAACCTCAGGGACACGTGTTCCTTTTGATCACTTAACTTCAAATTTTGCAAGAATTTGTTTTATTAAATTTGGAATTGATGTGTGGGTTCAGCCAAAATGATTTTTTTCTTTAATTTATACAGGGGGTTTAAATGTATACAGGGTGTTTCCAATATCTTTAAATTTTGACCTGATACAGCCAGGGCTGGATGCTCCCGTGTACGAGTTTTGGTTCGTCCCGCGCATGACGTCACTTGATGAGAGTAGTTGCCGTGAGAATACACGAATAATAGTAATATTTAGAGATGCGACTTGAAAAAAAACGGCCCGTTTTGAAAAAAAACGGCCCGTTTTTTTTGTTTTTTTTTCAGTTTTTTTTTCATTGTTTTTTTTCACATTTTAGGTTTTTTTCAAAATTAGTCCCATTTGCCCAATTTTTTATGTTTCCATGGACTAAAATTAGCCTCTAAATGACAATTAGTAAATGTAAATACAGTCTCGCGCTATGTACGCGACACAACCACCGATTTGACCAATAAGGGCCGCGCTTGTTTTGATTTGGTTCTAAAAAAAGTAACTACATATATATATTTGATTCAGCGCTAGATTTTTCAATAGCAACCAAAAGCACTTTTTTCATGATTTTTAAAATTCACGTAGAGTATGGAATTTTTTTTTCAAAAAACAATAGCAAATTCTTGTAGAACAGTTATTCATTCGTGGTTAAGTCGGAACATTTCGTGGACCAAAAAAGAAAACAAAAAAATCGATTTTTTTTTATTACTACGTTATTTGATAGGATTGATCGTTGCACGTCTAAAAATCTCAAAACTATAAACTTCAAGCTTCAAATTGCTTTTTTTACGGCTCCAATACGACCATTTTTAACAAAGATACAGTTAACTATCCGATAGATAATTATCCGAAAAATCGCAAAAAAAAAATGTTATCGTTTAATTTTTGTGGAAGTTTTACATTGCTATTGGTTTCTAATGTGGAAACTACCAAATAATAAAAAATCAGATTTTTTAGTCTTTGTCAAAATTTTCAATTTTAAAAAATGTAAAATATTCTACATATTACTCAAAATTTCATTTTGAAAAAAAAAACAAAAAAAAACGGTTTTTTTTTCTAGTTTCTTTTTCATGTTTTTTTTCACATCTGAAAAAAACCGTTTTTTACATCTCTACTAATATTATCAAAGAAAATAGAGAAATATCTGGACATAGTGCGTTTTTATTAAACTTAATATTGAAGAAAGTGTTATAATATGGATAATAGATGCTTTCAGTCCTTGATAACATTTAGGGCTGTAGTTTCAGCGTTGGTGTTTTAAATTAAACTTAGAGTCATTGTCCAGAAAATGTTTATAGGAAACAGAACCGGTCTTAACTTTAATATTGTCTATTCTTTTTGTGGTATTTAAACACTGTTTCCATAAATCAAACTTTTTCGGGAATCGTTTAAATTTAATGTTTTTATTTAAAGGGTTTTTCTTGGACTGGTTGTCCGAATTGCATCCAAATATGCCAAACCGCATTTTAATAAATGCAAATGGCACGACATAAACTTAAACACAAACAAAACAAGTTATTATTGTTTTTGTGTTGCGTTATAACGCAACACAAAAACAATAATAAACAAACAGAACAGGTTAACACAACGCAATAACAATAATTTGAATACTGAAAAGTAATTCTAACCTTACCGAACACAAAAACAACAAGTTAAACAAAAAATAGAGCAAGTTAACATCCAACAGCATCGCAAAAACAAGATTTTAGCAGCAGATAATTAAAAAGCACGTTAAAGATTTAAAAACACTCATCAAGTGACGTAGTTAAGCCCCGTCCAACATGCGCACCATCCTATCTTAAGGTGTATGTATCTTGTGATACAGCTAAACCAAGCATGGATTTGTAATCTACGACCAAAAATTAAGTTTAGGTGTCCGAGCGTTTAGCTGTGATATTTTCACTTCCCTACAGTGTAATTGAACTAATTGAATCTGTAGGATTAAGAACAGTACAAGTCCAAAAGTCTAAAATATTTCAAAATATCAGTTTTATAGTTCTAAATGCATTTTTGTGGGAATATTTTAACTATTTCATAAAATATAATGTTCATATTCTGAAAAGTATATCTTCTCACAAAAATGTATTTTAAACTTTAAAATTGATTTTAAAAATGAATTGTCAAAACTAATTTGGACTTGTACTGTTATTATTATTCTCACCATCTATATGGAACCAAAATACCAAGCAAAACACCAAGCAAACAGGGGGTATTTTGGTTACAAATTATGGGTTTCCCGATAATACGTCAGTATCGGGATTATTATAGCTAAAGTACACCTAAGAATCTATTAAGCTGAGTGAGGGCGTAGCTTCCCTTGTAAATAATTTTCGACCCCATGTTCTTAGAAACTTGTTTTGCATTTTGGGCTATAGAATCACCCCTTAAAAATTTTCAGGGACATTCTGTATTTACATATTTCGCGCCAAATCGATCACTGAACCCAACCCCTTTTGGTTTGGCTGAAATTTGTATATGCATACTATCCCACTAAAAACGTTTCCGTGAATCTTTCAAACTTTTTTACCCAACTAAAGAAAGTTATGAAAAAAATGCTCATAACTTATTTAAACGCACGTACTTTTCAGAATAAAAATTCAAAGAAAATATTCATTCATATTCCATAGTGTAAGGTAGCATTAAATTTTTAGTATCCAAAATAAACATTAATTTTTTAAAGTTAACGAATTCGTAATTCTTTATTTTTTTAATGCCGAAAATCCCAATGTGGGAACTAAAGTTAAATCATGCCGTTATACGTTATACCATTGATTAAGGTACTTGTTCACTCAATGGTTATACTAAGGATTATTTCCCTCATTATAATATGAACCAATCAAAAGCCTTGAATTTTCGAATAAATTTCGTTTAAATAAGCGGCTAGAACTATTTAACAGCGATTAAATTTTAGCCTCCATATTGGATTTTTGTTTACGATTTTATGGTGTTAAGTTTTAACAAACATTAAAAAAAAATAAAAAATAAGTTATCTAGTTTACGAAATATCAATTATTACTTATTACATACCTTAAATTAATGAAATTTTCTTTAAAAAAATATTTATAAATTTTGACACATACGTATATACGTCAGATTTTATGAATTGTCAAATATTTTCCTTTAATTCGAGAAATAATTTAGACGTATATCACTCAACCTATAAATTTAATCTGTCAAACTATGCTCAGTAAGTTTTTTATTTGATTTTTCTTTTTGGAAAATAGTTTCATGCAAAATAATTAAAAATAAAACCCCTCGACCTCTACGCGGTCTCGTGATTTTATTAAATTATTTTGCATTCAACATTTTCCAACAAAAACCAAACAAAAAACTACTGAGCCTAGTTTAACCGATTAAATTCATAGTTCTCGTGATATAATATATGATTAAATTCGCAATTTGCATTTATGGTTAATTTGCAATTTTGAATATTCTGAAAATTTTGTACTAAACATTTTTTGATAAAAATCATCTTTGGTCCGTTTTCGTTCATTTGTCATTTTCGTACAAACAAATAACTGTTGTTACCATGGTAGGTAAAAAATCTCTCATATTTTGGGGTTTTGAAATCAAGCAAAAACTATTATCAGGAATAAAATTTTATAATAAATGTAAAATAATATTTTTTCCACTTTGTAACCCCATCCTTGGAATACTGTATATTTATTTAAATTTATTTTATCATAAAAACAAAGTTAAATTGCGAAAAACTTAACACTATTGAAATTGAAAAAGTTTTTTAAAGAAAAAATGACGAAAAAAAAAATATTGTTTTTTAATTAAAAATGTTATAGAATATAACTGGATTTTTTGTTTGTATTTTTTTCTGAAAAGCATGTTAAAACATAAACAAATTATAACTTTTTTCAGTAGGGTAGTATAACAGTTAAAAATTACAGCCAAATTAAAAGATGTAGATTTCCATTTTTCAAAATAGAAAATTTGTGTCCCCATAGCCTACACAAGAAGTACGAACTTCTGTATACAAAGGACTTTCCAAAGAGGTCGCTAGTTTTGTGTTTGTACCGAAACAGTGCACTGCAGTGGAGGGGTATTATAATAGCAGTCGTCATTAAAAAATGGAAATCAGCGCCGCTAGTGATGAAAAAAGAAAACGTAATTTGTGCGATATGGTGAGCAGATTCTGGTATAAGCTGATACTTATAAGATCCATGATTTCAACATAAGAAATCACATATTGCATAATTTATTAAAATGTAGCAATAAATACTAAAAAATGTTTTATCCCTTTTTTGCAAAAAATTTCTGTTTGCATTTTTTCGTAAAATAAATTGTCAAATTCCAATATTTTTTAAAAGTTTAACTATTTTTCGTAAAAACGTAAAAAATAGGCATTAAAAAAATAATTTGTGAAAAACACATTTCCACATAACATCTCTAGTTCTATCTGAAATACTAGAATAAATGCAGTGGATTGTTAAACACCCCCTGGGCATAAAATAAACGTAATAAGAAAAACGAAGAAGGAAAAAAATACTGCTTCAATAAAAGAATAATACGGCCATTTCAAGCGCGCGAAACGCACGAATTACAAAACTGTTTTTATAAAAAAAATTGTAGATTATTCATTATATAATATTTTGGCATCAAAATTTTCAAAAATATTCTTCTTTTATTAGGTTATACATTAAATAAAAAAAACGCAAGAAATATTTTATGAAAGTAGATATAATTTTAATAATTGAAAGGGATGGACGGGACAAAAAAAAGATTTATCTTGTCCCATCCACCCCTGTCAATTATTGAAATTATCTCTACTTTTATAAAATATTTCTTGCGATTTTTTTTATTTAATGTATAGCCTAATATTAAAAGAATATATTTGACAATTTTGATGCAAAAATAATATAAAATAAATTACCTACAATTTTTTTTATAAAAACAGTTTTGTGATTTGTCCCGTCCATCCGCTTGAAATGGCCGAATAGTTACCATTTAACTGTTCCATCTGTGGACCCACTGAAAAACTCGCATCCAGATTTGGAGTTCATCCATAGAACGCTGTACACTGGATCTCTAAAACTCATTTCGACAATGGTCGAGTCGACGGGTTCCAGGCCTTTCCTAATGTCCCAAAGACTGACCACGCCGTTTTTATGACCGCTCACCAAAGTGTTGGGATCTTTTTGGTGATACTCCATACAAACAGCTGAGTGGTCAGGTTTCAAAACCATAAGAGGCCTGTTGGGATTTTCTAAAAAAAAAAAATGTTTTGAGCCTACCTCTACATCTAGACATCTTGGTTTTTACAATCATGAAAAATTGTAATATACAGGGTGTCCGGGAAAAGGAGGTCAATCCGTTAACCATATATTCTTTGAGTTAAAACAATAAGACTTTCATAATACCATTTTTCAATTTAGAGCTTCATGTTGGATATACAGGGCGACAAAGTTTGAAATTTAAAACTGATTTTTTTTAATAATTCGAGTAATTGTTAAGATATTAAGTTTAAATTCGGTACACTTCTTCAACATAAATAGTTACATTTTTTGAGACCAACAAAACAAAAAACAATTGTCAAATAATCAAAATAGGGGGGTCCAGTACTCACTGACTCCCCCTATTTTTGAGTACGTGCGCCAATGACTTCCAAACGGTATTTTTTCAGGTAATCATTTATTGTTGAAAATTTTTTGTCTCTTATAAAATTTTGATAAAATGATTTGTTTTAGAGATAATTTGTAAAGTATGGGTCAATCCATATCAAATTTATGAAATTTAATTTTTTTTTTGAAAAAATTTAGGTCATGTGATATATTATAAAAAAGGTCTCTAATAGGCCTTTAAAATAAGCCATCACTCACCTTTCTACTTTTAATAGTTTACGAGATATCGCTATTTTTGTAAGTACTTGCAAAACCCAAATTTATCGGAATTTTTTGATTTTCAAAAATCAATAAAACAAAAACCACCCATCGAAAAAAATTCATATATGGGATTTTTAAGTTTTTTAGTGAGGTAAACAAATTTACCAAAAATTATCAAAATCGGAGATGGTGGGGGAAGAACCTTTGGTTGATTTGATATGGACTGACCCATACTTTACAAATTATCTCTAAAACAAATCATTTTATCAAAATTTTATAAGAGACAAATTTTTTTTAACAATAAATGATTACCTGAAAAAATACCGTTTGGAAGTCATTGGCGCACGTACTAAAAATAGGGGGAGTCAGTGAGTACTGGACCCCCCCTATTTTGATTATTTGACAATTGTTTTTTATTTTGTTGGTCTCAAAAAATGTAACTATTTATGTTGAAGTAGTGTACCGAATTTGAACTTAATATCTTATTAATTACTCGAATTATTAAAAAAAATCAGTTTTAAATTTCAAACTTTGTCGCCCTGTATATCGAACATGAAGCTCTAAATTGAAAAATGGTATTATGAAAGTCTTATTGTTTTAACTCAAAGAATATATGGTTAACGGATTGACTTCCTTTTCCCGGACACCCTGTACAATTGCGTTGAAGCCATTATGGATATTATCCCAAAAAAGTGCTTGTTAGAATAATAAAATTTAGTAAAAATCGTAAAATCGCAACCCCATTTGTCAAGATTGAAAAATGGGCAATATTTTTTTCTCCAAGGTAATTTTGTTTAAATTTCAATTTATTTACCTACATCCCAAATAAACGAATGTTTAAGCTCATTGGGCACTTCAGCTTGAAATAATAAGTTGGCATAACTCACAGCCAGCTTAGTTTGTCCATCTGGTGACCAAGAAATGTGCGTAACAGGTCTAGTGGGCGTGTATTGGTCCTGATAAACATTTAAAGTTCTTGCTGAACTTCTTTCTATCAAAGGTGTAGGCTCTACATCAGAAAAATATTGCTGGTAGATGTTTACCGAATTGTTTTGAAGAATGCAGTTTTCCACATTCTAAAATATTTAAAAAATAGTCAAATTCGTAAGCTTTCTGCATAAAACACATTTGTAATGCACCCAAAACAAATAAAAATGTTTGTAATAATGTCTAATTGTTGTCAAAAGAATAACTGGTAAAATCAATATTTTTAGTACCTGGTAATAAAAATTTTAAAATAAAAATTTTGCAAAAGTATTTGTGGTAAATAAGTTTTCCTCCATAACAAAGTATTTCTAGCTTAAGTTGACAGTTAAGCTTAAGTTGACAGTTAAGCTTAAGTCTACATTCTTAGCATATGCTAGATAAAAATATCTTAAGAACGTCAAATTAGGGGATTATTAAGACCATTTCAAATTTATTATTTACTTTAAATAAAGCCATCATGGTGTGAAAGTAATTTTCTTCCTTCTCGATTTTCCTCCTATATCTCTTAGGTTGCTCTTCATCGGCCAAATTTATATCTTTTGGCCATCCACCCTCAATGTGGTTCATAGACGCAGTAGTGTACTCTGCCCTTGTGGTGTTTATGTCGTGTTCCGCGAATATTGGGGCACATTGTTGATGTCTATCAAAAGGGTCTCTAAAATAAGGCAAAATAGGATTATTGTTGCAATTTATTTCAACTGCTCTAACTTTAAAATGTATTGCTTGCCAAGTTGCCTATTGGAGGGATAGTTATCAATCAAATCAGGGCCTTTATCGGAAAATAAACACTGCCTTCCAAACTCTGCCCTTTTTTTTTGATAAGAAAATTGAATGTCCATTTTTAAAACGTCAGATTGACTATGTCAAGTTTGATCAATAATTATTGGATTGCTATGGCAATTTCTATTTAATTTTAACAATACAGAATAAATTGACCTTTCATATTTAAATAACAATCCTAAACCAATAACAATATACATACATATAAATAACAAAACTTAGGAATTTTGCAGGGCCATAAAAAAATCATTTCTTTCTTTTGATTTCGAAGGCACATTCAATTCAGTAATATAATCCTCTAGTTTATCAATTCTTTTTTGCAAATTGTTAAAACATTGTTTATTATGAAGAGAAGAGGTTGACGATTTTGATTTTATTGTATAAGTGCTTTTTGATTGTGTCAACGTTAATTTATCACTTCTAGAATCATATATTTTACAGTCTTTATCCAACTTATTGTTGGTTTCATAAACATTTTCGAGTTTTTCGTAGATTTTTTTACTTTTGCATAGTTTTTCCTTGGATTTTTTTAATTTGGACAAGGTTTCAACTATTTCTTTTCTAAAAAAATGTTAATTATTGTAAATGTAAAAACACTGATAAATCCCATTAAACATACTTAATTGCTTCATTTGATGCATCCATTTTAAAAACAATTCTAATAGAAAAACAACACAACAACTAAACTTGAATTATATAATTTAAATTAAATGTACATTTAATTTTAAATTTTGACGTTTCGATTCCTTGTTTATAGTGTCTACGCTCACGAAGATCAGCTGATCACAATTCGAGCCCTCCTATTGGTTGCTAGGGCGATAGAAAAGAATCACTTTCGTAGCGTGATACACAAATTATTGACAGATCGTGTTTGTAAACGAATGTCAGTCAAAAATAAACAGCATTCGTTATAAGTGTATTTAAATGTTTGTGCTTTGTGTAAAATTGTTGTTTCGTTATCCTTTTTGTTTATTATTTCAAGTATATCGTTTATTTGCAAGATGGAGCCGCAAGCAAATAAATATTTGAGACAAAAAGAATGGAGTAAGGCCCTTGTCGTGTTTACCGAAATTTTGAAAAATACAGAACTTACGGAATTTGACAAAATTAGATACACGTTAGATCATGCGGAATGTCTGTTTCAAATGAAAAATTATAGGATGGTCGTGGAAAGTTGTAAAAATATTATTCATACATCAGTTGACAAAATTGGCGGATATCAGGCTAGAAAAAAGCTATTGCACGCATTATTTTTAATGAAAAGATATTCAGGTATGATTAATTATTGTGTAGATTGTTTAGAATTTGTTGAACTACTAACACCACTATGAGTATGTCTTAAATAAGTATTTGTTTGATGGTTCATTTTTTTGTTTGTTCTCTTGTAAAGTAAAATCTTTGGTTTTGTTGAATTTAATTTAGTAATTTTGCAGTATGAAATAGGCTTTTAATGTGAAATGTGACTTAACTCACAATCGAGCAGCAACTGAGGATGCTAAAAAAACTACAAAGACCTTTCTGTAAGTAAAATTTGTTCCCTATCATTGGTTATCTAATCCTCTGTTGATCATTAATACTACAAGAAAACTAAAACTACTAATTGCATGATTGCATCATTTTTCATTAACCGATGTTGAAATTAAGGATATAATAATAAATTTGGAAAACAATTTAAAGAGTAAGATAAGGAATTTTAAATACATACCAATAATATTTTAAAATTTAAATTAATTAATTAATTAATTAAAAAAACATATTTTATTTAAAATTTGTGTTAACACAAATTTTAAATAAAATATGTTTTTTTGACAACAAAATTTGTTTTAATATTTTATTGGAAACATGATAATAAATTCCATTTGTAAACACAATTATTCTATACTCATTGTTTTTATTTCTATTGTATATGACTGAGTCACATTTCCAGCTATTTTTTTAAATAATATTTTACAGTGATTACAAAATTAACTTTTAAAGATTCAGGATTATAATATTTTTGTATAATGAAGCTTTATCTAGCAAATTAAATTTCCCATTTTTTTGGTCGTCCATAAAGTACTTTCATTAAAAAAATTGTTAGGGGAAAATATAAAGCTTTATGTATTTAATATGGTATTATTTCCATTTCTTGTAGAGGCTGAATTGATTGCAAAAGACTGGTTAATTCAGGTCCATCAGTATGAGGAGCACTTCAGTTTGAAATGCACGCTTGAGGAAATAATCGTCGTGCTGAATTTTCCCGCAAAACACAAAAATACTGAGGAACTGTTTGATAGTTTGCAATCAAAGTTGGATGAAATCATGCGATCTCATAAGTCAATTATCAAATCATTACCAAAGGTAAGATTTATAATTTTGTGTTAAATATTTTAATTGTTATAAGAGATAATAAAGTGTCAATTTTAATAAACTAAAACACTGAATCTGGATAATGATATTTTTGAGACTGAAAATCTTATTTTGTTTCATAAATTTTTATGAGTTTTCCTGATAATGATTTTTTTATTATGTAGTAAATAATATTGCCCAATAGATTTTACAATCCAATTACAGGATGAACCCTAGGGAACAAACTTAATGTAATAGGATATTAATACAAAAAACTGTTATTGGCAAAATATAATATTTATAGAAATTTACTGGGTGTCTTACATTGGAAAAATCAAATCAGTTGATTTTTAAGTATTAAAGCAATTGAAGTATATATTTTTTTAACTAATAGATTTGTTTGTCACATTTATAAAAATTATAAAATTAAATTTACCATTTCTTATTACATTTTTCTAGACTGTTACAAAAATCATTTTGCTAGAAGCTTTGTCATTGAAGATATCATAATATGTTCTGATATTTAAAATATAAAATTGTCTAAAAACCCCTTTTATTCTTAACAAAAACTGAAAACATGACCATAAAAATGTTCAAAAATATAGTTATATTTTCCCGCACGCTACTGCAATTGACGCAGTAAGTGTGGAAAAATTACTTTGCACATGTGTTGGGAACATTATTTTTTGTACAACCAAGGAATTTTTTTTTACTCCAACCAAAAAAAAGTTAAAAATACTCACCTGTAACTTTTTAAATTGACCAAATGGGACGTTTTTTTAACTCTTATACCGTATTTTCATTTTTCCTGCATTTGGTTTTTAAGAGTGGGAGACACGGTGTCTCAGACACCGACTCTTGGCCCGAGAGACGGTTTTTGTAATTCAGTAGTAGATCCTTCACCGGCGATGGGTGATAGTCGAAGTTTGCTCTGAATTATTAATACGAATTATGCATTATTAAGTTAATTTACTTTTAAAACTGATGTAGATACTTTAAATGTAACACTTTTAACATTATTAATTAAAGGTGTATAATCATTATTTGTTTTGCATTTAACTAAAGTGTTTTGTTATAAAAAAACGTTTAAGCGTAAAAAAACTCTTTAAAAACAAATAAAAAAATTTGAATTCAAATAAATAAATCAATTCTCTTAAAACAAAACTAAAAATCAAACTTTTTAAAATAAATGTAAATAAATTAATTAAAAACATTTGTTATTGTTTTAATCGACGGAATAGAACGATCCGGATATTTAACTTAGGTAGGTCTCTTGTTTGACGTAGAGAATTGCCCACCAAAGACCAGCTTATCATGTCAATTTTCTCTTGCAATGTGTAGGACATTAAAACTTATAATTTGAAATAACAGAAATTAATTTATTTTAAAACGATCGAAATACACACTAGCAAATGCAAAATATGACTGAATCGCTTACAATGGGAAGGGGCGATCGGGTTCACTCGAGTGTATATATTTCAAATGAAAATGCGGTATGTACTTTTTATAAAAAAATACACAAACATTTTTTGATGTCAAATTTTATGAAATTTTTATGTTAATTTAGAAAAACCATTAATTTCGCCATTTAAAATTTTTATTTTTAAAAAAGCTACCAAAAGCACTTGTTTTAATAATTTTTCAAATTCATGTAGAGTATGGAATTTTATTTTCAAAAAAACAATAGCAAATTCTTATAGAACATTTATTCATTGGTGATTGAGTCAGAACATTCCGTGGTCCAAAAAAGAAAGCCAAAAAAATTTCGATTTTTTTATTACAGTATTCGTTAGGATTGAGCGTTGCACGTTTTTCATCTAAAAATCTCAAAACTAGAAACTTTAATCTTCAAATTGCTTTTTTTACGGCTCCAATACGACCATTTGTAACGAAGATACAGCTATCCAAAAAATCGCAAAAAAATTATCCTTTAATTTTTTCTATTATTGCAGAAGTTTTACATTGCTATTGGTGTCTTATGTGGAAACTACCAAATAATAAGAAATCAGATTTTTTAGTCTCTGTCAAAATTGTCTCTAATGAAAAATGTAATATGTTCTACATTGCACTTTATTATTAATATACATTTTACTCAAAATTTCATTTTGAAAAATTACTTCATTTTTTAAGATTGATGTTATTTATTGACAGAATATGGTTATTGCAGCAGATTAAAAAAAACAAAAAAAAACCGTTTTTTTCTAGTTTTTTTTCACATCTGAAAAAAAACCGTTTTTTACATTTCTACTGGTGTGAGATTAGTTGGCCCAGCGACGAGAAAATAGTGTAAATGTTTTTTTTTTAATTAAAACGCCATTTATAATACAGAATTTAACTATGGTAACATTATTTATTACTTAATGTAAGGTTACAATTTTCTTTAAACAAAAAAATTATTTTTGCTGTTGCTAAATGAACATACCATGATTTATACAAACTTATACTATACAAAGCAGATTTAGCAATATCCAAGAGTCAAGACACCATATTAACAAATGAAATTGACAGTTAAATTTAAAATTTTTATATAAAAATTTATCATAATAAAAAAATTAAAAATTAAGTTGAATACGTTAATAGTATAATTTTTTCTTAAATTATAACTTTTACGTTAGTAGTATATATTTTTTTAAATAATAACTTTTGCAATTTAAAAGTTTATCATAAGATTAAGAAAAAAATGTACATATATCAGTATACGTTTACACAAAACAGTCAACCTGAAATAATTGATACCATTCAATTCACTGGGCCAACTAATATGGGACAGGGCTCGTATAGAAAAGTTCTTTTATAAAAAATAGCGAACTTAAAAAATTGATAGTTTTTTGAAAAAAACTGAAATTTTCGATAGAACTTGACATTGATAAACCTTTTGTATTTTTTATTGAATAGTGCATTTAAAATCAAAAAATTAAAAAAAACGTTCTATTTAGTTAATTTTTAAAAAATTTATGCATATTTGATAAAAAAGAGCCATATTTTTTGAACATTTCTTACTTTTTAGTAGTATAAAAATATAAAAAAAAATCAGCCAAATCGAAAGGGGTCGATTTGGCATGAAACAACCCATATGTTTTACCGATATACGAGGTGTGTTCAGAAAATATCGGAAATTTTCGGTTTTTGAAATAAATATTTATTTATTCGTCTACATTAATGTTGTCGCCTTCAAAATAGTCCCCATTGGATATTATGCACATGTGCCAGCTCTTCTTCCAATACTCGAAACACTTCTAAAACTCGATCTTTGGGATAGCCTTTAGTTCTTTTAGCGATGCGCTTTTAATGTCATCTATGCTTGCAAAACGACGGCCCTTTAAGGTTCTCTTTATTTTTGGGAATAGGAAAAAGTCAGACAGAGGCATGTCTGGCGAATATGGAGGCTGGGGCATCATTACAGTATTGTTTTTGTCCAAAAATTTTGTTCAAAATTTAACAATTTTAGAACAAATTTTTCTGCCACGCGTTTCATACCCAAAACATTCGAAAAAATTTCATGGGATGAGCCAATCGATATACCAACATCATCAGCGACTTCTTTGATGGTTTATAACCATTTCTTCCACTTTTTCCATGTTTTTATCGGTTGTTAATGTGCTTGTGCGTTCGGGGCGTTCGTCATCTTCAACGTCTTCACGGCCATCTTGGAAACTCTTATACCACTTGTAAACTCTTGTTTTACTTATAGCAGACTCACTATAGGCCTTTGTTAACATTTCACAGAATTTATTTCATATTTAAGCAAAATTGGATACAAATTCTTTGATCCATTTCTTTTAGCGAACGAAAAATCGCCGAGCTCATAAAACACATCTCACCTTAGCAGCTGCCACAGACAAAGTAAAAAATGAAAACAGCTTAAGTTTTTATCATACTTCGGGGGCATGTATACCAACATAATAAAGAAAATTTTATGACAACCGGATCCTCCGAACCCGCGAAATTTAACAATTCCCGTTATTTCCTGAACACACCTCGTACAATTTGACCCCACACCGTTATAAAATAAAATCGATTCTCCATCGGCAGATCGACAAACCTCCCGTCTCCTACAACTGCATCTACTGCAACGTGCTGTTCAACGACAAGGCGGAGCTGCGCGCGCACTGCCAAACGGAGACGCACGAGACGCTGGTGATGTCGGACGAGGGCCGCGACTGGCGCTGGCGGCCGCCGCCGCGCGGCTTCAAGAGCGACAACTACGCCCTGTGCCACAATTGGCGCGACGCGCAGTCGTGCCGCTACGGCGGCCAGTGCGTCGAGGCGCACGGCGTCGACGAGCTCAAGGAGTGGAAGCAGAGGTTCAAGTACAGGGAGATGAAGCTGCTGAGAGCCAAGGAGAAGGAAATGTTCGGTAAGATAAATACAGGGTGATTAACCTAACTCATTCGTTAGAAGTTTATGGAGAAAGCAAAAAGATATCGATTTGAAATTTGTAAAGCAATAGAGTAATTGCATCAAAAATGAAAATCCCTAAAAACCTTTTTAATGTAATCTAGAGGTAAAAACACATTGCGAAAATATTTTTTTATATTTCAAAAGTTCAACCCGGCCCCAAAATATCAAATTGAAAAAAGGTACTTTTCAAACGTTCCCGAACTCCCGCCATATTGCATGACGTCATAAACCTACACCAGTGTCAGAAATCAAGATGTCAACAAATAATAAACACCGATAAAGTTTATGTTTAACATGGAAAACGCGAAAACAAAAATTGGTTGTAAATATTGTTTTGTGCCTTGTTGTACAAATACAACCTGGAAAACTCCTGGGAAAGTTGTCCCTTCAATTATCAAAAGCAAAGTTTATGACCCTACACTGAGAGCCGTTACGGCTCAGCCGTATTTTCTTGAGTTTATTATTATTTAACATACCTATCCCAACCATATACCTAGTAAACGACATTATATTTTACTTACATTAAAATGATCCTCGCAGCAATAGAATGTTGACTGCGGTGACTATGTTTTGATATCGCGCCGAGCTATCTTAATCCACTTTATCCTTATTTTCCCAGGAGTTTTCCAGGTTGTATTTGTACAACAAGGCACAAAACAATATTTACAACCAATTTTTGGTTTCGGGTTTTCCATGTTAAACATAAACTTTACCGGTGTTTATTATTTGTTGACATCTTGATTTCTGACACTGGTGTAGGTTTATGACGTCATGCAATATGGCGGGAGTTCGGGAACGTTTGAAAAGTACCTTTTTTTTAATTTGATATTTTGGGGCCGGGTTGAACTTTTGGAATATAAAAAAATATTTTCGCAATGTGTTTTTACCTCTAGATTACATTAAAAAGGTTTTTAGGGATTTTCATTTTTGATGCAATTACTCTATTATAAGGCAATGTAAACTATTTTTTTAAATTATTTTTAATGCGTTATCACTTTGGTTTTTCAAATGGAACCATATAAATATTATTGAATTTTAAAAATTTTACGTAATATTCTAGAAATAACAAAATTTGATGATTAGATATTAGATATTAAAAGTTTCTATTTTTCTTTTTAAAACTTTACTAGACTCTCCATATGTATAAAATATGTTTAGAATATCTTTATTAGTGTAATTATTATCACTCATTGTAACACAATTGTCAGAGACGTTGACATTAATTAATTGTCAAAAACGTTGACATTAATATTACTTTATAAATACGAAAAAAAAAGACAATCCAACGCACACTACTGATATTACAAATAAAAAAAATAAGCGTTTTTTCACATTTTTTGTAATATAGTATATGTATACATTTATAAATATTCATTTCAGGTATAGCGAATGCTGCAGCATTTCAATATAAAACATTCGTTTCAAATAAGAAAGTTATTGGTATTTAAAGTGACAAAAAAGTCAACGTAAATATCAGACTCCCTGTATAACATTTTTAAACACTGGCTTTCGATAGAGTGCTTAGTTAACAGGTACACCGTAAATTAACTGTTTATTATAACAATTAGACTGGGCCAAAAAATCGACTATTTTTTTTTGGAAAATATATCGAAAATATAGTTTGGGGTGACAAAAAAAATTAGGCTGAAAGTTTGAGTCCATAATTATTAATTATTATTAATTATATTAATACTCGTATTAAGAGGTCTATCATCGCAATTTTAGATTTTTTTTCCTGAGCGAGTTTTTGTCTCAGAACTCCCAAATCATTGAGTTTAACAAAATTGAGTTAAAAATATTTTTTGAAGAAAATTGAATGCTCTACAAAAATTCCAATTTAAAAGATCAAAATGTAAAACTATACCAATTTTTAAGGCATGATTTTAAGGAAACGGTTCATCTGACGGAAAATTTCACTTTAACCTTTTTTGTAAAGCATTTAATTTTCTTAAAAAAATATTTTTAAGTCAATTTGTTAAACTCAATGGTTTGGGAGTTCTGAGCCTAAAACTTGCTAAGGAACAAAAAAATTAAAATTGCGATGATATACCTCTTAATATTAATATTATGGACTCAAACTTTCACAATAATTTTTTTTTGTCACCCAAAACCATATTTTCGATATACTTTTCAAAAAAAAAATAGTCGATTTTTTTGGCCCAGTCTAATAGACACATTAATAAGAGCATCCATCTGTCAAAATTAAAAAAAAATTATATAAACGATGAAATATAAATTTTATAAAAAAAACTCCAAAAACTTTCAACGAAATAAAGTTAAGTAAACCACTTTGGAATTGGATAAACCTGCACCACTTTTGTGACCTGCACATGTTCTGATGTAAACAGTAGTAACTACTGTTAATAACTGTTATTTGTTGCTAACAAATTGTTGGTTAATTTATAACCCCGCTTTTTAGTTTTGGTGCCAAATTCAAATATCGAGCACTATGGTAAATGCTCGAGCATTTATTTATAAGCGCTTGAGCATTTATGAGCACTTATTAGCGCCTTTGAAAGTGCTCATCCTTCTATAGTATTTCTACAATTTTACGTAGAATTTAAAAATGAAATATTTATATGGTTCCATTTGAAAAACCAAAGCTGATATCATTTCCAGTTTAACCTAAAGTGATAACGCATTGAAAATAATTAAAAAAAAATAGTTTACATTGGCTTATAATTGCTATTCAAATTTCAAATCGATATCTTTTTCCGTTCTCCATAAACTTCTCATGAATAAGTTGAGTAAATTTAAAAAATGTTCATTGCAATCTCATTGATTCTCTTTAAAGACATGTATAATAATTTTAATTGTGAAATTTATATTTTTCTTTTCTGTGATTCTTAAAAAAAAGTCTTGGACTTGATGAATATGAAGATTGAATATTTATAAAATTTGTACAAACAAACAATACATTTTCTCCCTCTACATCAGGCTCCTACACTGAAGAATTTCTGGAACGACTAATAAAATCGGTAAACCCTGGTTCGATAATGAAAGAAACAATAGAAGAAGTGGAATTTTCGTCGACCACACCGCTTACATCCACCGTTCTTTCGAAGAACAGCCAGCACGAGTGGACGCTGTTCATAAACACGAAACGGCCCCTAAAGGCGGTCGCTCTCCTGCAAGACACGTATCGCAACCATTTTCACCTTTCGGGCATAACGATAAAAACCGCCGAGATCGACATCAAAAACGACCAAGAGTGGATATCGCCGCTCCAAATGACCGAGGAGTACAAGTTCAGCATCGACTACAAAGTTCGGGTGGTTTTTAAAACGGACATTTTCGGAACTTTTCGGCAGTCGATCGTGTTCGATTTCTACACCGAGCCCGTCTTGGTCAAGCATTTGTGCGTGGACGTGGTGCCCGACTCGGAGATCGACAAAATCAACGAAATACGCAGGTAGAGATGCGACTGAAAAAAAACGGTCCGTTTTTTTTGTTTTTTTTTCATTGTTTTTTTTTTCAAATGGTTTTTTTTAGAGATGGGAATCGGAAAGTTTCCATTTTAAGGAAACTTTCCGTTTTGGAAAGTTTCCAATTGGGAATTTATTTTCATTTTGAAAGTTTCTTTTAAGCTACCGGAAACATTCCTTGGAAACTTCCCTTGTTTTTTTCATTTAAATGTCAATTGTTTAACCGCTGATTTTCGTTAAGGCCATGATACAAGGCCAAGAAACTTTGAATAAGAATTTAATGTGTGTTAATTTAAGGCAGAAGAAGAAGTATAAATAATGTAAGTTATGTTACATAACCTCAATGAAGCCGGATTATTCAGCATCATCACAAAAAACCCTGGCATAAAAAAAATTTTTTCGCAATAAAAAACTTTCGGAAAATTTCGGGAATTTTCGATGGAAAGTTTCCGGGAATTTTTGTCAAATGGGAATTTTCCCATCTCTAGTTTTTTTCACATTTTAGGTTTTTTTCAAGATTAGTCTCATTTGCCTAATTTTTTATGTTTCCATGGACTAAAATTAGCCACTAAATGACAATTAGTAAATGTAAATGTGTCTCGCGGTATGCACGCGTCACAACCATCGATTTGACCAATAAGGGCCGCGCTTGTTTTGATTTGGTCCTTAACCTTGTAGTAGTGGCGCCTTATATTTAACATTGGTGGTGGCGCCCGGCCTGTCAGGCCCGTAAATTTAAAAAGATCATATTTATGCTAGTATTTTTTCTTTGTGATTTTTTTACTTTTAATTTATTACTTAATCCTTTTGTTACCAAGGTCATTGATTTTTTTTAACAAAAAAACCTCATATGTTTGAAATATGGGGTTAATTTTATGGGGACAGGATTATAAGGTGACATAATATTATTTCACAAAAAACTAAATAAAAAATATATTCTACCAAAAAAACAACAAATGGTTTTTAAGCTTGAATAACAAAATATCGTATTAAACGTGGTTTTGACTTTTTTCCACACAATTATGACACATAATTTTGGCATGGGTCATACATAGAAATTTTTGGCTATGAAGTGTGTGGTCCTTCTGTCTATGCGACATTCTGCACACCTTTTTCTGGTCCCAGGGGGAATTAGTTGAGGTTCAACATTATCGGCAGAAGTCCCAGCTACTTCTTTGACGTACCTCAGTTGTTAAATTTTGTTTCATAGAACGGCGTTTCAAATGCTTCTAGGACAGCGAAGTTCTTCAAGAGCCTTCGCATTAATAATTTGAATTATTAGCAGTGTGTATTACTTGGGCATTTATTTCAGCCACATTCATTAGACCATACAATATGACCATATTTGATAAAATAAAGTAAAAAATATGCTAAATAATTAATATACCACAAAATAGTCGTATAACATAAAAGGTGGCGCCCGGCCTTTCAGGCTGTTTTAGGTTATAACTTTTTAAGTTTGAACTGTAAGTAAATAAAAATTGCACAACACCTTTCTACGCAAAAAGTTAGGAAGGTACTGAAAAATACAGAGTTGTCTCTTAATTATTTTCATAATGATCCGCTAAATAAGATCGCTTGGGCCTGTTAGGCCGTGCGCCACCAGTAAAAGTAACTACATATAATATTTTTGATTCAGTGCTTGATTTTTCATAAAGCTACCAAAAGCACTTTTTTCATGATTTTTAAAATTTATGTAGAGTATGGAATTTTTTTTTTCAAAAAACAATAGCAAATTCTTATAGAACATTTATTCATTGTAGTACAGTCATCTTAGTCAAATAAAGGGATCAACCTCGGAATCTAACGGAATAAGCTGAATTTTTGTGAAAACCTTTATTTTAGCATTACAAATGTTGTCTCAAAAGTCACATATGCCAACGTGTGAGCGGCCTTAGATATTCAAGGTCAAAGGTCGCAGTTTTTTAAGAATATCTCGTTTTCTCTGCCTCCTATCGTATTTGCATTTATTATAAAAGTTGTAGAAAATAAAATTCTCTACAAATTTTGTTTACAAAATTTTTTTATACGTTGAACCGTTTTTGAGATAGAGGGCGCAGAGTGTGGAGCGCTCAGCCATACGTACCTTTAGCGCAAGGTAAATCGTAAATCCCAATCTATTATACCGTTTTTTTAATTAATTATATAATAAATATTACTAAAATAAAAATTTAATACCTTATACTTATACTTATATTTCTTTTAAATCAAATATATTTTATCTTCATATACCTATATCTTATATTTTAATTTAATTTTAATGAAGGATAATTGAATCAGAGTAGGAAAAAATGTTTTTATTTATATCAATATTATTATTATTATTAATCTTTATCTTCTTCATCCTCGTCTTCTTCAGGTTGGCCAGGAATTTCAGACTCATTCTCATCATCACTCTCCTCGTTATCATTGACATTAATTGTCATATCTTCAAAAACTTACTTATAACGCGTTTGTACTTTGCAGATTTTTTTGCCTTTGTTGCCTCATCCGCGACTTCACCACAAAATAAGCACAATATTTTAAAATCAAACACATCATTCCCTTTTTTACGAGGTACAGTTGATGACGTTGAAGGTCCAGTCTCTTCAAGGCGATGTTTTGCTGCTGCAATTTTACTATAGTACGCTATAGCAATTTTCGACACTCAATATGAACGTTCACAGAATTCAAAGTATTTAGGTAGTTTATGTTTATTTCTCTCAATAATTGCTTCTTTTAAAGTCTTTATACCGCGCACAAAAGTCACAGAATCAGAAAGTAACTTATTACAAATAAAACACAAATCAGCCATGTTAACCTTTAAAATATTACGAATATTACCTGTCACAACCCTAGACCTATACCTAGGGTCACAACTTGCTTTAAAATTTAATATAGGTATACCTAACCTTTTTAGTTATAGCAAGCCTACTATAGTATTTCCAGGTCTGTTATTTTAAAAGCAATATCTGGATCCAAGAGATGACCAGAGACATATTTAAGGCAAAATCATTTAATGTCTTTTCTTCTTAAAATGCATTTATCATTAATTAGAATAACATTAGAATATATTTAGAATGATTCACTTCATTATTTAATTATTTGTATCTCAAAAGTAAGTAATATTTAATGACTATTTGTTTTAAAAAAAATATATAAAAATAAATAAAAGGTATTAAATTGTTATTTAAGTAATATTTAATAAATAATTAATTAAAAAAAACGGTATAATAGATTGGGCTCCATGATTTACCTTGCGCTAAAGGTACGTATGGCTGAGCGCTCCACACTGTTTAAAACAAAACAAAATTTGTAGAGAATTTTATTCTTTACAACTTGTATAATAAATGCAAATACGATAGAAGGCAGAGAAAAGGAGATATTCTCAAAAAATTGATTTTTGCGACCTTTGACCTTGAATATCTAAGGTCGCTCACACGTTGGCATATGTGACTTTTGAGACAACATTTGCAATGCTAAAATAAAGGTTTGTACAAAAATTCAGCTTATTCCGTTAGATTCCGAGGTGAAATGCCTATATGACTGCACTATTGGTAGTTAAGTCAGAATATTCTGTGGACCAAAAAAGAAAGCAAAAAAAAATCGATTTTTTTATTACGGTATTCGTTAGAATTGAGCGTTGCACGTTTTTCATCTAAAAATCTCAAAACTATAAACTTCAAGCTTTAAATTGCTTTTTTTACAGCTCCAATACGACCGTTTTTAACAAAGATACAGCTATCCGAAAAATTGCAAAAAAAAATTTTTCCTTTAACTTTTAAAATTTTCAAAAATGAAAAATGTAATATATTCTACATTTTACTCAAAATTTCATTTTGAAAAAAAAACAAAAAAAAACCGTTTTTTTCTAGGTTTTTTTTAGAGATGGGAAAATTCCCATTTGACGAAAATTCCCGGAAACTTTCCATCGAAAATTCCCGAAATTTTCCGAAAGTTTAAAAAAAAATTTTTTTATTGCGAAAATATTTTTTTTATGCCAGGGATTTGCAAAAATAAAAATATTACACATTAACTTTTTGTCAAATTATATTAAGAAAAAAAATGTTTATAAGAATGTAACTGCAATACTATTTTTAGTATCCTATAATATTCCTATTGTATACTAAAACCTACAAAATAAAAATAAAATGTTTACTATTAGAAATTCACTGCTAGTAAATCCTAGATATTACGTAAAAAAAAATTAAAAGGGACAAAGTAACTAATATATAGGAATATTGAAAAGTAAAAAGTAAAGTAAAAAATAATTCCAAACTCTAGATTTTTTTCTTGGCATTGTGCTATGCCTATAAATAAACAACAAAAATATAAGAATGATTTTAACTTTGTTTATTGTTTTTATTTTCTTTTCTTTTTTTTATTCATTGAGGTTATGTAACATATATAACTTACATTATTTATACTTCTTCTGTTCTGCTTTAAATTAACACACATTAAATTCTTATTCAAAGTTTCTTGACCTGGTATCATGGCCTTAACGAAAATCAGCGGTTTAACAATTGACATTTAAATGAAAAAAAAACAAGGAAAGTTTCCAAGGAATGTTTCCAAGGAATATTTCCGGTAGCTTAAAAGAAACTTTCAAAATGAAAATAAATTCCCAATTGGAAACTTTCCAAAACGGAAAGTTTCCTTAAAATGGAAACTTTCCGATTCCCATCTCTACTTTTTTTACAGCTCCAATACGACCATTTTTAACAAAGATACAGCTATCCGAAAAATCGCAAAAAAAAATTTTATCCTTTAACTTTTAAAATTTTCAAAAATGAAAAATGTAATATATTCTACATTTTACTCAAAATTTCAATTTGGAAAAAAAACAAAAAATAACCGGTTTTTTTTCTAGTTTTTTTTTCACATCTGAAAATAACCGATTTTTTACATCTCTATACGCAGGGAAATAACGGTGTCCATGTCGGAGAGGTGGACGCCGGAAAACTGCGACATATTCCGCTTCAACTCGAAGATAATCGAGTCAGGGAGCAGCGAGGAGTGGGAGGAGGGCTTGAAAGCCGTCTACCCCGTGCCGGAAACCGGGAAGTTCACCCTGTCAGCGTGCACGGTGTCCGAGAAAAAGTTCACGAAAAACAACTACCGCAACCGGATGCACGAGCTGCTGTTCGTCGAAGAAATGGCTCGCTACGACTTGCTGGCTCACTACAACTTGACGACGAAGCTGCAGATCACGCACAGCTACATCCTGTCGCCGAACAGCACCGCTTCGAGTACCGCGAAGTACTCCAGCGACGGCGAGTTGTTCGCCTCTTTGCCGCTAGGGAAGTTGCTGTCGGAGGATTCGTCTGAGGGTCGGCTCATTTTGATGAACTGCAACATGGTGTATCTGTGCCCGGTCAGAGCCGAACCGACAGGCAAAAGACAGGTGAGTTATTTTTTCGATTTTTGAAGTGAACGTTCTTTGCGGACGGAATAAAAGAAAACTTTGAACAAAACTCGCACAGCACGGTGGTCAAAACTAAAGTATAGGGCGAACAAAAATGCCAACCAAAACTGATAGCATAATCTGACTCTTTTGGTAACACAAAAATGTATGTAAAAAAATGGTGGGACAAAATCGCACAGTAGCCAAATTAAAAGTTGTGAAAAAAATTCGCACATAAATATAACAAATAGTAGGACCAATTTTAGGGTTTTAAAATTTCAGGAAAAATTGAGCCGGCAAAAAAAACCGGTTTTTTTTTCGAAAAAAAAACCGGAAAAATGGTGAAATTTTCAGAAAAATTGACATTTTTTTAATTTTATTCATAGGGTAATACGAACAAAATGTAAAAGTCAATGATGATATCCGTACACTGATACCGAGAAAAAAGTGAATTTATACCGGGTGTATCTGAGAATAGGGGCACCCCTGTAACTTTTTTATTTATAAAGATAGACACATGAAATTTAGCATGGTTAATTAGGATATAAAATGCCACTTATAAGAGTAAAAAATGAATTTTTTGAACTTCCGGTTTCGCCGGAAATAATACCAACTTTTTTAAATGAAATGCCCTATATATTTTTACATACTTGGAATTCTGAGGAAATTCTGAGTTAGACAGCATCCTCAAATTGACCTTTTGACGTTTCCTCATCAGAAAATATATCATCATAAAGATCAATCTAGAGTGCTTTGAATTATCTTATTTTCTTATAATTGATTCACACAATGCCTGAAAAATGGAACTTGCCTTAGATAGTTGTTATTCAGCTATTCCCAGCATTCAAAAGTCAAAACTCGTGCGGTATAAAAAAATAACAAATACTGGGCAACATTTGTATATTTAATTTTAGCAATAAATCTACTTGATTTATACGGTGTGTGCGATTTAAGAGAGCAACACCCCAATATTTTGGAACGCGTTGACCAATTTTAATTTTTTTGTGGAACGTTCATTGGACAATTTTTTCTCTTTGAAAAAATGGATAGTGCATTTGATTTTGACGTGCCTCAAACACCTTTATACAAAGTTTTATAAAAATAAGTCATGATGTTTTTTCAGAATATACATACGTTTTCGTAAAAAACGGAGGAAAAACCGAGTTTTCAAAAAAATTTAACATACTAGAGATATTACGCACGGTGTGCCTGAACGAGGTTTTAGTCACATAAAAATGCCGCCAAAAACTGATTGCAGTTTCTTGTTCGGGACTCTTTGGTGACTTAAAAATGATATTTACTAAAATCCAAGCTGCTCCTCTTTTCGAAATTTTTTGAAAATTTATGATTTTTTTTTATATTTTTGTTTATCCTAAAGTCTACCTTTGACAGAGTACTCATTTGTTCACCGATTTTTATAATATTGGAGTATATTGTTAAGGAGATTTGGATACTTTTTAATACTGTGCACATCATTTAATATATACTGGGTTAGCCAAAAATCGCTTCTTTTAATAAAGCAAAAGCGTAAATCCATGCTTTTCGCATAACACGCAAAAAAGATATATACCAACCCATGTTTTTTTTTTTTAATATTTTTATGTTTATCAGGCTACAAAATGGGATACTTATTTAAATAAAATAACATTTTTTGGAGATAAATCTTTTTTATGCATTATGGTTTTTACTATATAACAAAAGTGATTTTTGGCTAACCCTGTATAAATCTAATGATGTGCTCAGTTAGAAAACAGTATTCTCCAAGTCTCCTTAACAATATACTCCAATATTATAAAAATCCCTGTACAAATGTGTACTCTGTCAAAGGTAAGATAAACAAAAATTAAAAAAAAAAAGAATTTTCAAAAAATTTTGAAAAGAGGAGCAGCTAGGATTTTGGAAACTGCAATCAATAAAAATCGGTGTACAAATGTGTACTCTGACAAAGGTAGACTTTGCGATAAACAAATAATTAAAAAAAAAAATGATTTTTTAACAAATTTGAAAAAAAGAATTTTGGTAAATATCGTTTTTAAATCTCTAAAGAGTGCCGATCAAAAAACTTTAACCAGTTTTTTGTTCAAAATTGAAAACTACTAAAAAGCCTAATTTAAACAATATTTCAAATAGTCACTAAGCGTTATTTTATTTAATTTTATTAAAAATCTATTTTTTTTATAAAAGGTTAATAAGAATGCCATTTTATAACCTGATAAACGTAGAAATATCTAAAAAAATGGGAATAAATCTTTTTTGCGTGTTATGCCAAAATCATGAAATTACGCTTTTGCTTTATTATAAAAATCAGTGTACAAATGTGTACTCTGTCAAAGGTAGACTTTGAAATAAACAAAAATTTAAAAAAAAATCATTAATTTTCAAAAAATTAAGAAAAAAAGAGCAGCTAGGAATTTGGTAAATATCATTTTTAAGTCACCATAGGGTCCCGAACAAGAAACTGCAATCAGTTTTTGGCGGCATTTTTATGTGACTTAAACTTCGTTCAGGCACACCGTGTATGGATAATAGGGAAAAATGCAAAAGTCAATTTTCTTCAAAATATTAATATATTGTTGTTTTAAAGGCTCGAAAAAAACAAGTTATTTTCTGCAAAGTGCGGAAAAAATTACTTTTTGGAAAAATGAATTAAAAAAATAATAAAGCATTTATACATAAATAACATAATAATAACATATTATGTAAACCATGTTAAAATGTGTGGATTTTTAAATTTTCAAAAAAAAATTCTAAAAAAGATCAAGGCCCGGGGAAAAAATGGAAAAAAACTGTTTCCCCCCCAATTTTTCTATTTTTTTTTCGACGCTTTTAAACGCTAAAACAGGGTCAGTCAAAAAGTAAAAAAAAATCTTCTTGTGTGGTTATATTTTTTATTTGAAGAGATACAAGGTGGGTTAAATTAGAGAAAAGTTGCGTCTATTAAAATAGAATTTAAAAATTGGAAAAGAAATGGGGGTTCTCAAAGAATTTAAAAAAACTGAAAACTTGTCAAAACCAAAAATTGGATAAAAATGTAAATTATTGTGTATGTTTACATGTAAAACTTACTTTGTTTCAAAATTCCCAGGAATAACGAAGTTATAACAATTTTTAGTTTTGAAAGGTTTTTAGTTTTTTTTTCAAATATTTTGAGAACCGGCTTTTTTTTTAATTTATAGATGCTAATATAAAATAAATATTAGGCAAATAAAAAATAAAAAAAAACCTGATTTATATTTGACATTTAATTCATTTGAAATGTTAAACTCTACCATATTTAGCCCCCACCCCCTTTATCTCCCTCCATAACCGTTAGTCTTATATGTCTGGTATTTTTTTTTAACGCGGCCTGGCAACCCTTAGCTGTGTGGTCTAACGCACATGTATTTTTTTAGATTTACGAGGCCTGGATCGAAGACAAAGGCAAAACGACTATATACCTACGCCTCCCAGCTGAAATGGTTCGAAAACTAAACATAACCACCGACTATGATTTCGAAGCGCACATCCAGTTCCAGTTGAACCGCGTCCCCTACTGCATATGGCATTACGTCCTCGACAAAATGAGCAACTTTCGCAGCATATTTCCGGAAACGTTCGTCGAACCGACCATACCGTGGTCGCCGTCGAGGCAGTGGTCCAAAGACCTCGATGCGCGACTCAACTTGAAGCAGAAGGAGGCCATCGTGGCCATCACCACACCTTTGGACGTGGTTCTGCCGCCGATTTTGGTGATCGGCCCGTTCGGTACCGGGAAGACTTTCACGTTGGCGCAAGCGATTAAGGAGCTGATCAGGGAGCCGGGCAACAGAGTTTTGCTTTGCACGCATTCGAACAGCGCCGCGGATTTGTACATCAAGGATTATTTGCATCCTTTGGTGGAGAAGGGGGACGAGAACGCTAGACCGTTGAGGATCTATTATAGGAGACGTTGGGTGACCACTGTGAATCCTATTGTACAAAAGGTAAGAGAAAAAAGTACTAAAACTTTTAGTACTTTTTTCTCTAGTCTAAAAGTAAAAAGAATTTTAATCTAAAAAGTAATTTCTTTATAAAAATTTAAAATTAATATATGAATAAAAACAACACTGTTTTAAAGTTTCACTATTTTATTTATGTTTTTAATGATTAACAATTGTTAATGCTTAAGAGCATCATTTTTTTAAAACTATTCCCAGAGGGTTGAACATGAAGACCTGAATTTTTGGGACTTTGGTAATTTTGACATTCTGAATCTGGATCTATAATCAAAACTGTTAAAATTTAATCATAGGCGTAACATTTGAGGGGGCAAATTTACAAAAACAGCCCCAACTTTTTGCAGAGTGAGTTTTTTAATGTTTTGTTATAAAATTATGAAAATGTATAGTTTTTCACGAAAAATAGGTACTCTTGCTTTGAATCGCTCAGATGCACCATTTTCGAGAAAATTGCAATTTAAATTACTATGATTAGCATAATTTCTAATATTTTCATTAAAAAGCTTTGGGACAAAAGTGACGTTTGGGTTATTTGCTGACTTTACATTTATTTTTATAGTTTAGTTAATATTTTTTGGCTCGATTTTTGTTATTTTTTATTATGGAGCGATTTTCCAAATTTTAACACAAAATTTTAACGAAAATATGAGATGTGTATGCTATGCAGAGTAATTTATAAATGCATTTTTCTCGAAAATGGTGCATCTGAGCGATTCAAATCAAGACTACCTATTTTTCGTAAAAAACTATAAGTTTTCATAATTTCATAAAAAAAAATTAAAATATTATCTCGGAAAAAAGTTGGGGCAATTTTTATAACTTTTCCCCCCCAAATGTTACGCCTATGATTAAATTTTAACAGTTTTGATCTTAGATCTTGATTCAGCATCTAAAAATTACCAAAGTGCCAAAATTTCATTTCTTTATGTTTAACGCTCTAGGAATAGTTAAAAAAAAACTATTCTCTTAGGCTCCTATTCAGGGGGCCGTAGCTCCGTTAGGGGGCATTTTTTGATACATGTTTATTTAACAAAAAAGTGTTACTTTTTTATGAAGAATGCACTGTTTAAGTTTGGCCCCCTAATTTCAGGACACCCTGCATATACACTGCTCTTCTTAAAAAATATACTTTTATAGCCCAAAAAACATTTTTTTAAAGAAAAACAACATATAATTATTTTTTTATACAATTTTTTTAATGCTGACATACTGATGTTCTTATTCAATAAATTGTGTTAAAGATCATTTTTTTAAATTGTATTACATACAGTATTTGATTATAAAGGGGAAAACATTTACATTTACCAGAATAGTATATTATTATACGAGAGATAATGCATTCTATTATTCACAAGGATGAGGTTTGCGTCTCGAGAGACGTAATTCATCCGAGTAAATAATGCGCATTATTTCGAGTGTAATATTATGCTTTTTCTACTCAAATTAAGTAATTTTCATTGATAACAAAATTTATTATAACCTCACTTTTCCCCGATTTTAAAGATCATTATTATAACGAAGTGACTACAGTGTATTTTTTGAATGTGTGTGATTGCGTCATCAATTGCTGAACCAAACAAAGACATTAAAATGTGTAGCTGTCTTTTTTTTTCTTTGTAAAAGTTCAACCGAAATTCTAAAACGTATCGGGATCCGCTAAACCAGCAGATGGCGACACAATTAAACGTAATTTATGACAAACGTCAATCCGATGTCGCGCTCACGCGGCTTGTGCTGAAAAAGGACAGAGCGCGTATAGTTTGTTGTGGCATTGAGCCGAAATTTATCAAAATTTGAAGGTTAGTCAGTGGCGTTCATATAGTAATTTGGCATTAAAGAACAGATTTTGGAAGTTTGACAGTTTTTAAAAAATGTCTTGCAAACGTTTGGACGATAATCAGAAACGTGTTATTATTAATTTAGTGCAATATTTTCAAAGGGAACTGGAGCATGGGGACTCCTGCTCCCACTAAAGGGTTAAAGGAACCTTCACTGATTGTGATGGACAACGCTTCACAGCGTCGTTGTTGAGCGTCACCCTACAAGTGCTTGGAAAAAACAGCAAATAGAAGAGTGGCTAACAGAACATAATATTCAGTTTATCAAAGGTATATTTAAAGCGGAATTGCTGTTTCTAGCACGCGTCACCCTACAAGTGCTTGGAAAAAACAGCAAATAGAAGAGTGGCTAACAGAACATAATATTCAGTTTATCAAAGGTATATTTAAAGCGGAATTGCTGTTTCTGGCACGCTACCACACCCCGCCTAAGCGTTAAAAAGTTGATGAGTACCTCCAGCAGCATGGGCATAAGGTTTTGCGTCTGCCTCCATATCACTGCCAGTTCAATGCCATTGAACTTATATGGGCGCAGGTAAATACATAAACAATTAGATGGGCGCTTGCAACAAGGAATTCTGTTTTAGGCTAAAACATATTATGATTCTCATATGGGGGAAGACGGCTATGGCGACAATAAAGTGCTAGCAATGTGGGGCCAAGCACTGAACCAATGCACGCCAGAACGTTGGTGTTCAGTAGTGAGGCACACCAACAAATTAATTGACGATTGGTTCCAAAAGACAAGGATGGTCGATGACGTGCCAGAACTAGTTATCCACCTCGGAGAAGACAGTTCCGGCGAGGATGACTTTTAGTAATTTTGGTTTCGTTCTCCTATAACCTTTTATTTTAATAATTAATGTTTTGTCTTAATTAACTTATAATATATTATATGTATGTACATAATATTATGTACAAAAATTGTGTATGTTTATTGTTATTCGTTTATAAAACTTGCATAATTTACATTAATAAAGTTAAAATAACTATCATTAGAATTATTGTTTAATTGTATGTATTTTGAGTTGCGTAACTATGAGGCGACATTAGGCAACCAAAAATACACCCACAATAAATGCTTAGACCCCTTCAAAATGATACGCTACTGACTCTAATTTTAGTTTCGGTTTAATTCATACGACCCAATTGATGACGCAATCACACACATTCAAAAAATACACGTTAGAGTGCCTGCAATTTATTTTTTACGGGCACGATAGTGACGTAATAGATAAAAAACGTCATCACTGCCGTGCCGCTTAATTTAAAATTGGCGGCACGACAATAATGTATTAATAAATTGTACCTGTATACATTTTATAGGGTGTCAGATTTTATTAGTGAAAATTTTGTAATCGAATCGAAAAAATATGAAGAAAAATGTAGGTATATGAACTTGTAAGCTCTAAAGCTTTGTTTTCAAGATACAGGGTATTAAAGTTAATAAAAAAACCACTTTAATGCAAGTTTAATATTATATTTAGATTTTTTCAGGGCAAATAAACAAATTTTTAATGATATCATCATCAGGGTTAACCCTGCCTAAAAGAGATTTGACTAAGTTCCATGTACAACCTAAACAAGATTTGACCCGACGAAAACAATCTAAAAAAATAGAAAAGAGTGAGGGCCCTCCTCCTTTATCCGGGCTTGGGACCGGCAGGTTAAAAATACCTGGCGGAGTTACCCTCCACCCTCCTTATCATATTATATACCTAAAATTTCCTAAAACAGATAAAGTATTTAAATAAACAAAAACACGCAAAAAACAAATTTACTGGTTGTATACATACTCGCATATAAGATTCACTCGCACCCTGAAGTTCCAAGATGTCCAAGATGTCCATGTCAGGTCCAAATGAAGGAATTAGGGTAATAGGAAGGGTGGAAAAGGAAAACGACAGATAATTAAGTTACAAATAGATTATCGCCGGTGCGCAACAACATGCTCCACGTTAAAAACGGGTTAGCACGGATTACCGATGTTCCGAGACAAAATCCAAAAAGTACTTTCAAGATCCATCTACCATTTTAATTTAATTAAACAACCTGAAGATTGTGAAATTGAACTAAAATGGGTCTAAATGGAAGGAATAAAAAGGAGGGTTTTATAGGTAACTCCTGGGCGCCTGGTTCCATAGGATAATCACTATCTAAAACAGACTACAACGACGAAAATAATTTAAAAAATATGTGTCCTACCCAAAACCGAACAAATAAAGAATTAGTTTCATCTCCAACTTGAAATTTGAACTGACGAAAAGAATTTAAACAAAATTTTGACCTATGATCCCTACAAAAACGAAGTAAAAGAACTGATCTTTAAAAAAAGAATAAGTTTCATATCCAACTTAAAGAATCTAATAACAATTTGACTTACGACCCCTAACAAAAACGAACTAAAAGAACAAATCTTTAAAAAAAGAATAAGTTGCATATCCAACTTAAAGAATCTAATAATAATATTACTTATGACCCCTAACAAAAACGAACTAAAAGAACTGATCTTTAAATAAAGAATTAGTTCCATATTTGCCCTAACAAAAAGAATCTAAAAAAGTTTTGATTTACGACCCCTGACAAAAAAATAACTGATCTTTAAAAAAGAAAAGGTTCCATCTCCAACTTAAAAAAAAAATTAATGACAATTTGACTTACGACCCCTAACAAAAACGAACTAAAAGAACTAATCTTTAAATAAAGAATTAGTTCCATATTTGCCCTAACAAAAAGAATCTAAACAAAATTTTGATCTACAATCCCTACAAAAACAAAGTATAACAACTAATCTTTAAAAAAAGAATTAGTTCCATCTCCAAATTAAACAAGATTTGCGCTGACAAAAAGAATCTAAAAAAATTTTGATTTACGACCCCTACAAAAAAAAGAACTGATCTTTAAAAAAGAATAAGTTCCATATTTAACTTAAAAAAAACTAATGACAATTTGACTTACGACCCCTTACAAAAACAAACTAAAATAACTTTAAATAAAGAATTAGTTTCATCTCCAACTTAAACAAGATTTGCCCTAACAATTAGAATCTAAAAAAGTTTTGATTTACGATCCCTAACAAAAAAAATAACTGATCTTTAAAAAAGAATAAGTTCCATAATATTGGATATTATCCAACTTAAAAAAAAA